ATTTGAGCAACAAACTTTTCATGCTGATTAGAATCCAGCATGTAACACATAACCAATGCATACAAATAATCTATATATAAAAGCCTAAGCAATCCTTACAATTGAATGACCAGAACAACTGGTGGATCAGTTGCTATGACACACACTGACCACCAGTGGGCAGATGCTCAATGCAGGAGCTGCCCTCTGGTAGTCAGTGTGCTCCCATAGCCAACTTCCCACGGTTGACCAACGTCTCCTGGTCCCTTCCCACAGCCTGCCAGGCCCCCATCGGCCTGATGGGGACAACCTCCCACAGTCCCTCTTTCCATCTGATCAGGGTGGGGGGGGGCAGGCCAAGGAACCCACCTGTGCACAAATTCATGCACTGGGCCTTTAGTTAGTAATAATAAATGGACCAACAAAATACAACCTGAAGCAGGGAGGCACGGGACAGACTGTCATACCTCAGTGTAAGGTTGAGGGGATGAGAAGAGAAAAACCAAAGAACTTATCCTATATAATAACAGCATAATATGCTAAGTGTCCCACTGCTTGTTCGACCATTCAACCAATCGGTATGATGCACACTGACCCCCAGAGGGCAGACACTCTGATTGGTAGATTAGCTTGCTGCTGGGGTCTGGCTGATTGGGACTGGGTGAGACAGGCTGGACATGCCCTGGAGCCCTCCCATGGTCCCTCCCTCGGTCCCTCCCGGGATGGATTGCAGGCCAGGCCGAGGGACCCCATGGGCGCACAAACCCATGCACCAGGTCTCTAGTGTGTTATATGCACAGCCCACGGACATGGCATTAGGGTAGTGAAGGCCTGGGGGCGGGTAGGGCCTGGGAGGAGGGGGATGAAGCAGGGGAAGTGGGAGACATCTGTAACACTATCAACAATTAAATAGATACGGCCCAGCTGGTGTTTCTCAGTGGTTGAGCATTGACTTATGAACCAGGAGGTCACCAGCTGAATCCCGGGCGAGGACACGAGCCCAGGCTGCGGGATCAATCTCCCGTGGGTGGCGTGCAGGAGGCAGAAAATCAATGGTTCTCTCGCATCATGATGTTTCTCTGTCTCTCTCCCTCTCCCTTCCTCTCTGAAACAAGAAAATAAAAAATATAAATATGTACCTTAAAATATATATATATATATTTTTTTTATTTTTTTTAATATATATATTAAAAAATAATAATAGCCGAGACCGGTTTGGCTCAGTGGTAGAGCGTCGACCTGCGGACTGAAAGGTCCCGAGTTCTATTCCGGTCAAGGGCATGTGTCTTGGTTGCAGGCACATCCCCGGTGGGGGGCGTGCAGGAGGCAGCCGATGGATGATTCTCTCTCATTGATGTTTCTAACCCTCTATCCCTCTCTCTTCCTCTCTAAAAAATCAATAAAATATATATTTAAAAAAATAAATAAAAAATGAACAATAATAATAAATGGGAGAATATCTCCCATGCAGAAGAATTCAATGTAATTCCTGGGGAGCCTACCCCTGGCCCCGTCACAAGGGGGAGCCCCAGCCCGAGGCCCTGCAGCGCGGGCTGAGCCCGGATGTCCTCCCGGAGAGGACAGGGTGGGGAGAGGAGAGACAGGACGAACGCCGCCTCGGCCAGGTGCTCAGGCCGCCTGGGTGGTGCCTTGGATGGTGTGACAAGAGGGCGCTTGACCCGCCCCCCCATCCTCTCCCTGGTCATCCTCCCAACCCAGCCTCAGCCCAATCCCGACAGGAACAGCAGAGGGCGCCCTCAGCACACGGCCACGGCCGGAGGAGCTGGGCCGCAGGAGGGCTTGGGGAGGTGCCGGCGATGTCAGGTCCTGGGCGGGTCCTGGGCGGGAGAGGGCCCTCGGGGAGCGGGGATGGCGTGTCCACATTGGTTCCCTAACTGACCAACGCATCCTAGCGCATGTGTTAGTGTGTGTTCCCCAGGGCAGAACCCGCAGGACGCATGTGGACATCACGTAGACACACTAGTAGTGCAAGCAGGTTTATCTTCAGGACCTGCTCATGGGACAGGATTCCCCGGGGGAGGGGGGTTATAACAGGTGAAGGGACACTCTGAGGTTCCCGGTCAAGCTGGCCAGTTCCGGGTGCCGCGGGCCCGGAGGACACGCTGAGGACCTGCTGTGGGTGGAAGTGATCCCAGCGTGGGGAAGTCTGCCTGAATGTCAGCATGCATGGCCGTGTCGGGGTCCCTGGGCCTGCGGGGGCTCTGCCCCGTCCCCTCTCTGCTCCCCCAGCATCGTCTGTGGCAGATTTCAGACACCGGGTGGTGCCAAGGGCCACACGAACCACTGGCCTTCCCGGGGGCTTGCGGCTTCCCCCGTGAGGAAGAGTCCATGGTGGCTGCCTCCGCCCTGTGCCCCCTCCACACACACTGTGGGCAGGGCCAGCAGAGAGACGTCTGTGTGAGGGTGGTAGGTGGAGGTGAGTGGAGAGTTCCGGCGTCTCGACAGCTCTTCCTGCTCCGGCCCAGGGCCCGACCCTCTCCCCTAGCCTCAGTTTCCCCCGGTATTATGGGGCCCCCACCCCCCTGTACCTTCAGAGCCCTCCACTCCCTGGTCCAATGTGACCCTGTGGCCTCCATCTCCTCTCGGGGTCACCGAGCTTCCTCTCCATAGGCAGACCCCAGGGGGAGGGGAGCCGGACAGGGCCCTGCTCTGTGGGGACCTAATGCGGCTTCGGGGCGGACGGGAGCCCCTGCATGGGGCTGGGCAGCAGGGCTCTGGGGTTTGGCGTGAACAAGTGGTTCTGGGAATAAAAGCTCCTGCAGCTGTGGCCCGAAGCTGGTCCATGGGGGGGGGAAAGGTTTGTGCTGGGAAAGGCCCCCATGCCATGCGGGAGGAGGGACGGGTGTGGGGGAGGAGGGAGTGAGGCTGAGACTGGCGGGCCACCCAGGCCTGCAGGAGTGGCCGTCTCCGGGGCAGCCTCACCCCAGGACCTGCCAGCACCCCATCCCACCTGCGGGAAGACGGGGAGCCTCTCAGCAGCCAGGGCTGGTCAGCAGGTCTCACCTGGGAAAGAGCCACCTGGCTGGGCGACTGGGTGTCTAATCCACAGCCTCCCCCAGCGGTAATTACAGGTCCGGGCGGAAGGATTATTCTGAGGGGGCAGAGCCCGGCCTGAGCTGGCAGGGACCCCGCTCCGTGGAAGTGATCCTCAGAGCATGCTTCCTCCTCAGCCCCCCACGGCTCCTGCCCGGGTCACAGGCCACGGGAGGCGGGGGCGGGCCCGGGAACCACCTTCCTTGGGAACACGTGAGGCTTCCAGGGAAGAGCAAAGTTAAACACGTTCTCAGGTGATGCTGGCGTCATCAACTCACCACTTCTTTCTCTTTAAAGGTGCTCTTTCTTAAAAATATATAGTTTTATTGATTTCAGAGAGGAAGGGAGAGGGAGAGGGAGAAACATCGATGAGAGAGAATCATTGATCTGCTGCCTCCTGCACGCCCCCGTCTAGGGACTGAACACACAACCCGGGCACGTGCCCTGACTGGGAATCGAACCGTGACCTCCTGGTTCATAGGTTGATGCTCAACCATGGAGCCACGCCACCAGCTGGGGCACCACCGTCCCTAGTGACACGCTGTCTGGAGGCCGCGGGTCCATGTGGTTCTCAGCTCCCGGGCTTGTGCCCACGCCGACCCATCGGGCCTCAGGGCTGTGGCCTCCAACACAGTCTGCATGAAGGCTCAGGTCCTGGGGGTGATGTAACCCAATCTGTCTGCCTCAGTCCAACCTGGGCCATCCCCCGGCCCCCCGCCCTCTCCTACTTCCTTCTGTTCAGCAACAAGGACTGGAGTCAGCTGAGCCAGACAGGCTAAGCCCCAAACCCAGCCGCGAGGCAGCGAGTGCGGGTCCTCACAGGCCTCGTGTCCGGCTACAAGCGCACATGCCTGAGCGATGCCCTGGGACCGGGCCTGGCCGTGAACACAGGTGAACACGTGTGTGAGCTGAGGGCAGAGTGGCCCGTGGGGGCGGGACCCTCAGGCGGGGACCGTGGGGCGGGCAGCAACGGGCCTGCTTGCTCTGGGATCGTCCCGGCTGCTGTGTGGGGCTCTGGGGACCTTCCAGGCCGGACAGGGGTGGGGAGCGCAGCCAGTGGGTGTGGTCACGGTGGTGGCTGGGTGTGCCTGTGGGAACCAGGCGGGTAAGACGCCTGACCTGAGGGAGGGGGACAGGCTCAGGGCCTCGGGGACTTGACCCCCTGGGGACAAGTTGGCGCCCGTGCATCCTGATGGTGGACGGGCGCAGCTGGGGTGGAGGCTGAGGTCTGCAGAGGGGGATGGGCTGTTAAGAGGTCACACAGGGCCTGGACGGGGTTCAGCATCCCGCAGTGCCTACCGACGACACAGGGACGTGGCCTTGGCGTCCAGCGGACACCTGGGGACAGACAGACCCCCTGCCCTCCCTGAGGACCCTGCTGGGCGGGCAATGTCTGCACAGAGAAGGTGCATCTCCCCTGACCAGGAAACAAGCTTCCGAATAACTGTTCCCGCCGAGAGCACCGCCCTGCTGGGGGCCGGGGCCTGAGCCCGCCCCAGGTGCCCAGCCTGCATGTGGGCCCAGAGGCAGGGGTTGCCTAGGTCAGCAACCGGGCAGCTCCTTGCCCCGCACGGGTAGCAGGGGGCTCTGAGGCACCTGGTAGCTGCAGTTGAGAGAAGCCGGGCAGCTCAGCCAGAAATGCCAATGCCAGAGGCCCCGGGCATCATGGCCGCCGGCCGGGTCCCTCTGAAACTGCCGCTCGCCCTCCAGTGCTCACAGGCCCGGGTGAGGAGGGCCAGCCGTGCTGGGAGGGCCAGGCCTGCTGGGCAAGGAGCTGGCACCCTCGGAGCCACTGCAGGGGAAGCGCCGGCGGCTGCGGCCTGAGGCTGGCGACCTTCCTGCCAAGCCCTGGGCCAGGAGGGGCAGCTGTGCTTCCCCTCGAGCTATAAAAAGCTCAAGCCCAGCCCCGCGAGCAGAGGGCAGAGCGAGGGACAGGACGCACGGGACTCGGAGCTTGGACTGGCAACATGAGGTTGGGTCCCGCCATCAGGCTGCTGCAAGCCCCCCTGAGGGCCTGCGTGGTCCCCAAGGCGCACATCTCCGCCAAGCCGGCCAAATCCCCCACTTCTGCCCCCGTGAGTACTGGCCCGGCCCAGGGAGGGCTGGCAGTCCCAATCCCCAGGATGAGGCGGCTTTCAGGGGGGTCCCAAGAGCCAGGCTGGTCAAGGGAGAGGGGACGTCCTCCCAGGCCTGGCGCTGCCAGAGGGGACCGGGGAAAGGGGCCTGTCTAGGGCGGGCGGGGCTTTTTCCCAAGTGCAGCTGCCGTCTGGCAGTCAGCTGTCCGTCGGGCCTGTTCTCAGGCTCCCACTGCCTCTGCCAAGGCCGTTGCCGGGGCTGAACTGGGAGGGGCCAAGGGGTCCTGCAGTCACCGTGGGAGGGGAGGTGGGCTCTCCGAGGGCCGGGGGAGCGCAGGGGGAACTGACCTGGGCCAAGCCTAAGTAACCAAGGTTAGGAAGGTCACCAGCCCAAGGTCATGAGCTGGGAAGGGAAGCCAGAGCTCCGCCTGAGGCCTCTGGGGTTGAAACTAAAAGGAGGGTTAGTTCCCCCCTCCCCACCTCCTTCCCCCTAATCAGGCACCTGATCTAGGAAACGGGAGGGCCAGCCTGCTCCAGGAGGAACCAGGGGGAAGCAGAGCTGCCTCTTCAGGACCCGCCCTGTCAGGAGAACACAGGGAGCCAGGCAGGCCCCACACACGCACACACAGCCAGGAGCCCAACCACCCCGGGCTCCGGACAGGCCCCCACTCCGAGGCCGTCCTTGTTTCAAGCAACTTAGAACCTGGGCGGTCTGCCGCCCGCAGGCCCTGACCAGCAGCACCTGTGCCCTGGGAAGGAGGCCCAGGGGCCGGCGGGCGGGTTCAGAGCCGGCGGGCGGGCGGACACCTCCCGTGACCCGGGCCTGGTGCCTCCCATGTGTCTGCCCCGCAGGAGCAGGCTGTGGCGCTCGTGGTGACCTTCTTCAGCTTCATGATCCCCTCGGGCTGGGTGCTGTCCCACCTGGAGAGCTACAAGAAGCGCGGCGAGTGAGGATCCACCGAGTGAGGCTCCGCCCAGCCCGCCCCGTGAGGTCTGCCGTGAGGCGGGCAGCCACCGCCATGACATGGGAGGGAGCTCTCATTAAACCCTCCCACCGAACGCTCGCTGTGTTCATGCACGCGCCGCCTCCCCGGACTCAGCACAGGGCACGCGGGTCACAGAGCCGCCGGCTTGGGGCAGAGGCAGACCTGTCAGAGGGCGTCCGGCCCTCGCCCCCGCTCCACCCGTCCCGCACGAGCAGGAGCGCTCTCCTCAGAGGGGAGGCCAAGGCCACTCCCCCAAACCCCCATTCCCTCTGCTGCCTCGAGGCTCTGCAGACACAGGCTGGCCTGGAGGGTGAGCCACGGAAACCACAGCGAGGACACGGCAGCGGCTTTTATTGCAGGGCCCTCGGGCCACCTGGGAACGGGCTCATATGGGTGGGGGGGCAGATCGACCTGGAGCGGTGCCACACGCAGGGCCCACCCTCCGGCAGCGGGCCCCACCCTCACTGCGGTCAGGAGACGCCATGGGGTCTTTCCCGGGAAGAACGTCCCGCCCGGCAGTCCGCCTCGGCGGGGAGCCTGGGCGGGGATGGCCGCGGGAGGCTCTAGGTGAGGACGTCGTGCGCCTGGTGCTCCACCAGCATCTCCATGCTCTTGACGTCCGTGCACCAGGACTCCAGGCGCTCCTTCATGCCCTGGATCTGAGGGTGGAGGGCAGTGAGGCACAGTGAGGCCCTAGCGGAGGGGTCCCGAGCTGGGGTCGGGGGGAGGACACGGCACCCCACGACCATCTCCCAGAAGCACATTTTCACACGCTGGCAGGAAGCCAGCAGGCAAGAACAGGGGAAATCCACAGGATTAAGTTCCAGCCAATGTGAGGATGGATTTAGGCTCAAATCACATAAGCAGGAAGGTGCCCTATCAGAGACCAATTTTAGGATTAAAGGGCATCACCACCTATCAGCACTGTTACCACAATCGCTTTTAAACACAGGGCTCAGGTCCCAGGCGGCGGTGAACCCTGAAACTCTGCCCCAGGCAGGAGCCGCCCCGGAGCCCTGCCTTCCTGGGGGCCAGCGTCACCTGCTGCAGATCCAGCACGCGGGGCTGCACCCAGGCCATGTGGACTCGCGCGTCCACCTCGTCGATGCTGCCTTTCACCAGCCCCGCCGACAGCGCCTTCATCACCAGCAGCTCCACCTGCGCAGAGGGCGGGTCAGGGGGCGCTGCCCAGTGCCGGGAAGGCCGCTCCTCTGTGGTTGAGGTCGGGGAGCAGGGTGCCCCCCAGGAGCCCGGCCCCTCCGGGACAGCCCAGTCCAAACACTGTACCTCGTTCACGCTGATCTTAGAACTTTTGGCAATTTCTTCAAAAGTGAGTTGTCTGTGATTGGCAGGTCGTGTGAAAGTCATCTGGAAAAAATTTTCCCAAATGAGAACTGTCAGAAAACTGAGTAAGGATCCTTTTGTCAACATGTGCTCTGAAAATGCAGATACTAGTACCTCTACGCTCCAGCTTTCTCAGTGCTAGCCCTGCATCTCATTAACCAGCTCTCTGTGCCCAGGGGAGACGGTGAGATCAGCCGCACGGCGGCAGCTTTCTGCCCGTCACTGTTCACCCTGAGCAAGTGCTGGTGCTGGGAACACTGCGCTGAGCCGAACACAGAGCCCTTTTCTCAAAGGCTCAAACTCACCAGCCACCGTGGCCCAGTGGCTGAGCGCCGACCTAGGAACCAGGAGGTCACAGTTCGATTCCCGGTCAAGGCGCAGGCCCAGTGCGGGGCGTGCTGGAGGCAGCGAGCCATGATTCTCTCATCATGGATATCCCTCCCTCTCTCTCTTTCTCCTCTCCCTCCCTCTCCCTGCCTCTCTGAAAGCAATGAAAACATCTTTAAAAAGAAAAAGGCATCAAAAGTCTCAGACTCCAGCGGGAGACAGAGGGGCTGTAGACAAGGAGCGGCGAGTGCCAGGTGGCGGCAGCTATGTTAGCTCCGATGTCTGGCGGGCTCTCTGAGGAGGTCATGGGCGCTGAGACCCAAATACAAACAGAAGAGCAGTGGGAGAGGAACAAGGGGGAGGGGCGGGCGGGGCAGCGCGGTTGTTCTACGGTAGCTGCTTCACTAGCTTCAGCTGCACCAGGGCTTGGGGTGGGCAGGACCGTGCCACCTGCCGGCCTCTCAGCACAGAGGGTGCTGGCGCTCCCTCACCTCCATGAGGCAGAGCAGCTGGATTTTCCTCAGAAGCTGAGCCTCGTTGGCGGCGAGATCAGGCTGTGAAGGAGAAAGACACGTCACCTGACCAGCAGGTGGGACAGTGACGGGCACTTGCCCGAGGCTCCCAACGGCATCAGGTGCCGGGGCTTCGCTTTCCTGGGAAATGACTAGAACAGCGCCCAGCTGGAGGCCGTTTCCCAGACCCAACGTGGCCCGGCAGAGCTGTTCCGGTGTCAGACAGCAGGGGGCGGGCCTCAGTTCCAGGGCCTGTCCTGATGGGAGAGCACGTTACCAGCTTCCCTGGAAGCAGCCCCGGCGGACAGTTATCTGCTGAATCAGAGCCACACTCAAGGCAGGTTCATGACCCCAACCCCGCTCCGCTCTGCGCACCTGGAGGTCACACTCCGACAGGCTGCAAACCCTCCCCCAGCGCTGTCCGCAGGGCGGAGCAGGCGACTACACCTGAGCTACCCAGGGTGCTGCCTGCCTGTCTCCCCGGCGATAGGGAGAGGCAGGGGCGGCCTGGACTGACCTGCTGGCCCCAGGCAGCCTTCAGCGTCTGGAACTGCTCCACGTTGCCGCTGTTGAAGGCATACAGCGTGTCGATCAGCCACTGCCGGTCAGTGCCCCTCAGCGACTCCAGCACAGGGTGCATGAGCTGTGGGACAGAGACGGTGAGCTGGCAGCGCACACTGCCGGCGGCGACGCGTCTGTGCCCTGGGCCCACTTACCAGTTCTCCGAAGTTAAACACTCCCTCGCCGAGAAGTCCCGCCAGGCCCAGTGTGAAGGCTCTCTCCTGCTGCTCCGGCACTAGGACGACACCCCTCGTCACACACGTCAGGAGCCCCGCCCGCTCGGCCTTCAGGCCTCACGGGGAAGAGTGCGGCAGCACCCGGGGGTCACAGCAGAGCACTAACAGGCGCCCGGTGACTGCGCTGGGTTCAGATCCTGTGGGCCCGCCTTCACGGGCTCCGTGCAAAGCGTACCCACCCACTCTCTCCCCCTAAACCACGTGACTACCCACCTTTCCGCCTGTGCTCCCAGAGCCCTCGGGTGGGAGCGTGCCCCACTGAGCACGCTTAGCCTCTTCCCACCCAGAATTAGCTCCTTTTCCCACAGCGAGTCCCCGCCAAATCGGCTGCCCGCCCCGGGCCCTCCTGGAGATGCAGCCATGACACTCACTCCCAGGAGCTGCTGCTCTCAGAGGCTTCAACAGTGAACTGTGAGGAACCTCTAAAATCTGCCCAAGTTTCCTTTGTAAACACATTCACCACCCTCTCCCCGACTCAGGGTCATTTTTCTTTCCTCCCTCAGATCCCGGAGAGGTTTCTGCTGCTCGTCCCCGGGCCAGAGGCACAGGCTCTGACAAAGCCCCGGGGGTGGGGGGAGAATGCTCAGGCTCCTTCCCCTGAACGAGACACCAAAGACTCCAGCGTGGGAGCTACTGCTTCAGCCTCCCTTCCCGCTCCAGCACGGCTTCCTTCCCAAGGGGAGAGGCACCGAGGGCTGAGACCTGCTGCCTCCAGCCCCCCTTCTCCCCCCAGCATCCGCAGGCGGGCTTCTGAGGGGCACCGGCCAGTGCGGGTCTCACCTGGCAGGTCCTTGATGTCGACGCAGCCCAGGAAGCGCAGCGCGTCCTTGTAGTAGGAGGCGTGGTTGCCGATGGTCTGGTAGTACTTGCTGGAGAGGTCGTAGAAGCGGCTGTGCACCGACGTCACGCCCGGCAGGTTGTTGAGCATTTCTTCGACATCTTCGATGGTTTCCTGTTCCCAGGAAGCAAAACGGACCTCTCTGTAGCTTAGAGCGTTGTAAAGTAACACGTGACAAGACGGGAAGCAGCAGAACTTGGCGTGTTAGAGCAGAAACCTCAGCCCAGCCGAGAGGCTCGGTGGGGCGTCCACCCGTGCACCAAGAAGCTGCCGGTTCGAATTGCGGTCCAGGCCCAGGCCCAGGCCCAGGCCCAGGCCCAGGCCGTGGGCTCAAGGCTCGACCCCCAGAAGGGAGTGTATAGGAGGTAGCCGATCAATGATTCTCCCTTTCCCTTCCTCTCTCTCTAAAATCAATAAAAAAGAGACCAAAAGGCTCCAGGACAGGAAACTGACATGAAAAGGATGCAGAAGAGGGGGGGCAGCAGCATGGGAGCTGACTGGCGGACCCTGGTCCACTAGGGCCTCAGGCTGTGCCTGGCTGAGGCTGTGGCCCCTGCCGAGCCAACACGCTGGGTCCTGTTTGCAGGTAACGGCAACAACCAGCAACTTACCCTCAAGTGGTTTCTCAGGAAAAAGCCGGGCACACGGACAATGGGCAGGGGGATGGCAGCAGCGGGAGGAAAGGGCACAGGAGAGTACTTTGTGCTATTTCACAACTTTCCTGTAACTTATTTTAAAGTAAATAAATAAAGAGGAAAAATAGGATTTCCCCAATAGTTTTTTCTTTTTTTTTCGTTGTTGCTAGCCCTCAGCTAAGGCTATTTTCTCCATTGATTCTTAGGAAATGGGAGGGAGGGAGGGAGGAAAGATCGATGTGAGAGACATACACGGATTGGCTGTCTCTCCCACACTCTGACCGGGGCCGAGCTGGAACCCGCAGCACAGCAGGTGCCCTTGACCAGGATTCAATCCCATGGCCCTTCGGTGCGCAGGCCAGCGCTCTAACCACTGAGAAAACTGGCCAGGGCTTAAACAGCCTATTAAGCCCAAGACAAACCTGTGTGACGGCGACCTCACCTTTGTGACCTGTAGGTCCCCGATGTTCAACTTCAGGGCTCCGATGGCAGTTTTACACAGGATCACGGCCTCGTCGCTGCTCTTCACCTACAGACACCGGAAACAGGAACCTCAGACGGGTGGGCAGTGGCCCACAGAGCAAGGCACCCGCACCCTGCAGAGCCTGGTCTCCAGGGCTTCGGACAGTGAGCGAGCACAGACACAAACACATATTTAAGAACTTCACGCGTACCTTCTCACGCGTCTTCTCCAGAAAAGTAAGAGCCACGTTAGGATCTAGAAAAGGAAGCAGAACCAGCTCAGAAGAACCACCAAAGGTCTCTTTACAGACTGGTCTCTACCAACCAGCATGCTTTTACGTGGGGTAACCTTGAGATTTGGAACGTAAACAAAGATAAAAATGTTAGAAATGGATATTTTCTATCAAAATGCAATAAAGCTCCATTCCGTACGCTTCGAGGCCACGGAAGCAGCTGGCACCGGGACCAGCCCTGCCAGCAGCAGGCCACTCACCCGTCATCTGTCTGACCACGTGGAGGATGATCTCCACCAGGGACAGGGGGTTCACCCTGAAACATAAGCACAGCCGTGAGCGCCAGGCCTCGGCGCTTCCTTTCCCAAGACGACAAGCAGAGGGCCTTACCTGTGCTCGAAGTCACTGATGAAGTTTTCGTAAAGCTGTGGAGCAAAACATGGAGAGAAGTCAGACACCTGCATCTGCAGAGCCAGCCAGGACCTGCATCTGCAGAGCCAGCACGGCGGGCACGTTTCCCAGGACCCCCGCGTGTGGTTATTAGGTTCGCACAGATGATCAACAGATGTAACAGCAAGCTGGGCTGTTTCTGGCTTGGGGCATTGTACTGGCCTAGAAGGCTCTCTGAAGAACAAGTCTTTTGTTCTCCTCCAAAGCACCGGGTGAAACAGCCATCAGCTTGAGCCCAGGACCAGCAGGTTAGAAGACTGCAGGTCATTAGTCCCCGCTCCGGTCCCCAGCCACTCAGCCAGCACCAGGCGCTGCCCAGGGCTCCACGAGGGTCCAGGCTTCGTGGGGACTCATGAAATAAACGGCATCGCCGAGAACTCAGGAGCAAGGGGAATCGAAGCACACAGGTGGAGCAGCCACAGGGAGAGGTTCCCCTAGCTGGGGTGGCTCAGTGGGTAGAACATCGGACTGCACACTGAAAGGTCCTGGGTTTAAGTCCCGTCAAGGGCACATGCCAGGGTTGTAGGCTCCATCCCCAGCAGGAGGTGTGCAGGAGGCATGATTCCCTCTCATCACTGATATTTCTATTTCTCTCCCTTCCTCTCAGAAATCAATTTTTAAAAACTATACACACACACACACACACACACACATATATTTACACACACATATATATATTCTTTAAACCAACAAAAACAAAGGGAGAGATTCCAAAGTTTATTCCGGAAATGGTGACGAATTCTAGGGAGTGCAGAACAACGAGGTGACAAGTTTGGTGTGGGAGAGGGGCAGCTGGATAATCCAGATGCGCCAGGCAGGAGGGAGCATGTGCAGCACGGGAGAAACCTTCCTGTGGTGCGGGAGGGTTTCTGAAGGACAGACAGCGAGCGGGAAGTGGGTCTCTGTCCCGTTCAGGGCTGAGCCTCTGGTGGCACGTGATCACATGCCTGTTCTGACAGTAAGATCCAGGAGCATGCCACATGACTGCATCTTAGGACTTTAGATGCCAGAATGTGTCACTTATGCGCTGTGATCTATGGCAAGCCACCTAACCTCTGGGCTCTGCTCCTACGGCAGAATCGGCCACAGCACACCTGCCTCCCCGTGTTGCTGCGAAGAGTGAGTACACATGTGAACAGTCCCTGGCACACAGTGACTGCTGACTCAGTGCAGCGTCTTGTCATTGCAAACCCCCAATCTCCGAGTCCTGGAGCACATTTAGGCAACCTGACCCAGCATGACAAGGCAGTTACCTTAATAAGACCATCTCCTTGGGCAAAGCACGGATCCTGCACAAAGTCCAGCACCTGCAGTGTCAGCTGATGCCACAACCTGAAAAATGTAAGACTTAGAAAGTAACGTCCAGTCACAGGCGCGGCCGGCCCTTGTGTGGGAGCAGGAACTTCACTGCTGTATGCAGGGAGGGTGCCACCGAGCCCTGTCCTTCCTGGCTCCCCTCCTCCGAGGTAGGACCCCCGAGAGCGCCTCTCCTCTCCGAGACCCAGCGATAAATGGAGAACATCCCTCCAGACCACCTCCCAGGGTTCCTGTGAGGCGCGGTGGAGGCAAGAACTTTGGAATCGTACACATTCAAGTCCAAACCCTAGCTCTTCCGCCTGGCAACCGAGTGCCTCAGGGAAGGAGCTTCCATTGAGCTCATTTCTCCTCAGTGACGGGGTGATTGACAGCGAGTACAGGGAACTCTCTGGAATGATAGCACATTTGAAACCAAAGGCTAGCTTTTAAGGATGCAAATAAACTGCCTTGAAAAATACCAAGTGCTGCCCTGTGTGGCTCCGTGGTTGAGCGTCCAACTGTGAACCAGGAGATCACAGCTGACTCCTGGTCAGGGCACATGCCCCAATTTCGGACTCTACCCCCAGGGTGGGGTGTGCAGGAGGCAGCCAATGGTTCTCCCCCATCATTGATGTGTTTATACCTCTCCCTTCCTTTCTTCAATAAAGACATTTACTTCTTTGAGTATATTCTGCTTTCAGAGAGGAAGGGAAAGGGAGCCTTTAACCAAATGCAGACTCAACGCGGAACTGGCAGACATGCGCCAGGCTCTGGTCCCCCGGCTCCAGAGGACGAGGGCCTGGGCAGTCAGTAGGACGAGGCCGAGCGCAGGACGCCAGGATCTGCTGTCCAAGCCCGGGCGCTGGCTTGTTGGGGTGGAACGAGGATAAGGCCACCGGCCAGCCCAGAACCCTCTTCTGAGATCGGCAAGTTCAGAAGCCCCGCACAGCCCCTCGCTCAGGAGGGCGAAGGCCGTGACCCCTAGGCCAAGCCCCCACCCGTGTGGCTGCCACCCCACCCCGCCCCTCGGCCATGAAACACGCCCCCCCCCGCAGGTCGGGGCGCCCCCGGCCCGCCAGGCCCGGCCCCTCCGCGGTGCCCTCCCGCCGCGGCCCCCGCCCGCTCCCTCCGCTGCGCCCGCCTCAGTCTCACTTCTTCGTGTACAGCTCCTCCAGGCGGTGCCACACGGCGGCCTCGCCGGGCCCCGAGCTCTGGCTCTGCTGGAGGAAGCCTGGCACATCCTTCATGACGGCGAAAGAAGCCAAAACGGCGCTGCCACCGAGAACTCCGCGCCGCGGGACGGCTGCCGGAAATGCTCACTCACTTCCGGCGCCTCGCCGCGCGGGGCACGCCGGGAGCGCTGTCCGCGGCACTGGGCGTCCCCCGGTTGTCAGGGTAACCGCGCCCCTGGTGCCCCGAAGCGTGAGGAGTGCGCGCCTGGGGTCAACCGCCTGCCTGTTGGCCTCGGCCGTCGTGGCCCGCAGGCTCCTCTCTCCGGGGCAGCGGCGACAGCACGCTCCTAGCAGAGTCTCTAAGGACGGAGCGTGCGGGCGCGGCCTGCTCACAGTGGGCGCTCACCAAGCGTCCCCGCCCCCGGCTGGAAGAGGTGGGCGCGCCGGAGGGAGACTGGACACTCCCGCTGTGGGCGGAACTTTGCGGGCTGGGAACTGCCTTCACCCGGCGTCTGCGGCCCCCGGGACGCGCGGGGCGGGGCTGGCGGGGCGAGCGGGGGCGGGGCGAACGCGCGGGGCGGGGCGAGCGCGCGGGGGCGGGGACGTGACCGGGCGCGGGGACAACGACGCGAGCGGGCTCCGGTGACCATGGCGCAGTGGGCTCGACCTGCTCTCCGCGCGCTCAGACTCTGGGGCCCGAGCGGTGAGCTGGCCTGGGCCCGCCGGCCTCGGTTCGTCCGGGTAGCAGCCGCGGGGCGGGCAGGGGGAGACGGGTGCCTCGGGGCTGCCGTGGTGGCCCGCGGCCGGGGAAGGCCCACAGCGGGCTCAGTGCCCGGCGCGGCGATCCTCGGGTCCCCTCGCGTGGTGGGCGGGGCGGCAGCAGAACCTGACCTGTCCGGAGTGTTCCCCGCTCAGGTCTCGGTTCTTCTCGCGGTTCCCGGTCCGGGACGGTGACACCCACGTGCCCGTTGTTGACATTGCCGCCCTTAGTTTGGTCTGTACCTGCCCTTCCGCTTAGCGGTCCGTCTAGGACTTACTGCCCTGTCAGAACCCAGGTTCTTGACTGGATAACTCCTAATCCTTAGTTATTACAGAGAACGCTGCGGTGAGTTACCTAGTTGGTAGCTCACCTTTTAAAAAATATATTTTTATTGGTCTCAGAGGGTAAGGGAGAGGGAGAGATGGAAACATCAGTGATGAGAGAATCATCCACTCGCAGCCTTCTGCAGGATTGGCCCGCAGCTCTCCACCTCCCCACTCCACATGTGCCCGACCTGTAATCGACTCTGACCTCCTGGTCAGCGGTCAGTCACTGACCTCCGCCGCCAGGCGGGAGCTCACCCCTTGGGTGAATTCCTGGTCGTGCCACTCCTGGGTCTAAAGCCGAGCGCACTTTTATCGTCCCCCGAGAGGTCATGCAGGTAGCACCCCACCTGCGTGTGCAGAGCCCCCCTCCGGTCGCTGCGGACTGGGGAACCGTTGTGTGGGAGCTGGGCCAGCATGCAAAACCCGTAAGGCCCACGATGGTTAGGAAACTAATTTAACTGCCGGTATTGGACGAGCATTAAGTAGACGATGACACATTCGCGTGGTGCCATCTCACACAGCTCCTAACATCGTGGTAAAAGGTGACGGAGTGATTCCGAGGAGACTCTGTTCACCTGAAACCTATAAACCCTGGGTCTGTGAGGACACAGCCGGCACTGGGCTGACCTCGCTCCCTGCAGCCTGCCCCCGAGCCAGGCTCTGCAGGCACCTGGAGGGGGTCGTAGCTGAAGAGTGACCTGAACTACCAGGGGCCGATAAGGACTGGGACTGCCATTAAAGGCCTGGCTACCGGAGGATCCAAGATGGCTGCTCGGGTAGACATCTAGCCGCGGCAGCACACAACAATTTCAATGGAATACAACTAAAATGTAGAGTGGACATTGCCCAGAGCTACAGGTAGTCGACTGACTGAAATTTCTACAACAAGAAGGAAAGAGAAAACCAGAAAGAAAATCAGAGGAGCTGAAAAAAAGCCTAAGGTACGGAGACATGCTGCGCGCGCCTGCCCGCCCGCACGCGCGCACGGAGAGGTCGCAGCCAAAGAGGAGAAGAGGGCGGGGAGCCGCCTTTCCTTCCCTAGCAGGAAGGAAATAAAACCCCCAGCCTGGGCTGAACCCCCGAACCGGCAGCGCTGAGCTCCCCCGAACCAGCAGCGCTGAGCCCCAGTTATGGGCCAGACCCTGGGGACCCAGGCTCCGGTGGGAGGAGACGGGGCCGTGAGGCGGAAAAACGGCGAAAGACAGGGCCCCGGGAGTCGCGCGCAATGCGTGCAAAGGACTGAATGTTGACTCTGATGCTGGGTTGCCCTAGCCGGAAGAAACAAGGCCTCCGGCGGCGCTGAGCCTCAGTCCGGACTGCTCCGAACCCCAGTTCTGGGCCAAGCCCTGGGGACCCAGGCTCAGGCAGAGGGAGACGGGGCTGTGAGGTGGAGTCCGGGAAGAGCGGCGAAAGGCCGGGCCCCCGGGACTCTCGCAAACTGCACGCAGAGGACAGTCTGTGGGACTCGCGCAAACTGTGCGCAGAGGACAGTCTGTGGGACTCGCGCAAACTGCGCGCAGAGGACAGTCTGTTGACTCTGATGCTGGACTTCCCTAGCGGGAAGGAGGAAAAAAAAGCTCTAGGCTGGGGGAACGCGGAGGGGAGCGGAAGCCCCTGCCGGACTCCAGCCAACCTGGCACCAGCAAGGAGGCGGGCCACGGGGCCCCTGGGGGCGTGGGTGCCCCTGAGCCTTTGACCACTGAGCTCGGGCAATGGAGCCAAGGCCGGGAGCTGCTTCCTGGGCAGTGCCATCCCGGCAACAGGCTGAAGCAGCACAGGAGCCCGCGGAGAACAAAGGGGTGCCACAGGCCAACCTGCTGAGCTCCCAGGACAAGGAGGAAGAAACCAAAGAAGTTCTCAATGTGAAGAAATCAAGTGAGAGCAAAAAATAGTAAAATTACTTAAGAAAGAATACAAAGAAGATCTTGAAAAATCAAAGACTAAGTCAGAACTCAACTCACCAGCCAACATTGCAACATAAATGCGTTTTAAAAAGAAAAAAAAAGGACAGAATGTTGGAACAGCGACGGCCAGGCCTAGAGTGGCCAGGCACAAGGCAGTGGCAGCCAGACCCGGAGCAGCAACGGCCAGGCCCCAGAACAACAGCAGCCAGAACCAGAGCATCAACAACCAGCACTGGAGTAGCCAGACCTGGGGCAGTGGCAGCCAGGCATGAGGCGGAGGCGGCCAAGCCCAGGGTGGCCAGTCCAGGAACACCCAGACCCGGAGTGGCCGGGCCCGAAGAAGCCGGGCCCAGAGCAGCCGGGGTGGGAGCAGCCAGACCCAGAACAGCAGTAGCCAAGCCCAGAGCATCCAGGTCGGGAGTGGCCAGGCTCGGAGCGGCCGGGCCCGGGGCAGCCGGGCCCAGAGCAGCCGGGTCAGGTGCGGCCAGGCCCGGAGCAGCAGCTGCCAGGCTGGGAGCGGCCAGGCCCGGGGGAGCAGGCGGGTCGGGTGCGGCCAGGCCCGGAGCAGCGGCTACCAGGCTGGGAGCGGCCAGGCCCGGGGGAGCAGGCGGGTCGGGTGCGGCCAGGCCCGGAGCAGCGGCTGCCAGGCTGGGAGCGGCCAGGCCCGGGGGAGCAGGCGGGTCGGGTGCGGCCAGGCCCGGAGCAGCGGCTGCCAGGCTGGGAGCGGCCAGGCCCGGGGGAGCAGGCGGGTCGGGTGCGGCCAGGCCCGGAGCAGCGGCTGCCAGGCTGGGAGCGGCCAGGCCCGGGGGAGCAGTCGGGTCGGGTGCGGCCAGGCCCGGAGCAGCGGCTGCCAGGCTGGGAGCGGCCAGGCCCGGGGGAGCAGGCGGGGCTGGTGCGGCCAGGCCCGGAGCAGCGGCTGCCAGGCTGGGAACGGCCAGGCCCGGGGGAGCAGGCGGGGCTGGTGCGGCCAGGCCCGGAGCAGCGGCTGCCAGGCTGGGAGCGGCCAGGCCCGGGGGAGCAGGCGGGGCTGGTGCGGCCAGGCCCGGAGCAGCGGCTGCCAGGCTGGGAGCGGCCAGGCCCGGGGGAGCAGGCGGGGCTGGTGCGGCCAGGCCCGGAGCAGCGGCTGCCAGGCTGGGAGCGGCCAGGCCCGGGGGAGCAGGCGGGGCTGGTGCGGCCAGGCCCGGAGCAGCGGCTGCCAGGCTGGGAGCGGCCAGCCCCGGGGGAGCAGGCGGGTCGGGTGCGGCCAGGCCCGGAGCAGCGGCTGCCAGGCTGGGAGCGGCCAGCCCCGGGGGAGCAGGCGGGGCTGGTGCGGCCAGGCCCGGAGCAGCGGCTGCCAGGCTGGGAGCGGCCAGGCCCGGGGGAGCAGGCGGGTCGGGTGCGGCCAGGCCCGGAGCAGCGGCTGCCAGGCTGGGAGCGGCCAGGCCCGGGGGAGCAGGCGGGTCGGGTGCGGCCAGGCCCGGAGCAGCGGCTGCCAGGCTGGGAGCGGCCAGGCCCGGGGGAGCAGTCGGGTCGGGTGCGGCCAGGCCCGGAGCAGCGGCTGCCAGGCTGGGAGCGGCCAGGCCCGGGGGAGCAGGCGGGGCTGGTGCGGCCAGGCCCGGAGCAGCGGCTGCCAGGCTGGGAGCGGCCAGGCCCGGGGGAGCAGGCGGGGCTGGTGCGGCCAGGCCCGGAGCAGCGGCTGCCAGGCTGGGAGCGGCCAGGCCCGGGGGAGCAGGCGGGGCTGGTGCGGCCAGGCCCGGAGCAGCGGCTGCCAGGCTGGGAGCGGCCAGGCCCGGGGGAGCAGGCGGGGCTGGTGCGGCCAGGCCCGGAGCAGCGGCTGCCAGGCTGGGAGCGGCCAGGCCCGGGGGAGCAGGCGGGGCTGGTGCGGCCAGGCCCGGAGCAGCGGCTGCCAGGCTGGGAGCGGCCAGGCCCGGGGGAGCAGGCGGGTCGGGTGCGGCCAGGCCCGGAGCAGCGGCTGCCAGGCTGGGAGCGGCCAGCCCCGGGGGAGCAGGCGGGGCTGGTGCGGCCAGGCCCGGAGCAGCGGCTGCCAGGCTGGGAGCGGCCAGGCCCGGGGGAGCAGGCGGGTCGGGTGCGGCCAGGCCCGGAGCAGCGGCTGCCAGGCTGGGAGCGGCCAGGCCCGGGGGAGCAGGCGGGTCGGGTGCGGCCAGGCCCGGAGCAGCGGCTGCCAGGCTGGGAGCGGCCAGGCCCGGGGGAGCAGGCGGGGCTGGTGCGGCCAGGCCCGGAGCAGCGGCTGCCAGGCTGGGAACGGCCAGGCCCGGGGGAGCAGGCGGGGCTGGTGCGGCCAGGCCCGGAGCAGCGGCTGCCAGGCTGGGAGCGGCCAGGCCCGGGGGAGCAGGCGGGTCGGGTGCGGCCAGGCCCGGAGCAGCGGCTGCCAGGCTGGGAGCGGCCAGGCCCGGGGGAGCAGGCGGGGCTGGTGCGGCCAGGCCCGGAGCAGCGGCTGCCAGGCTGGGAGCGGCCAGGCCCGGGGGAGCAGGCGGGGCTGGTGCGGCCAGGCCCGGAGCAGCGGCTGCCAGGCTGGGAGCGGCCAGCCCCGGGGGAGCAGGCGGGGCTGGTGCGGCCAGGCCCGGAGCAGCGGCTGCCAGGCTGGGAGCGGCCAGGCCCGGGGGAGCAGGCGGGTCGGGTGCGGCCAGGCCCGGAGCAGCGGCTGCCAGGCTGGGAGCGGCAAGCCCCGGGGGAGCAGGCGGGGCTGGTGCGGCCAGGCCCGGAGCAGCGGCTGCCAGGCTGGGAGCGGCCAGGCCCGGGGGAGCAGGCGGGTCGGGTGCGGCCAGGCCCGGAGCAGCGGCTGCCAGGCTGGGAGCGGCCAGGCCCGGGGGAGCAGGCGGGTCGGGTGCGGCCAGGCCCGGAGCAGCGGCTGCCAGGCTGGGAGCGGCCAGGCCCGGGGGAGCAGGCGGGTCGGGTGCGGCCAGGCCCGGAGCAGCGGCTGCCAGGCTGGGAGCGGCCAGGCCCGGGGGAGCAGTCGGGTCGGGTGCGGCCAGGCCCGGAGCAGCGGCTGCCAGGCTGGGAGCGGCCAGGCCCGGGGGAGCAGGCGGGGCTGGTGCGGCCAGGCCCGGAGCAGCGGCTGCCAGGCTGGGAGCGGCCAGGCCCGGGGGAGCAGGCGGGTCGGGTGCGGCCAGGCCCGGAGCAGCGGCTGCCAGGCTGGGAGCGGCCAGGCCCGGGGGAGCAGGCGGGGCTGGTGTGGCCAGGCCCGGAGCAGCGGCTGCCAGGCTGGGAGCGGCCAGGCCCGGGGGAGCAGGCGGGGCTGGTGCGGCCAGGCCCGGAGCAGCGGCTGCCAGGCTGGGAGCGGCCAGCCCCGGGGGAGCAGGCGGGTCGGGTGCGGCCAGGCCCGGAGCAGCGGCTGCCAGGCTGGCAGCGGCCAGGCCCGGGGGAGCAGGCGGGGCTGGTGCGGCCAGGCCCGGAGCAGCAGCTGCCAGGCTGGGAGCGGCCAGCCCCGGGGGAGCAGGCGGGTCGGGTGCGGCCAGGCCCGGAGCAGCGGCTGCCAGGCTGGGAGCGGCCAGGCCCGGGGGAGCAGGCGGGGCTGGTGCGGCCAGGCCCGGAGCAGCGGCTGCCAGGCTGGGAGCGGCCAGGCCCGGGGGAGCAGGCGGGGCTGGTGCGGCCAGGCCCGGAGCAGCGGCTGCCAGGCTGGGAGCGGCCAGCCCCGGGGGAGCAGGCGGGGCTGGTGCGGCCAGGCCCGGAGCAGCGGCTGCCAGGCTGGGAGCGGCCAGGCCCGGGGGAGCAGGCGGGTCGGGTGCGGCCAGGCCCGGAGCAGCGGCTGCCAGGCTGGGAGCGCCCAGGCCCGGGGGAGCAGCCGGGTCGGGTGCGGCCAGGCCCGGAGCAGCGGCTGCCAGGCTGGGAGCGGCCAGGCCCGGAGCAGCAGCAGCCAAGTCCAGAGCAACTAGGTCGGGAGCGGCAGTGACCAGAACTGGAGCAGCTGGTTGTGGAATGAACCAGAGCAACAGAGGCCAGGCCCTGAGCAGCCAGGCCCAGAACAGCTCTCTCCTTGCCTGCCCCTGCCCCACGGCTGCTTCTCAGACATGGCTGGAAACTTTCGTGGGAACTTGAGTGTCTGCTGAATCAAGTGATGAAGGCTTAGATCTGGATGTGTTGAGTTAGTTTAGTACTGGGGTGTTGATCTGTGAGTGCCTTGGGTGGGGCCTCGATGAGGCTGGTTGACCTAGTGGGAAATGCCTTTTGTGTGAAGTGTATCATTGGGCATGTGGAGGTATTATTGATATGAGAAAATGCTAAGTAACTGATTTACTATCTGAAAAGGGATTTACTATTGGGGAAATTGAGGGAAGAAGAGACTGAACATAAACTGCACCTATGGATGAGGACAATGGGGGATGGGGGGGGGACGGAGGGTGGGGTGGGAACCTGGTGGAGGGGGGAAGAAATGAGGAACCTTTGTAATAATATGAACAATAAAGATTGCTAAAAAAAAAAAAAAAAAAAAAAAAAAAAAAAAAAAAAAAAAAAAAATAAAGGCCTGGCTACCCCTGTCCCAGAGCAGGGGGGCACAGGGGCTGGGAGCAGCAGTGCGTTAGCACCGGCTTTCCCCTGCACAATTTCTGCCCTTTGAGGTGTGTGTGTGTGTGTTTAATTATTGTATTCTTATTGATTTCAGAGAGAGGGAGAGAGAGATAAAAACATCAATGAGAAGAGAATCATTGACCGTTGCCTCCTGCACGCCCCACATTGGGGATGGGGCCCACAACCCGAGCCTGTGCCTGACCAGGAATCCAACTGTGACAGCCTGGCTCACAGGTGGATGCTCAGCCACTGAGCACACCTGCCGGGCTGCCCTTTGAGTTTTGATTTGAGGACTCTTGTATGACATCATCCTTTGTTTCCCTCTCCCAGACAGCACCCATGCTTGCTCCTCAGGGTCCCCTACACCCAGTAAATCTCACTCCCTGTACCGGGTACACTTTGTCACACATCAGGCATACTCTAGACATGTGGTAAGATTCTGGCCGTATGTTTCCCAGGTGAGCAGTGCACATGGGGTTCCTGAGTGAGGCCTTACTCTCAGCCACGCCCAGCCGTGGTGACCGCTCTCCGGTACATGCTTATTTGCAGCCTCAGCGAGCAGTCGTCCCGTTTTCCACACACTTCACTCAGTCTGACACCAGCACCTGGGGATAGCGCCGGACCCCACAGCTAAGGCTCAGTCTCACAAGCTGCTCCCCGCCTCAGGTGCCCGTCCAGGGGGGTCTGACCCACCAGCTGTCGGTCAGAGGTTCCTGTGATCCCCTCCTCAGCTTTGATTCATTTGCTAGAGCAGCTCACACAGTCTAGGGACCAGATTCCCGGCTTATTACATTAAAGGGCAGGCACACACGAGTGGAGAGATACGGCCTCGGTCTGCAAGGGCCCCCACACATGGCTCCAGGTAGTGAATGGGGCTGGGGGCTGGTGCAGGGCCGCTTCTGGTTCCCAAGGTGGAAGCGGAGTCCCTTTTGTTTTTTAGGGAGGCTCCAGCCCTCCTGGGAGCCAACCCCCATCCTCAGGGGGTTTCCAGAAGTCCCTCCCTAACCTCAGTGCAGGCGGGTGGAAAGGGCTTCCTTTAACAACAAGGCCCATCTGCCAAGACCGGTTTGGCTCAATGGATAGAGCGTTGGCTTGGGAACTGAAGGGTCCCGGGTTCGATTCCGGTCAAGGGCATGTACCTTGGTTGCGGGCACATCCCCAGTAGGGGGTGTGCAAGAGGCAGCTGATCGATGACTCTCTCTCATTGATGTTTCTAACTCTCTATCTCTCTCCCTTCCTCTCTGTACAAAATCAATAAAATATATTTAAAAAAACAACAACAACAAGGCCCATTTCACCTTATGACTCCGAGTCGGCGTCTGAACTGAGCAGAGAGACCAAATGCTGCGAGAAAAGACGCTGCCCAGGCTCCTGTCACTTAGGAAACGCCACGTGTGGGGCTGTGAGCCCGTGGTGGGAGACGACCAAATGACTTATAAATCCCAGGCCCGCCACGCCCTCTGTCCCTTCTGTAGGCCCATAAGCTTTAGGCGGAGCTCAGGAAGGCTGGGTTTTCCTGCCTGACCATCCGACCAGCTCTCAGCAACCCCCTTGGGAGGTGGCTTGACTTGCAGGCAGAGCTGCGGTCTGGGGGGCGGGAGCCCCGCTTGGGAGGGGGATCTGCAGGATCCGGGGAGGGAGCGCCTGTGCTGGGAGGCGGGCAGTTCTGTTTCTAAGGAAGAATTGCCGCGGCCTTGCTTGGCTTCGGCAGCTGAGGCCCACGCGGTGCCCCCAGCCTTGCGTGTGCAGCCTGTCCCTTTCTCGTCCATCCCCGTCAGGCCAGGGTCACAGGTGACGCTCTGTGTGGCCAGAGAGGTGGCAACACAGGAGGTGCGTGTGGACTGAGTAGCAGGTCCCTGAACTGCCCGCCACTGAGCCAGAGCGGAGTGAGGCCGCCCCAGGGTCGCTGCGTGGGGGGCAGGGGCGGGAGAAGCAGGGAGCCCCTGGGGCTGAGAGGAGGGTGTGAGGTGGCCCTGGACTGGGACTGTGGCTGAGGGGGTCCCGTGGGCGCGGAGCTGCGAGCCCTCAGGCCGTGCAGCAGGCAGCCCGCGGGGCCTGGTCCCGGCTGGTGAGGAGCAGACGGAGAGGGAGGGGTCAGACCTGGAAGATGAGCCCCAACTGTCCTGCCCGGAGTCTGAAGACGTGCTCTAGGGGCTCCTTCCTTTCGGGGTCACGGCGAGTTAAAGACTCACTTTCCGGTTTTGAGTCATCGTCTGGGGAGGGTTGTCGGATCGATGGTTGCCTCTCTCTTCCCATCAGGGTGGAGGGGTCACAGGTGGAGTGTGGGAAGGGCCGAGCCGCTGGCAGGCCTGCACTCAGGGCGAGTGGCCAGCGCCGTGGTGGGGTGCCGCCGTGGTGGGGTACCGCCGTGGTGGGGTGCCGCCGTGGTGGGGTGCTGGCGAGGCCCCACCCTCAGGCCTCGTGCTCCTTGGCCGCTTCTGTGTCTCCCCGGGGCTTTCCCACGGGCTCAGCGAGGCCGAGCTTGTTGGCTGCATGTCTGGCCCTGTCGCCGTGGCAGACCTTCCCGCTCCCCAACAGGGAGCCGCCCATCGGGCTGTGCCTTCCCGGCATGGCGGGGATGCTGGCAGTGGCAGAGGCAGCATTAGAACTCCTGGCTGTCAGGTGCGATGCTGCTTTCTGGAAGGGTCTCTACAGCCCCCTTCCCATCCCGACAATAAGAAGTGTAACTTTCTTTAAACGCTACTGTGTGTGTCACATCCGTGCTGGTGTGGACGGCTCTGCAGAGCGGGCCGCAGCCCACAAAGGGGGGCGCCCTGGCTCCGGCCTGGCCTGTGACCTTCCTCACGCACACATGGTTCCCAGTCATGGAAATGGCTTCGTCCCAGGACTCGTTCCTCCTGGGAAAGGTGGGCCCCGGGGACAGGAGGGTCGGAGGCCGGCTCAGCCGTGGGGCGGGGGAGGGGCGGGCTGCTCGCTCTGGACCACCTGCCTGGACTTGACAGCGGCTCCCTGGCCACTCCCTTTCCGTCAGTTCCGTGGGTGGACGGCCGCCCTCCTGTCCTTCTGCTGGTGTCGCGAGTGTCTCAGGAAACGGAGGCAACAGCGCGAAGGAGAAGCTCTCCCTGCAGGACGTGGCGGAGCTGATTCTAACGCAGGCCTGCAAGAGGGTGGTGGTCATGGTGGGGGCTGGCATCAGCACGCCCAGCGGCATCCCCGACTTCAGGTGCCGCCCTGCCCGTGCCCCTCCCCACTGCATCCTCTCCCCCCTCCATCCCCCCCACTTCACTCCTCCCCCCACCCAACTGTCCCCCCATGGCCCCCTCCCCACCCCCACTCCCCCTGCTGGTGCCCCCTCTCCACCTACACCCCCTCTCCACCTGCACCCCCTCCCCTGGCGCCCCTTCCCGCGGCACCCCTCTCTCCTTCTGAGGCTCCGGCTGCTCTTGCAGGTCTCCAGGGACCGGCTTCTACAGCAGCTTCCAGCACTGCGATGTCCCGTACCCTGAGGCCATATTTGAACTCACCTTCTTCCTCCACAACCCCACGCCCTTCCTCACGTGGGCCAAGAAGATGTACCCAGGGAACTACAGGCCCAACGTGATCCACTACTTCCTGCGGCTGCTCCAGGACAAGGGGCTGCTCCTGCGGCTCTACACGCAGAACATCGACGGGCTAGAGCGAGGTGAGGCCTCCCGGCGGCTGTCCCACACCCTCCCTCCCTCCCTCCCGTGCCTCTGACAGCGCCAGGTCCGGCCGCACAGGCGCCGTTCCAGCACCTGCTGCTGGTTTCTGGGGACCTGACGCCCCCGGGCTCCTAGGCTGCTCTCTCCCTTCTCGGGGCTGGGATGGGCCTGTGGAGTGTGTGAGAAGCAAATGCCTCGAGTTATACATGTAGCCTACAAATCCCCCGTGGGCGCCCTCACAGATGAGGACTTTCACACCATCATGCAGAGGCCTAGACGCTCCTGTCAGCGGACTCTGTGTGACGGTGGGCTGAGCGGGTGGCAGTGATTCCGGCTGGTGCTGAGCACTGCGCTGGCCCTCACCTGTGAGGATCACGTGCTGGGCCTTTTCCCTCCCGCAGTGGCGCCTTCAGGTGCTGACTGGCGCTGACCGAGACACTGCCGGAATAGCTGCGTCTGTCTGTCTGTCCAGTGCTGGAAATGGGCTGCGTCTCCTTTCCCCTCTCACCTTTGCTCGGTGTGTGTGGAGCAGAGGGATGTGAGGGAGCAGCAGAGGCTGCTTCCCGAGGCTGGCTACTCCGGGAGCCCCCTCTGAGGGAGGACTCCTCCTGGGCCTCCAAGCTACCCGCCACCCACCCCCTCCTCAGCAGCACTGAGCTGAGCTTTCCCTTCCAGCGGCCGGCATCCCTGCCTCGAAGCTGGTGGAAGCGCACGGCTCCTTTGCCTCTGCCACCTGCACCGTGTGCCACAGAGCCACCCAGATGGAGGGCTTCTGGGTGAGTGCCCCTGGGTTGCAGGCGGGGTTGTCTATGACTGTGTCCTGAGGACGGAGCGGGGGTAGCTGGGACCGTTTTTCTTTATTTAAAGGTAGACCTGTAATACGTGACAATGAAGGCAGCACAGAGTACATAGGGAAGGTCTGTGTAATGTGTTGGTGCTTTTAAGAGATCTGTGCACATCACACACACACACACACACACACACACACCTCCCACACACGCCCGTGTGTCTGCAGGGGTGGACCATGTACTTAACATGACACTTGCTCCCTCACGGAGCACAGCGCCGTGGGCAGGTGTCATGGGGCAGCTTGGAGGGGCAGTGCTTATTGTTGGCAGAGCAGTGAGGCCCCCCCTCCCAGCCTCTCGGGGTTGGGGGGGCTCCTTCAGGCAGAGTGGGTGGAGCTGGCATCTTGGCGATGGCCGGGACCCTGCCTTTCACTTGTATGGAGGCAAAGGTCACATGACCTAAGGTGACCCGTGGTACAGGCATTCCTACGTTCACCGTGGTATGTCGCCCCCCTTCTAGTGGAAAGCACTTGCTTCACCCCAAAAGGGAGCCGGGTCCACATCCCTGAGCCTGTCCTGCCGCCCCCCTGCCTGCCACCGTGCCACCGTGCCCGGAGAGCCTCCCGTAGCTGGGGGCTCAGATGGAGGGGGGTAACGATAACGGTAACAGTGCTCCTGGCACAGGGGCTGCCTCACTGCTCCACGGGAGGACCTCTCGCTTTGCCTTTGCCTGTCATGGCGCTGCTTCCTCACCCCTCTGTGTCCCAGGAGGCGGTGATGGAGGACAAGGTCCCCCGCTGCGCAGTCTGCACTGGCCTCGTGAAGCCCGACATCGTGTTCTTCGGGGAAGCGCTGCCCCAGAGGTTCCTGCTGCACGTGGTGGACTTCCCCACCGCCGACCTGCTGCTCATCCTGGGAACCTCCCTGCAGGTTCGCCCGGGCGGGGTAGGGGAGAGTGCGGGGAGCAGGGAGAGTGTGGAGGGGGAGCAGGGAGAGTGTGGGGGGGAGGGGGAGAGCATATCCAGCCCCAAGGGCTAAGAGAGGAGGGTTGTGGAGTCATGACATTGTTGTTTGTTAATCCTCACCCGGGGATGTGTTTTCCATTGGTTTTGAGGGGAAGGGAGGGAAGATAAAAAGAAACATCGATGTGAGAGAGACACATTGATTGGTTGCCTGCTGCATGCGCCCTTGACCGGGGCCAGGGAGGTACATGCCCTTGATGGAATCAAACCCGAGATGATGCTCTACCCACTGAGCGACACGGGCTGGGGCTGTCACACTGACTCTTGCTTGAGTCAGGCCTTTTGGGGTCTGCACAGGGAGGGCACAGAGGGGCCGCCCTCCCCCCACTCCCCTCCCTGGCGTGCGGGGCTGGGATGAACTCCACTGGTCATGGGAAAGGCCACATCTCTCTCTCTCACACCCTCACATTCACACACACACACACACACACACACACACACACCCCCTAAGTGTGGGACCAGGTCCTTGCCTTTGGAATGGAGTGAGGACAGACCAGCCTGCCAGGCTGTGCTGGGGTGGGTGTGGCCTGGTGGGGAGGACAGGTGATCCTGGCCTGAGCGGGCAGTGGGAGACAGGACTGCCTGGGACAGGGAGGTTGCAGCAGGAGGAGGCCGGGCTCCTCTCCGGGGGCGCACACAGCCTCCAGAGGTCCAGGCTGGCCACGGCTCCTCACGTTTGGCTGTTTTCCAGGTGGAGCCTTTTGCCAGCCTGTCGGAGGCCGTGCGGAGCTCGGTGCCCCGCGTGTTCATGAACCAGGAGGCGGCGGGGTCCCTGGCCTGGCACTCTCGCAGAAAGGACGTGCTGCAGCTGGGGGAGCTGGTGGACAGCGTGGACAGGCTGGTGGCGCTGCTGGGTTGGACGGAGGAACTGAAGGACCTGGTCCAGCGGGAGATGGGGCAGGTACAGGCTGAGGCGCTAACACTGGCTGCCAGTCCTGGTCCAGCAGAGACGGGGCAGGTACAGGCTGAGGCGCTAACACTGGTTGTCAGGCCTGGTCAAACCCACAGACAAGCGGCTACAGAGATGAGGTTTCCCAGGGACCCGCCTGTCGCTGTGCTGGCTGACTTCCCCAGGAAGGGCCTGGGCATCTGGGCTAGCTCTGGAGGGCACCCTGCAGGCAGAGAGACCCCCCACTCTCCAAGGGAGTTACCAGGGTGTGCTGATCTGGTTCCTGTGGCCCCAGGCAGACGTCCGGGGAACCCCACCCTCCGGCTGCACTGTCACCCTCTGGCCGCAGCCTCATCTCCTGCCAAGTGGGGCCAGAGAGAGCTGAGGCTCGGGGTGAGACTGCCCTTAGGTCTCCGTCGTCATTCCAGGCCTTTCATTCATTCGTTTGGTCTCAGGGCTGAGACGTAGGCTGGTGCCAGATGTCAGGAGGAGGCGGGGAGTGAAGACCATCCAGGCCTCGACGCCCACGGGCAGAGGGGCAGAGGCACAGCCTGGCATGGTCGCCAGCAGTGTCTGGGGCTCCTGCTCGGGCTGACTGCGCCCACCACAGCAAGCTGCCAGGAGCCCTGTGGCTTGGGAGCTGGTCCCTAAGATCTGCCTCGTGGTGCCTCCGGGTCTCACAAGGGGTGTCAGGTGGGTTATGGTTTTAGGGGTTGAGCTGCTGTCCAGGAGGAAGTGTGGGTACACTGTGACTGGCTGCTTCCCCGCCCTGCTGGCACCAGCCAACTTGGCTCCACAGCGGTGTTTGTAGACAGAAAGCTTCGCCTTAGGAAGAGTTTGTGCCTCTGACGTTGCCTGTCCAGGTGACCTGCTGCCCTCTCCTCTGTTCCAGCTCAGTGGCCAGGACAGATAGGGCACGGCTGTCCCCCACCAGCACTGGGTGCCTGGAGTCACCACCCATTTCCGGACAGACCTCGTGCCTGGACAGCTGAGGCAAGCGTACAAACTGCTGGCCCGGAACATGGGCCGAGGGGCGGAGCGTGGTCCACCGGCGCCATGCCCACCCTGTGCCTGCCGCGCTGCCGTCGGTGGTACAGCCCGTCGCCCTGCAGGTCCCTCTCCATGTGCGGAGGCTGTACTGCGAGGCTTCCTTCTGACCCGGGCCGAGGACCGCAGCCCACGCAGGCCGCACCCTGTGCCCAGGCCTCCGCCTGCAGGGCAGCTAGGCTTCTGTCCGTCAGAGGCCTGGCCTAGGCGGAGGGGCCCAGCCACCTCCCGAGTGGGGCCTGGCTCCCATGCCATGCCCTGGGCCCTGCTGGCACGCCGGTCTCCTTAGGAGGGTGCTGTCCTTCACTTCCGGCATGAAATAAAATTTACTGTAGACATCAGGTGTCCTTTCCTTCTTGTCCTTCAAAGGGGACAGTGCGTGTGCAAAGGGACGTGGGGGTCCAAGGACAGAACATGGGTCCCTGTGTCACCCCTCACGTCCTGTTCACCCGATGCCTGCCTTTGACATTAGCCTCCCCAGACACACATCTGGCCCAGACCCTGCGACTCCCCTTGCAGGCACGCCACTAGGATTAGCCTCAGATGCAGCCACCACCCCACATGCTCCTTCCTGCGGTGTGCTGCCTGCCGGACCCTGGGCGGGAGCTCAGGAGCAGGTTAAGGATTTGACTCCTGGTGGCCTCATTCCTCAACAAGAAAAGACGAGTGTCACCTGGCAGATTTGGCTCAGTGGATAGAGCGTCAGTCTGTGGACTGAAGGGTCCCAGGTTCGGTTCCCTCCCTCAGGGCACATGCCCAGGTTGTGGGCTCAGTCCCCAGTAACGAGCATTCAGGAGGCAGCCAATCCACGATTCTCTCTCATCATTGATGTTTTTCTCTCTCCCCCTCCCTCTCTGAAATCAGTATTAAAAAAAGACTTTCACATCAGCCTTGGAAAAGGGTTCAATTATGGAAAGAACAAGACTAGCTTCTTTCTCTTTAACGCGCCTTTACTGGGAGTTTGACACATGTTCACACACACACACACACACACACTCTTGCCCGAAACTCCGGGACGTTTCTGTGATGCTTGGGGGACACAGTAGGGAACAGGGTACTGGCTCCCGAGCAGGATCCTCGTGTGTGTGAACCACACCAGGGGTGGACAGAGTCAGCTGTGAAACCGGTGGGGGCTAGCTCGGCGCCGTGGACAGCCAAGGCCGCTGCCAGGACCCAGAGGTGCTCCGTGGGGACGGGGACACACACAGCCCTTGGAGTGTTCCTGACATCAGCACGTGTTCTAGCAGGTTCTTCCCCCTCTCAAAGGCAGCACCTGCCTGACCGCCTGGCTCTGGGCTTCCTTCCGGCCGCCCTCGGAGCAGCCGCTGCACACCCACTCCTGGCTCACGAGGCCACGTCACCTGTGGGAGCCGGTGACAGCAGGACAAGGCCTCACGGTCCCAGAGAGGAGAGGCGGGAACAAGACTGAGGGAGTGACGAGAGGGGGCCCGAGGACACGGCTGGCAGCAGCACCAGTTCTGGGGGTGGGGTGGCCGCCCTCAGTCGGGATCCGAGTCTGCGTCCGAGGAGAGCTGGCCCTCCATGCTCTCGCACACGGCGTCCTGCAGGGTGGTGAGCTGGCCCCGGGGACTCACCCCCATGGGCTGGATGACACGGTGCCTGCAGGGAGAGGGGTGGTGGGTGGGCGTCCTGCCCCGGTGGCGCCTTCACCCCCAGGCTGCCCGCTCACAGCCAGCCAGGCCCGAACCCTCACTGCTGCCAGTGGCCTGGACGCCTGAGGCAGGCTTAGTTTTTCTGGGCCTCGGTTTCCATCATCTGTAAAAAGGACATAATGCGGCCCTGGCCGGTGTGGCTCAGTGGATAAGAGCGTCAGTCTACGAAATGAAGGGTCCTGGGCTCGATTCCAGTCAAGGGCACGTGCCCAGGTTGAGGGTTCCATCCCTAGTGTGGGGCCTGCGGAAGGCAGCCGATCGATGATTGTCTTTGATTGTTGATGTTTCTCTCTCTCCCTCTCCCTTTTTCTCTAACGTCAATAAAAACATATAAAGAAAGAAGACAATGTTGACCGCAACTGTAATCACTGATCCAGAATAGGTGATTGCAAACACGAGTAACTCAGACTCACCAGGACCCTAGGTCGCCCCTGGCCCCGCCTCTGGCCCCACCTCCCCTCGGGACAGGATGCGGCCCTCCTGCCGGACCCCCGCTCGGACCGCACCTGGAGAGCCGGTCGAACATGGTCACCAGCTTCATGGCCTCGTGCTCCTTCTGCTCCTCCGTCATGCCCTCCATGGGGTTGGGCGGCTTCTCCTCCACCCTCCCGGTCACCGGGTTGATGCTGCTTCCGGGGAGGGGGTGTGGGGGATGTGCTGAGTCCCAGGCCCGGAGGGCTGCGGTCAAGCAGCTCCTCCCTCAGGCTGGTCCCCCAGATTCCCGGCCCCTTTCCTCTATTCTCAGTGAAACACTGGGCGTCAGGACCCGTGTCACCCAGGGACAGGGCCGGGCTCAGAGTCCACCCCATCCCCGCCCCCAGGGCCCAGATGGTGGGGAGCCCGAGAGTGCGCAGACACACCTGGCCTTGGCCTCCTTGTACTCCTCTGTGTCCGTGTCCTCGTCCTCCGAGTACTGGCCCTCAGGCCGGCCCCCCGCCATGAGGCCCCGGGCGGCCAGGAGGCCGGCGGCATTCCCGTAGCCTGTGTACTTGATGAAGCGGGGCACTGCGGAGGCAGAGGCGGGCAGGGTCAGCGTGCGCACGGGGCAGGGGGCTGGGGACTGGGGACTGGGGACAGGCGCTGCCACACTCACCGCTCTCCGAGCACAGGACAAACAGGAACTCGGCAGCCACCCTCTTCACGTCCGTGTCCAGGTGCGTCATGAGGCGGACCAGCTTGTTCCGCAGCAGCTCCCCCACCTCGGGCCGCGTCTTCACGTCCCTCAGCGGCGGCAGCACCTGGGAGCACAGCCGTCAGCCTGGCCCGCAGGGCGGGGGGACCAGGGCCGCCCGGCCCCTGCCATACCTGGGCCTTCAGGAACTTGCGGGCGGGGCGGTGCAGGCGGGCACACTCGGTCAGCACGCTCAGCACAGGGGCCACGCCCTCCTTCAGCCGGTGTGTCTGCAGAGGAGCGGCGGTGAGGCGGTGCCCGATGCCAGGCCGGGCCACCCGGGTGGAACTCCCAGGCCTCACGTGTGCTCTGTGGCTCGGCTCTCTGAGTCCAACCACCTCGCCCACAAGCCAGGTTGTGGGGAAACAACTTTCACGCTGTTAGGACACCACTGGCCCCAAGTGGCCCTCAGAAGGTGGTGGCCAGGGAGCAAGAACAAACCCCCTACTCTGCAGGGAGCCCCCGCAGCCCCTGCACCGCTGCCTGGGTACCTCCCTGGACCCCAACACCAGCAGCGGTAGCGACAGGGACAGGTGTCACGGCCATGTCCAATGCCAGGTGTGTGACCCAGCTCTCCGTGCACGTGGGTGACGTGGATTCCGAGGGATCCACTGACCCTCTGTCTGGCTCTGCAGCCCCACAGTGCCTGGTAGCTCCCAGAGGGCCGGTGAGAGCCCGCTGGCCGATGTCCGGCAGCTGAGGCCTCAGGAGCCTCTGGCTCAGGGTTCCTGTGGATCAGGGACGGCTGGTGCTGTCCCCAAGGGAAGTCTGTGCACAGTGACACTGAGCCCGAGGCCAGGCCCCTCAGACTCTAGAGCACAAGGGCCCCGCGCCAACCTCCCCAGCCAGAGGGAAGCAGGCCCCGGGCAGCCCGCAGGCAGGTCCCCGCCCACCTGGTGCAGGCGCTTCTCCAGGAAGCCGAGGAGGGCGCCCATCACATCCATGTTCACGCCCAGGAACTCCAGGGAGCCTTTGCGCGGCTCCAGGGCCAGCAGGACATCCAGACACTTGACGGGCAGGTTCCCCAGCAGGTTCACTGCGTGGCTGGGGACAGCGGGAGGGGAGTGGGTAAGTCCAGCAGCTCAGCTCTCGGTGCAGCTGCTAGGGCTACATGTGACACGAGCCAGCAACCAGGGGACTAAGGAGCAACACGGGCCGGAGCTGAAGGGGGACTGGTCTCAGGGGAGTGCTCGGGTTGGGAAGGGCGCCCCGCCTGCCACCCAGTTTGGGCTGAGGCACCCCAGGCGATCTCCAGAAAGCCACACCTGCCTGAGCTCTGGTCACGGAGAAAAGGGGCAAGTAAGCACAGCCCTCAGACACCTGCCTTCTGCTGCCTGCCCTGCCCCACCTGCCCCTCCCCGGCTCCTGGCCCAGCGCTCCTGGCAACACCTGATGCTGGTCCCACCCAGAGGGATGTGGGTGCTCCCTCCAGCACGAGGGGCCGCCTCACCCGTGGAGCTCCTCGGTGCGGTCCCCCGCAGCCGCCATCACACAGTGCCGCAGCAGAGTCCCCAGGCGCCGGTACAGAGCAGCGTCGTCCTGACAGAGAGAAGGGCCCCTGTGGCAGAGCCAACCTGTCCCCTGCCGCCAGCGAGTCCTGCTGCCTGGGCCCCGCCTGCTGACTACCCGTCTCCTCTGATGCCTCCCCCCCCATTAGGAACGACCATGGGTCCCTTGGATGACACCACACTGTGTAGGGAAGTTGCCCTCAGTCTCTCACCACCCAGCCTCCACCGCCCTCAGGACCCTCCCTTGCTGCCGCTGCCCAGAATGGACACCCCCTTGAGCGTCCTGTCCCAGCCTGACACCCGACACATTAGGGTGCCCCTCAGCGAGGCAGGCCCAGGAGGCACCACGGGTGCTGGGCAGCCCTCACCTCGTCCACTTCCCTCCGGACGGAGTCGAAAGTGATGTTGAAGAGCACCTTGAGGGCTTCCATGGCCCGCTCGGTCTGCTGGGGAGGAAGGCGCTCTGGGGGGCTCTGTCCCGGGGTCACCCCCAGGGTCCGCTGCAGGGCCTCCGTGAGCAGGGGCACGCCCTGCAGCTCCTGGAACAGCTGCCGGCGCACCTCCGGCCGCAGGGCCGTGAGCAAGAACAGGAGGCGCAGGTCAAAGAGCTGGACCTCGTGGGGGAAGCCGCTCTCCCCGTGCAGCCCCACGCGCTGGGCGAGCCTCACCACCAGGCGCGCCTCTGCCGCCAGCGCCTGTGCCTGGGGGCTGCTGAGCACCAGGTTGCACAGGCACTTGAGGGACTCGAGGACAACGTCCATGTCCAGGGGCCCGGGGGATGCCGCCTCGGAGATGCCGGCATAGCCCGCAAGGGCCTGCAGGCTCTGGCGGCCGGTGAAGGCGTCCAGGCAGCTGCGGTCCCTGGACAGGATGCGGATGCTCTGCAGCCAGGTGGCCCGGCGGGAGGGAGACAAGCCCTGCTCCATGACCGAAACCAGCAGCTCCGCCAGTCTCTGCGGAGAGAGGACAGCGGCTCCACCAAGCCCTCCCCACCCCCGGGAGCCGCCCGGCCTGTTCCCCCCCACCCCCACCCCCCCCTCGCGGTCAGCACGCACCTGCCGGTCCGCCTGCTGGGCAGCATCGAACGTGAAGCTCTGGGAGTTCTGCGGAGGGACGGCGGCTCAGGGCACAGGCCGCAGGCACCGCTCGGAGGTGGGGCCCCACCTCACACACCTGCGCCAGGTGCGCAGCGGCCTCGCCCCGCAGCCCAGTCCCACTCCCGCATTCCGCCGATCACGCGCGAGCCCCACCCTGTCCTCTCCGCCTCGCACGTCCCACGTCCACGGCCCGCTCACCTCGCGGTTGTACACGCGCAGAGCCTCCATGATCACGTCCTCCGCCCCCGTCTCCAGGGCATCCGCAACCGCTCGGGGCTCCATGACAGCCGGGGCAGCCGGAGCCGGGAAGGCGGGAGGGGCTGGCTCCGCGGTTCCGGGCCCCAGTCCGCCCGCCCCGCCCAGGTCCCGTGGGCGCGGCGCTGCGGGGCGGGGCTTGGGCTGCGCGCGGGCGGGGGCGGGGGCGGGGGCGGGGGCGGGGGCGGGGCGTGCGCGCACCCTAAGGTGGGGAGACTTGGGAACGGAAAGCTTTGCCGTGGGGTCCGCCCGAGGCCTCAAGATCAGACTCGGTGACTGTGACTCGGGGCCGGAGTCGCTCTTGGGCTGGACAGTGTGACTGCTCCGGGGGTTGCGGGCCGGCCCCGCGCGGGCTCAGAGGGTGGGCGGAGGGCGTGGCAGCCTGGCGGGGCGGGGGACAGCGCGGAGGCAGACCGCGTTGGGAAGGACAAAGGCCTGTGCAGTCCACCCTCTGGACGGACAGGCGATAGAACGTCCCGTTCCGACGGGTGGGCCGAGGGGCGGGGACCCACAACAAGCACCAACCCCGCCTCTTGTCGTGCGTCGGTCGTACCGGCCCCAAGGCCCACACTGAGCACACCTCCCCCCCCACCCCAGCTGAGCGCAGGCGCACTGAGCACCCCCCCCCCCACCAGCTGAGCGCAGGCGCGCACCGCCCTCCCCGTCCGGTCACTTCCTTTCCCGGCGCCTCCCCACCCTTCGGGCGGAAGTTGATGTCGGGCCGGAAGGGGCGTGCCGGAAGCGCACTCGCGTGACGGTGCCACGTCGCGGGAGGCTGCGGCGATTCGGGTCGGGGTCAGGGTCGGCACCAGGCGCAGGCCGGGCGGCGCGATGGCGGACTGGACTCGCGGTGAGTGCGGGGAGCGGGGCCGGTGGCGCGGGTCAGCCAGACCGACGCCACCGTCCGGAGCCGCCCTGGGTGGCCTCGCGGGGGGCCTAGGGGGTGGGTGGGCGGGGCCGGGCCCGGCCCTCTGCTCGGGGCCCCGGAGGCGGCGTGCTGGGAAAGCCGAAGCCGGCCTCATAGCGAATGGGGTCCGGGCACCCCATTTCCTCCGGGAACCCTGTTCGCACCTGCGCAGTGGGATGTCGCTGAGCTGCCTTGACCAGAGTGACCGTGAGTGGCAGCAGGACGCGCACACGCCTCCCTGGGGCGTGGACACATGGACGGTTCCAGGCCGCGCCCCCGCAGCTGGGTCACGTTGAGGCGTTTGAGGCGCCGTCCTCAGCCAGGGCCCTGAGTGGGCTGCGGGGCAAGCACCGAGGCCTTGCCCTCAGACAGACTTCGTCCCCCTCTGTTGTTGCGGGCCATCGCTGAGTAATTTCCTCCCTGTTACTCTTAGTTTCTTCAGAATCAATTCACAGGTGGTCCCTGCAGAGGCCCTCCCGCTGGCCCTGGCGCTCCTCTTGCCTTCCTACCCCTCACAGGTGGTTACTGTGCACCCAGAACCGGACCCACGCCCACGGAGGGTGGTGCCCGTGGAGCGGGCACAGACCTCTGCGTCAGACCGTTTGGGCTTGTACACTGGGGGGTGCCTGCCTACCCCGGCCTGGACGTGTAGGTGGGACAGGTGCTCCCGTGACAGGTGCTCACGCCACCTTTCCCGGGGTGTGAAGTCCAGGCACCAGGCCCTGGGTTAGGACTGGACCTGTTCAACCCACAGGAGTGGGCACAGGCCCCCCTCCCCCCCCCAGTTGTCAGACCTGGACATATGGGATTGTAGCGAAGCTCTGAGGCCACACAGGAGGCCAGGGCCGTGGGCTTGCCCCCTCAGCCTCTCTCTTCCTGCAGCTCCGAGCTCCGGGGCCGTGGAGGAGATTCTAGACCACGAGAACATGCGGATGGCTGACAGCCTGGCCTCCAAGGTCACCCGGCTTAAAGCGGTCAGTGGTGGTCCCCTGGAGCGGGGGCCAGAGCGGGGAGAGGCCTCGAAGGGTTTCATGGGCACCTGGACCTGACCCTGGTGGTAGCCGGGTCTGTCGGTCTTGTGGGAGGTCAGGTCCTGTGCAGTGGGCGTGCCCTGGCCTGACCCTGCTCCCTCTGTGTCCTCACCAGCTGGCCCTGGACATTGATAGGGACACGGAGGACCAGAACCGGTACCTGGATGGCATGGTAAGGGTCAGCCCTGCTCTCTGCCGCTGGGCAGCCCTGGGGGCTGGGGGCCCTACCTGTGTGACCGGGCCGTGTTCCCCCCTCAGGGCTCGGACTTTATGAGCACAACAGGCCTGCTCACGGGCAGCGTGAAGCGCTTCTCCATGATGGCGCGGTCTGGGCGAGACAACCGGAAGCTGCTGTGTGGCGTGGCAGGGGGCCTGATCGTGGTCTTCTTCATCCTCTCCTACCTCCTGTCCAGAGCAAGGACGTGAGCCAGCGGAGCTGGCGGTGCGGGTGCCCGGGGCAACCAGGGTCCCCTGCCTGGTGTCTGGCTGCAGAGGACCTGCTACCAAACACTGCTTTGAAACGGTGACCATGGCTTAGATCTCCCGTGTGGCTGGGAGACCGCTGCCTCCGATCTGAGCTGTGTGGCTGGTGCAGGGGCCCTCGGTGCTCGCGGCACTGGCAGCCTCATGGGAGCAGAGCGGCCGGGAGCCCTGGATGTGGCTGCCTATGGCCCGCAGCCCTTCCCCAGCCCTCGGCTCCAACACCTCAAGGCTCCTCTGCCCCCGCCTTGCCTGGGAAAGGCCGCGTCTGCTCTCTCAGGGCTGGATCTGACGTGGGAAACACGTGAGGCTGCAAACCTCAGATCAGCACCATCTTCTCCACGTGGGCTCCAGCCAGGGTGGTATTTCCTGCTGCCCAGGCTGCCGAGCACGGTGTGGGGTGGTGGCGGTGCCGAGGGCCCCCACTCAGCCTGGACCTCGACCTCGGCCTGCCCTCCAGTCCCAAGGCTGGGGGAAGAGCAGTTGGTGTGGATAAAGAAGTGGAATGCAGTCCTAGCTGGGAGCCCTGCACCCCAGGCCCAAGCCTTCTGGATCTCTTAGCCATGTATCCAAGAGTAGAACCCACATTTTCTCAGGATTGAGGACCCACCCAACATGTGTTTCCTGGAGATCAGGGCTCTAGAAGCAGGGCCCTTTGGCAGTTCGGAGTCGGGCAGCGTGTGCATGTGCGGACACGAGTGTGTACAGGTGATGGAGGGCTTCCTAGGACCTGTATCATTTCTTAAAGGTCCTTGGGTAATTACCTCACCACCAAGCCAGCCCTTCCTCCCCCAGGGCTTTCCCCGTGCTGTGAGGGAGCTCTGAGCCAGCCCTCGTCCCCCTGACGGCCTGTCCCTGGGCCCTAACTGCCCACTTGGCCGGCCCTGTGTCCACACAAATCAAACCCCAGCCTGGCCAGGCCCGCGGCTTCTCACTCCAGGAAGATCCCAGCGCCCTGTCTCACATAGAACCAGTTATTGGCTCTGTCCTTCCCTGCTGTTGTCCCCACCATTGCCTTCCGGTCACTCCCATTACTGCCGGCAGACTGCTGGCCACTGTCCACCTGCTTGCACGGTCACCCCACGGGGCCTGTTGGCTCCTGCCCTGCTCTGATCTCCAGCCTTTACACCAGCCTTCCGTTGCTCCTCCCCACCCCCAGCAGGCCTAGCCTGTCCTCCCGGTCACCATAGTGTCCTCTCCTGCAGCGCACCTGGCTGGGCCCCTCAGCCTCCAGGGAGGCGGGTCCCAGGGGCTCTGCTCTGCCTTCTGTACCCTCCAGCGCATGCTCTCGAACCCCCTCTGTCTCGGGCAGCTTCCCCTCGTGATGGCCCAGCCCTGTGGTCCTGCCTGAGACCCCAGGCGTCGCGGCTCTGGCTCAGCCGCTGCTCCTTTCCAGTGACCCCTCGTGGGGGCTTGTGCACGTCACCACGCTGCCTGCCAGGCCTCCTCCTGGCCCTGCAGACACTGAGCCCGTGCTCCTGGGCCCCTCACAGCTTCAGCCACCCTGGGGCCTGGACTTCTTGTTCTTGTGTGAGGATGGGTTGCATGTAGGTGGCTTGCCGGTGTGCTGTGTGCTTGGATTGGGGGTGCCAACACAGCCCTGAGAGCAGCCGGTGTCACGTGAGGACGAACTGCCAGGCTCCCCTCACAACTGCAGGACAAGACAATAAAAATGTGGAGTAAACAGCCTCGTTTCCTGGGCTTGGGAGGGCGCTGTGGACTGACCTCGTTCGTACACTGTGGGCACTTAGGGCTGGACTCAGCTTCCCCTGGGGTGCTCCCAGGCCCCTGGCCTCCCTCAGACACATGCTCTGCCCAGGGATCTGGGACTCAGCCTGGGTCGAAGCTGTCTCCCCTCTTAGGAGCCAGGAGCTTGACCCCGGCCCTGTCCTGTGCTTCCTGCCTGGAGGGGAGGCGACATGGCACCCTGCCAAATCACTCAGCCAAAGCCCGATTGCTCGGTGGCTTGGAGTGTAACCCTATACACCAGGAGGTCATGGGTTCGGTTCCCAGTCAGCATGCAAACAGAAGCCAGCTGGTGAGGTTTCTCCCTCTGAAGTTAATAACATCCTCCTGTGAGGTCTGAAAAAAAAACAGAAATGTAGTCACTCAAATTGCAGTGAGCCCAGCTATATAGCTCAGTGGTTGAGTGTCGGCCTGTGAACCAGGAGGTAGGTGATTCCTGATCAGGCCAGGTGCACTGGTTGTGGGCTGGATCCCCAGTGGGGGTGTGCAGGAGGCAACTGGTCAGTGATTATTGATATCTCTCTCTTCCTCTCCCTCTGAAGTTGGTAAGAATATAATTTGTAAAAATCAAAGTAACCTATGCCCTACAGCGGCTGGGACAGGACAGGCCGTCTGCTCCAGGATGCCAGGGCCTCACCTGGACACAGGCCGGCTGTGTCACCGGGTGGGGGGTTGGTCCCACAGCTGCAGGGCAGCGCTGGGTGAGCGGAGGGTCTGATGGGCCAGCTGCCCAGCGGCTGTACCCTGACAACCTGGTGCTGTTTGCTGAGGGGAGCAAGGTGGGATGGGGTGTCCAGGCAGGTGTGTGTCCGTGTGCTGTGGCCCGGCCCAGAAGTCGCCAAGCAGCATTTTGGGGAGGTCGCTGCAGATTTGAGGGACGGAACAGACCCCTTCTCCAGGGTGAGGAGGGTACGCGGGAGAGGCGCAGGTGTGCCCCCAGCCCTCCTGTCTGCCCAGACCACAGCCTGCCCCTTCCCCAAGACAAGTCCATAACAAGTCCATGATTTATTATATATGTGGGCACACAATTAGCAAAGGGGGGTGCATAGAAAAATGTCATAATTGTCCAAACAAGCATGCTTCACCCCGCGGGCCAGGCGGGGTGCGTGGGTTCTCCCAATCCCTGCCCTCCCGGGCTAGTCCACCTGCAGGATCAGGGGGGTCATGTAGTCGGAATGTTTGATGCCGAAGGTGACGATGGGGGCGCAGGGCTTGGTCACTGTCACCTGGGGGAGGAGGAGCTGTGAGGGGCCGGCACCCCAGCCCCCACCCCACAGGCCCATCTCCCGCCTCAGCCAGTCTGGTCCGGGTCTCCTGCCCGCCCCCCCCCCCCCCCCCCCCGCTTCCCTGCACCCCTTGGCGGCCCAGACCTTCTCAGGGCTGTGGGCTCCTGGTCCTGGCTTGAGGGTCTTGTCCCCCGGGGGCACCACTCGGGCCGCAATGGTGTACTGCGGAGCCTTGAACTTGGTCACCTGCACATCGGTCTGGTGGTAGGCTGCAGGACCTGGGGTCTGGGAGGCGAGAGGCTCAGACAGGCTTGGCTGCCAAGGCAGGCAGCCCAGAGGGCCAGGGCCAGTGCTGGGGGGCTTCTGGCCCGAGTCACTGCATGTGGGTCAGGGGCCCTCCTGTCTCCACAGCGTTCCCCGTGGCGGTGAAACCCCAGTGCTGTGGGTCCCCCTGCCCTCCCCCTTTCCCCCGTCTCTTTCCCCCTTCTTCTCCCCCCTCCCCTCCCCCCCCATTTCAGCCTCATGGTGGCAGTGACCCTCAGCTTGTGGCAGCCCTGGCTCATCCCCTCTGTGAGCGTGAGAGGCTGCTTCCCGCTGGGACCTGTCCGGTGGGCGGGCTGAAAGCTGGGCCCCAGTGCTCACAGCTCAGTGCCCTCCCCGCCTCCTGCCAGCTGCCTGCCCCCTCCACGGCCCCGGAGACCCCTGGCTGCTCAGCCCTCCTCTGCCCTTGAAGGCAGCCCAGACTGGTGGCCGTGGCCCATGCCCCCGGATGCGGAGATGAGGCGCCTCAGGAGGGTGGGGTCAGGGGGGTCCTGGGTCCTGGGGGAGGGTCAGACGGCCCCCGGGCACCCCTTGCCTTATGCAGGTCGTCGCTGAAGCCGCCCAGCTTGCTGCGGCCCTTGATGGAGTAGGAGGGCTGGGAGGCCTTCCCAACTGTTTGGGGCCCCATCATCATGGGCAGCATGTAGGCGGCAGGGCCTGGGGGAGGGGGGTGCGCCGTGCTGAGTCTCTGCTGGCTCCGCCCTGGACTGCCCACCTCCCTCCCCACCGGGCTGCCGCCCGCTCGGCCGGACCTGGGGTGCTGTCCACGCGGAAGGTCCTGGTCCGGGCAGAAATGGAGTGGCTGGGCGCCGAGTCGAACACATACTTGGTAGATTTCTCTGGGAAGTAGTCGCCTGTGGGGGGACAGGAGCAGGGGGTGTTGGGAGGGCCAGGATGACCCCCGACCTTGTAGGCGCTGGGCCCTTGGGCCCCCACACGGATGGTGACAGGTGTCCCGAGTGCAAAGGGGGCTTGGTGGTGGGGCAGGGGCCCAGGAGGCCCAGGTCAGCGCTGGGCCAGGCAGTCAGGGCTGCCCAGGGGTCAGCAGCAGCTCCGAGGAGAAGGCACACAGGCCGTCAGGACGGGGTGCTCCCTCCCTCCCCGGCTCCGGCTCCGGCTCCGGCTCCAGGTGCAGTGGCTGCTGCAGGGCTGGACCGGCCTGGGCCCCTGTCACTCACCGGGGCCAGGGGTCATCGTGGTCTTGGTGTGGTAGCGCCCCAGGATGGAGAAGGCGGGGCCGAGGTCCTTGCCAGTCCTCAGTACCTTGGGGTTCACGCTGTAGCGAGGCCCCGGGGAGCAGTTCTCGGACAAGAGCAGGGGGGCCCCGCGGAAGCTGTAGGCGGGTGCACGCAGCTTGGTGGGCGTGTGCTTCACGAAGCCTGTGGGTGGGGACGCTGAGTGCCTGGAGCCCACCCAGCCCCCACCCTACCAACCCAGAGGGAGTCAGGGGGAGCCCAGACCCTCCCCATTTCTCCCCAGGCTCTTCCCCATCCCTTCCATCCCTCCCCAGGCCCACCCCACACCGGCTGGTCCTCCCACCCCTCCCGGCCCGGCACCTGCCTGTGGTGGGTGGAATCAGGTACTTGGGGCCGGGGCTGCTGTAGAGGGCCATGATGGGCCCCCGGGGACGATGGGGCCGCCAGCTTCCCACCCATACTTCTTCCGTCGTCATGGCCGGCTCTGTCAGGAGGAGGGAGAGCACAGCTGGGAGGCCGCGCCTCGTGCCTGCCTGTGCCACACAGTGGCCCCCAACCCCCCCCCCCCTAACCACCCCCCAATCCTCAGCAGGACGGGGCCGGGGCCCATGCCTGGGATAGTGGACGCTTCTGGGTTTGCTCTGCCTCGGGGCCCAGGGCAGCCAGCAGCTCGGGGACACCTCAGGCCTCCCCGCCACCCTCCCTGCTCCAGGGTCTGGCCAGCCTCCTCCCGCTCACAGCTCACAGGGTGCTGGGCGTGCCGGCCGGCCGGGCAGGGTGAGGGGGCTCCTGGCGGAGGCTGGGCTGGGGAGCCGGCCCGGGAGGCCCTCACCTGGGCCAGGCGCGGTGCTCCGAGAACCTATGGACGGCGCCGCCTCAGAGGCGGTCCCGTTGCATCGCGCTCCACGTCAGGGAGGTCCCGAAAGAGGGACATGTGGAGGTAGGCTTCCGTCTCTCCCACCGGGGGCTTTGAGAGTCGGGGGCCCTCTGAGCTCTAGAATGTGGCTCTGTGGGATGGCGGGTTCTGATGGCAGCTCTGTGATGCAGACAATGGCTTCTGTTACAGGAACCCCGCCCGCCCGCCCGGCCCGGCGGTGCTCCCGCCAAGGAGCACTCGCTGAGCGGGCGCAGGCAGGGGGGCTGGGGTCCCCCGTGAGGTGGCTGTGCTGCAGGGTGCGCAAGGGCTGGAGGGAGCTCTGTGCCGGAGCTCTGCTGGCCAGCGGCCCCTCGGGGTCCTCACCCCCATCCCCGGGGCCTGCCTTCATCTCTCAGGTCCTCCTGGGGCTCCAGTGGGGTGTCTGCCAGACCCTTCCCTTGGGCAACTTTAGGGACTGATTGCTCTCAGCCCCCTGAACCCAGGCCTGTGCTCACAGTGTGCTTATTGGCTCAGAACGAGTGCCCCCCAGCCAGCCCCCAGCCCGGCCACCTCCCCTCACCCTCCCCCCCAGCTCAGCCCCCTCCCCTTGCCACCCGCCTGTCCCCCAGCCCGGCCCTAGGTCCCCCCTGCTGGCCCCCCAGCCCGTCACCTCCCCTCCCTGCCTGCCGGCCCCCCAGCCGGCCTCCCAGCCTGGCCACTTCCCCTCGCCAAGCCCGTTCCCACCCCACCGCCAGCTGCACGCCTTCTCCTGCCCATGGCCTCCCTGCCTTCCATCTTGCTTGGTCCTTCGGCCTCCACGGGCCTCAGACTAGTTTCCCCTGGGGGTGGGGGTGGGGGTGGGATCTGCTGTCTGTGTGGAGCACTTACAGGTACATGCTTCATGCGTGCAACCCATGTATGAGCAGCTGCGTGTGTGTGGGCGTGTGTGTGTGTGTGTGTGTGTGTGTGTGTGTGAACCTGAGTGTGGGCAGAGACAGGAGCCAGGGCCTGGGCTGCAGGAGGTTTATTGATTGAGCTGGGGGGGGCAGATAAAATCACTCTGGGAAGTGGCAGTGGGTGGCGTGGCCACAGCTTCTCGTGGCTGCTCATGGCCACGTCGGGTCCCGAGGCGCCGTCCTCAGCCCAGCACAGCCACCTGCAAGGCAGACACGGGTGGGTGCCGTCCCAGTGACCAGTCACTGGAGAGCCGCTGGGGAAAGGGGCGCAGGCCACCCTGTGGGGGCCGAGGGCTCGGGCCCCCTGCAGCTGGGGCCCTGCTAGCGGCTGGGGAAGTGGGGTGTGTGGGGTGCGTGCGGGCTGCAGGCGGGGGGAAGGGCCCGGCCACAGTACCAGCAGCTTGATGAGCTCCGCCTTGTGCGCGGGCTGCAGGTTGTCTATGCAGGACTTGAGCTCGGTCAGCGCCTCCTTGCAGGCCGGGCTCACGTCGTACTTGCTCAGGGGCCCCGAGTAGAGCTCCTCCGGGTCCCCCACCAGCAGCGTTTGCAGGAAGTCCATGAAGAACGCAGTGTCCTCCTCCTCCGAGGCCAGCCCTGCACGAGGGGCAGAGCTGCCCTCGCCTCAGCCTCTGCCTCCCCTGCCCCGTGTCCCACCCCCACCGTCTTCCTCCACAGCACCCGGTCCACGCGCCTGCGGCCGCCCATCGCCCTAGCCTCGGCTTTCTTCACCCCGTGCGTCTGGGGCCGGGGGGGGGGGGGGGGAGGATTGAGCCCCAGATGTGGAAACCCCCTCCGTGCGAGCTTGGTGGCCTGGGGCTGGGAGGCGAGGTTCCGGCTGGGCTGGGTGGGTACGGATTGGCAGGGCCCGGTGGTTGCCCACGTCTGTTCTGTGATGGAGGAGGGGTTGGGGTCCTGGGAAGGTGGGCGCCTTCCACGATGAGGGCCCAGCGCCTGGGTTTCTAGCTTCCTAGCCACCCCCCACCCCCACCCCCAATGTGCTGAGGCCCCGGGCAGCGCACTCACCGCAGGTGCAGAGCAGGGCGGCGGCCGCCAGCAGGAGGGTGCTGCTCCCCTTCATGGCGCCGGCACAGGTGCCTCCGGAGCGGCCGGGCCGGCTTTATGTGTCCGGGCAGGGCACCGCGGGGGCGGGCCGACCTGCCCGTCAGGGCCCGGCCAGTGAGAGCCCAGGCGGGGGCAGGGGAGTGCCCTCCCCCCTCAGTGGGTCCTGAGCGGCGGACTGGGTGCTGTGCCAGGGCTGGGTGGCAAACTGTTTGGGGTGGGTGGATGGACGAGGGGGCGAGGGAAGCCCGGAGGGTGAGGTGGGGTGGGGGCCAGAGTGCTGGGCCTCTGGCCGGGGCTGGCTTGGGTGGGATCCGGGTCTTTCTTTGGGGTGGGAGTCCCCTCCACTCGCCCAGCCTGGGCCTCAGGCCGGCAGCCCCCCTGCAGCAGGTGTGGCAGCAGGGGGACACACTTCCAGCTCTGGGTGTGGGGCCTGAGCGGGCACCAGCGTCCAGGGAGTGGGAGGGGGCCTGAGGGGACCTGGGTGAGGAGAGGCCACCCTGAGGCCTTCCTGGCAGGAAGGAGGGACCCCAGAGGAGACACACTTTCCTCTGTGCCCCAGCAGGCCTGGGGAGGCCGCCCCAGCCCCCAGCCCCCAGCCCCCAGCCAGATGTGTGGAGAGGCCAGGCCTGGTCTCAGGAGCCCTGCTGCCCCCTGGTGGCTGGTGGTGTCAGCAGGGCCGGCGCTCTCAGGATGATCTTGTGGGAGACAGAGGACCCAGCTTTGCAGTTTGTGTGCACCTGGGTTTGAGTGGGTGGCTAAGAGAAGGCAGCGAGAGAGAACCTGCCGCGCTCCCCGCTTCTTCCCGTGCGATGCCACGGGGACCTGGTTTCGGGAAGGGAACGTGGCACAACCGCCTCACTTTCTGTACGGAGCCCCGAGCGGGGCTGCGGCATCCCCACCCCCTCCTACCCCACACGTGAGGCCTGTGGGGTTGCCTTTCAGAAAATCACTTGCCGAGTGACCTGCCCATCCCCCTCCCCCATTTTCACCATCAGCGCGGAGCTGAGCACCTGAACTGGGGGTAGGGGGTGGGGTCCCACTTGAGTGCGTGTTTGAAACGTCCACAGTGAATGAGGTCTTTCCCAAGGCCCTTCTCTGCTCCGGGAAGAACGCCCCCAACCCTTCCCCCCTCTCCCCCACCCTTCGCCGCCTGCCACTCTGTGGACGGGCTGAATTGCCAGCATTCCACTCGCCACAGGCAACCCGTTAGGCCAGTGGTCGGCAAACGGCGGCTCGAGAGCACATGAGGCTCTTTGGCCCCTGAGTGTGGCTCTTCCACAGAATACCACGGCCTGGTATTTTGAAGAAGTGGTGTTAGAAGTTTAAGTTAAAAAAAATGTGGCTCAACCGCCTCCTTAGCGCAGTAGGCAGCGCGTCAGTCTCCTAAAAAAATGTGGCTCTTCAAAGAAATGTCAATCCTTGTGCTGTTGACATTTGGCTCTGTGGACTGATGAGTTTGCCGACCACTGTGCTAGGGTTCTCACCCGCCTGGGTCTGGGGGAGCAGAAACGTGGGCAGCTCACACTGCTGGGTGGAAGCAGGAGGGCAAAGAGCCAAAGTCTAAGGTTATACGGCTCGGCGGCCAGGTGGAGCCCGGCGCAGAGGGCCCGGAGCTCGACGGGCAGCGGCGGTGCATGGCGACCGGGCGGTGGGTGGTGACCGGGCGGTGCGTGGTGACCGGGCGGTGGGTGGCGACCCGGTGGTGCGTGGTGACCGGGCGGTGCATGGCTGGCCCCGCAGCGGGAAGTAGGGGTCTTGGCCAGCTTTCTAGAAGCAGAGCCTGCGACAAGGACTTTGTCCCTGGGTGAGAGGGAGCGCCCTCGAGAGAAGCAGGACCGGGCGGAGCCAGGAGCCAGGCAGGTGTGGTCCCAGCGCCCCCGCTGCAGGTGGGTCCCTTGAGGTGGGGGCCGCACAGACTCGCGCCCACCGTGAAGCCAGGAGACGGGGTTTCGTGGGCCAAGGTGCAGGGCTTGGGAAAGGATGGGTATGACTGACACTCCCCACAGGGGCAGCTGTGAGCCCTTAGCACCAGCAGACACAGCGGCCAGAAATGGGTGTCCACCCGGGAAGAGGACCGGGGAAGCCGGGTGGGGGGCGGGACCGGAGGGGCACGGACATTATGTGCCTCACGGTGAAGTCCCGCCTAGAGCCCCGCCCTGCTGGCAGTCGCTCCTTGCAGCCGGTGGGAGTGGGGATGGGGTGGGGTGAGGTGGGGTGGGGTGAGGTGGGGTGGGGAGGGGAGAGCCTCAGCCATTCCATTCCAGGCCCACACTCCACTCACAGGCAGGTTTGAGGGAGCAGAGCCCAGAGAGGGGCGGGGTTGTGCCCAGCATTCAGATCCTCCGGGCCTCTCGCACCCCGGAGGGGAGGCCTCCGTTTCCCACAGGGCCCTGCGTCTGCAGGCGAACCCCATCCTGATGCTCGGGAGGCTGGCCTTGGCCCACTCACAGCTAGTTTCTAATGAGCATCTCCTGAACCCCGACCCCCTGAGGGGTCCCTGGTCCCCCACTCGTCCCTCCGTCACCCGGTGTGAATCGGTACCTCCCAACTCCTGCCTCTCTCTGCTAGACCTGCACGCACACATGTGCACACATGGGCATCCTCATGCAGGCATAGGCACTGTCTCCCTGTCCTCCAGGCCTCCGCCGCCTCTGGCTAGGTCACGGCTCCTCTGCCAGGTTTTCTAGGGGTGCGGAGTCGGCCTCCACCACTGGCTCTCCACACTCAGCGCCCGCCTCCCTCTGCGCCCTCCCCGGCATCCGGGGCCCGGAGCCCCCATACCCCGGAGCCCCCACACCTCTCCCCCGTGGTCACCCCTCCGGAGGATGACAACCCAAGAAAGACTGGCCTGGCTGGCAGGACTCCAGGCTGGCAGCAGGCGGTGGCGATGGTTGAGCATCAGCACTGTGCCCGGCCCTGCCATGGGGCAGACATGTCCCAGTCAGTCCTCACAGCCGCTGCCCCACCCACCCAGCGTGGCACCAGCGCCCCAGGGGGCAGTGAGGAGCCCGCGATGCTGAGATGCCCAAGAGCCAGGCTTCACGGAGCAGAGCCAGGGCCTGGCCCGGCCTGCCCACCCCGTGCTCACGGCCCAGGCCGCTCCGTGGGCCTGGCTGGTGGTCTCCGTGGCGCCCGGGGCTGGGCCTGTGGTCCTGAGCAGGCTGAAGGGAACAGGGAGGATCAAGGCTAAAGGTTCCCCCACGGAGCCCCGGGCCCCACCGGGGCATAAGCCTCCTCGGGACTTGGAGTTCGAGGCTCCTCCACGGCCGGCAGACTTTCCCCTCTGCTTATCTAGGTCCTGCCCCCCCCTCCCCCCTCGTGTAGCAGCTCGTTCTCCCGGAGGGAATCTCAGACTGGGAAGTGACCCTAGAGGTCACAGTCCAGTCCCTGCCTGCTCCGAGACAGGCACGAGAGAAAACGAAAAGGGCTCCAACTCCTTTACCCCCCCCCCCAAAAAAAAAAAAAAAAAAACCCACAACCAGACGTCGGTATGTTCCGGCCAAACGTGATCCGCACAGATTCCCGAGAGGCTCACTGACAGTGAGGAAAAGGGTCCGTGGCTACGGAAGTCTGGGAAATCCCCTTATTGCTACAGAGTCTCCGCTGCAGGAACTCTCAGGGCCTTTAATATGCTAACGGGGGGAAGAGGGTATCCAGCGTTTCCCAAACTTATTTGACCATGGAACCCTTTGGCAGCCGATCTGTCAGGACCAGTGTTCCCTGGAACACACTTTGAGAAAGGGCTTCTTGGCTCTTATTCCCTGGTGGAGCATTTCTGCTGCCACAATGCCGGGACGCGAATGGCAGGCGGAGGCACACCTCCGTGCCCGGGCACACACTGTGCCACCCGAGACCCCGCTGCCCAGAAGTCTGCCTCCTCTCTGCATCCTGTGGCATCCAGGCCGAGGGCCGGCTCTGTCCCCCGCAGGCCCCTGGTCTGGGCGTAGCCGTGGTAACTGACGCGGGTCTCTGCCACCAGCTCCCTCCCTCGGTCCCAGCCGAGTCCGAGGACCGGAGAGCTGGGGCGTGAGAGGGGACGCATTGCCAAGCACCACGGTCAGGCACCACGTCCAGCGGAGAGCCAGCCCTCAGGCCCCGGCTTTGGCTCTCGGCCACGGTCCCTTCCTTCCCAGGCGGCCTACCCTTCGGCCTCCCAAAGCTCCTACTCGCCCACGGTCACCTCCACGGCAGGAGCAGGCCCAGCGTGGCTGCTCACACAGGACTGCCAGCCCACGCCCCACGGAGGGGACTGAAACCCTGGGGAATGTGCCCCTCCCTCCTTTCTCTTTATCAGCAAGAAAGAACCGCCCCCTGCATGAGAATCAGCTCCCGCCCAGAGCCCACAGCCAGGCCCTCCCCCCCCCCCCCCCCCCCCCGCCTTCACCCACTCCCCTGTCCGGAGAGAGAGTTCAGCTTCTTACATTCTGATGCACATCTGTCATCAACATTCAACACAGCCCTGGCCAGTGTGGCTCAATGGATAGAGCATCGGCCTGCGGATTCTTTGATTCAGGTCAAGGGCACATACCTCGGTTGCAGGTCCCTCCCCGGCCAGGACCCTGTTAGGGGTTCATGCAGGAGCAACCAGTCGATATTTTTCTCACATTGATGTTTCTCTGTCTTTCCCTTTCTCTCCCACTCTCTCTAAAAATCAACAGAAAAATATCCTCTGGTGAGGATTAACAAACAAACAAAAAACACTATAAAAACCCAAAACAAACAATAAAACAACATAATGACCAGGCCCCTCAGCAAGTGTGGCTTCCAGCCTCCTGCAAAGTTCTCCCTCTTTCTCATGCCCCTGAAATGCCAGAACATCCATGTTCACTCATGGAGGCAACAGTACATGAAGGATTTAATCCCACAAGCTCTGGAGCTGGTCTGCCAGGCTTTAAGTCCCAGCCTAGTCATTTACTCGCTGTGTGACCTTGGGCAAGTGGCTTAACCTCTCTGAGCATAATGAATGTAAAATGCTGATCACACTGCCGGCAGCCGAGAAGGCACATTTTTTTTTTTTTTTTAAAGAATTTTTGTGTTTATTTGAGCCAAACTGTCGACATATGATGGGAAGCAGAACCTCGAGGAATTGAGATGATGCTCCGGAGAATGGCAGGTTACATTTCTATTTATACATGGCAATCAAGGGAGGGACATAGGTGGGTTACATGAAATTCATTGGTGATGGATTAAGGAGGCGGGAGAAAGCAAAGCTGGGAACCCCCTGGATTGGATAAAAAGTGAAATGATGGACGTGTACTTAGGTGAGTGCTGGAACAATTAACATGATAATGAAGGAATTTGTGGTATGGGGTGAAGGAAGGAATTGGTTGTGCCCCAAGGGGAGAAGGCACATTTTTAAATACTGGCTTATTGTCTGGGTTAAACACTGACTTCCCAGCTCTGGGTCGGCTCACAGCTGGTCCTTGACAGGAGCGTCTGTCCTTGCTCTCCCCAAATCCAGGAGGCACAAGGATTTGACCCCACCGCCCTTCTTTGCCTGATCGGGCCCAGCAGGCAGGGACGATTTACAGAGTTTCCTGGCTCGGACAGACGGGTGAGGCCTGTCTTTGGAGGAAGGGGATATGTCTGCCCCAGAAGTAGCTGTGTCCTTGCAAACCCTGCCTCCAAGGGCCAGATTATTCCAGGTCAAATCAAGCCCAGGGGCTGCTGGGCGGGACAGCCACAGTTCTGGCGGGCGGAGGTGACCGGCACGGACCGACCCTGCCTCTGCCTGTCTCCCTGGCCGGCAGCGGGCCCCTCGCCGGAGTCATGGCAGCAGAAGCCCCCCGAGTGGCCGCGGCTGTTCCCGGATCTGGAGCTGGGGGTTTGGAGCCCGGGCAGGCCCTCGACCCGACCCAACCTGGCCAGCCCAGCCCAAGCCCGAAGGCCACCGAGCTCTGCCAACTGGCTCCGCACTGGAACCAGAGGGGCATCCTTCTCACACTGGGCGCGAGTGTCCGTTTCCTGGGCCCTGGAGCGGGAGTGTGTGTGTGTGTGTGTGTGTGTGTGTACAGGGGAGGGTGCTGGGAGCCCCGAGGGTGGAGGAAGGCCCTTCCCAGCGTAACATCCTATGATTGGAGACGCTGAGAGCTGGTGAGAGGCTGTCACGTTCACCAGCCTGGCTCGGGGCTCACTGGAAGCCCCCCCAACAGGAGACGTTTCCTCCCCCCCTTCTCTCCCCCCCCAAGCCCGGGCTGGGTGGGCGCCGGCGTGGCCGCAGGTGGGAGGACAGTTACTTGAACCCCACCTGTGCCGAGCCGGCAAGCCATGGCACACTCAGCCCCACGCAGGGTGCTGTAGACGCCGCGCCAGCTCAGCCAGGTTCGGTGGCCTGAGAGGGGGATGGAGAAGAGGCAGACAAGAAGAAAGCTGGGTCTGGGTGGGACGCTGTCCTCTGACGGAGAGCTAGCGACAGCGCCATGGCCTGCCAGCCGAGTCTTTATTTTATAGCCGATGCCACCAGGCAAAGGAAGGACGTGGTCAAGATGTTTACTGCGTTCTCTCGGGTTTCCAATCTATGCAGTTACAGGCACCGGAACCCTGTCAAGCCCACGAGGGGCTACAGGTTTGGACCACAAGGTCAAGCTGACAGCAATGGCTGCTGGCTATAATGTGCTGGGAGGCTCTGCCCTCCAGGCTGGCACTTGCACGTGCCCTCTCATCAGTCCGAGGCCTGAGTCTGTCCAAACGCTGTGGCCGCCTCCACGCCCAGCCGCCTCCCCGAGCAGTGGGCCTTCCCCGCAGACCCAGGGCCTCAGGCGGAGGGAGCGGCGGGGCCAGGCACGATGGCCTCTCCAGGGCGGGCCCTGACCGAGGCTCCCGTCCGGGCCAGGCCTCCCACATTGCCGTCGGGGTGCTGCACGCGGTCCTCGGGGGCTCCCTGGCCTTTTCAGTCAAGAACCTCCACCTGGTGACGCTGAAGTCTTGGTACCCATTCTGGGGACCTGCCTCCGTGAGTAGGAGCCACGCTTGGCCGGCTCTGGCATCTGGGACAGGGATGTGGGTGGGGCCGAGAGCTCAGAAAGGAAGCATCCGCCGGGGGCCACGTGGTCCCTCTCTGCTCTGCCCTCCTCACTCCTGAATAGCCATTCCCAGCAGGCTCTGCGCTCTGCCCTCCGTTAACTCGGCCTCCAGCGGAGAAGAGGGTGAGGGGTGAGCATGCACCAGGCGCCCTACCACCTCCCAAAGGCTTCCAGCCAAGCTCTCAGGAGCCCCAGTCTCTGTCGGTGGGTCTGCAGGAGCCCGAGGGTGTAGGCGTGGCTCCTGCCCTCCCAAGGCCCTGGGGCAGGATGGAAAGGAGAGCAGAGCTCACTGTCCCTGGTCCCAGGGAGTCCTTGGGTGGAGTCCCGCTCAGTGTCTCAGCCCCCACCCCTGCCACTTGGGGCCACGGTGCTACTCTGCTCCAAGCTTCAGAGTTGGGAAGCCTCGGTGCGCAGGGCCCATTCGCCCCTAGGCCCTGGGTGGGCACGCAGTAGGCGCTCAGCGAACATTTAAAAGTGTAATTGCAGAAATACACCAGAGACCGCAAACGGAGAGGGCACCTCCTCCCGCCCAGACCCAGGGAGGGGAGAGGGTCCGAGGGGAGGGGCTGGAGGAGCTGCCCCCACAGGGAAGGTTTGGGGAGTGGAGAGGCGGGAGGTGTCTGGAGAGCAGGGCACAGTGGACCCTGGTGCGGAGGTCTATGTGGAGGGCAGAGCCGCTGGCTGGAGCGGCCTGGGGCGGCACGTGGCCGTAGCCGGCAGGGCGAGCTTCCAGAGTTGGAAAGATGGCTCTCTGTACCACTGGCCGCCACACGTGGGTTTCCTAGAGAAGAGTAGTGAGAAGGGAAGGAATTTGTGTGTTTCAAGGAACCCCAGCTTCTCCCTTATGACTGTTTCAAATCTGGCCTGCAGTTCCTCCTTTCAGGGATCTTGGCGGTAGCAGTGGCGGAGGTTTCGAAAACCTCTCTGGTAAGTGGGAGCTCTGATCCCTTTCCTCCACCCCCAGCCTGGGGCACCTGTGAGGGGCCCCGGGGCAGCGGCCAGAATCTGCCAGGAGCAGGCACAAGCTCCCCGCCTCCCCCCCACTGCCTCCCCTACACCGAGGTGTCTGAGCATCTTTCTAGCCTGGGGAGGGGGGACGGGCGGTTGGGGGGGGGAGTCCAGGCACAGAGCAGACACCAGCTCAGGACTGGCCCCCCACCCCTACTCCATGGCCACAGTCTACCCCAAGCCCCCAAAGCCCGGCTGGTCCACTGTGAGCCCTCAGCCCGGCCTGGGCTGTGACTGCCCCGTCCCCACGGGGTGCGGGGAGCAGAGGGTGGGGTGCAGTTTACCTGACTACGATGGGGGAAGGCAGAGGCATGAGGGGCCCTCAAGCCCCGCCCCTTCCTGGGCTGGGAACCTCAGGACCAAAGGCCTGCACTTCCTGTACCCCAGCCAGGGAGCCCCGAGCTGGAGACCTCCCTTCTGCACAGGAGGTTGGGGTCCCCGTGCTCATGCGCTTCCTCATGACAGGCCTTTGCTCTGGGAACAGCGCTTCCCAAGACGGTGATGAGCAGCGAACCTCAGGGACCATGTGGGGCGTGGGGGGGGGGGATGAGGACCCCTCCAGCCCTTCCCTGTGGGGAGGAGGCTGGCTGTTGAGTCCCTGATCAGTGAGCAGAGCTGAGGCCAGGCTGGGGGGCTGGGCTGTGCGAGGGAGATGCAGCGGAACCTCCTTTATGCCTAAGCCTTTGGGCCTGCAGCCAGCCCGGGCCCCAGGCCTGGCCCCGAGAAGGTGGGAGCCGGAGCCTCCCGGGTGGGGGGGTACGGGGTGGGGGAGGCTGAGGAAGCCATGGTGGCTGGCAGTCTTTAGCCCACAGAGGGCCACAGCGCCAGCCGCCCAGGCCCGGCCCCTCGTCACGCTGTCACCGTGCTTCCCGCCACAGAGGGCACTGTGCCTGATCGCCAACCTCCTCAGCTTCCTCTGCGGGCTGGCTGGCCTCTGGATCCTGGCCAAGGACATCTTCCTGGAGAAACCAAATCCGGGTGGGCCCCCGATCTGGAGACCGTACCCCAACAGCACAGTGAGTGCCCCGTCCCGGGTCCTCAGGCACTCAGGAAGGCGCTGCCTGGGGTGCGGCTGGGAGGGGGGGAAGGGAAAAGAGGGGGGGATGATGGGGGACCTCGGCCAACCTGTTCTCCCCGCCAGCACCACGCCCACCACCGAGGCCACCCCCATTCAGATGGGGGCCCTGTAAGCTTCACCTCCTCTCTCAGCCCTGAGCTCCCCTCTAAGTGGGGTGCGATAAGGTCAGGCCCAAGGCCCTGCAGTCCTCCAGGGAGGGGCCCGGAGGTCCCCCCACTCACACACGTTAGGCACATTCCACCCAGGACCCCTGGGCACCGGGCACTGGGCGCAGAGCAGGGACTGACCCCCTCCCCAGGCCCACCTTGCTGGCTCCGGCCTGCCCCCTGCTGGCTGGGTGACCCTGCCCTGCCTGTGCTGGATGGGGCACCCAGTGAGGCCTCCCCCTACCCTCCCAGGTGCACATCCAGAGGTTGCAGCAGGTCCTGTTCAGCCTCACCTGGCTGGAGCTCTTACTGCCCGGGGTCACGGCCATCTTCTCCGCCGTGGATGACGAGTCTGCGGAGGTGAGGGCCTCACAGACGGGGACCCAGGGGACAGGGCTCAGGAGGGGCGTCAGGCGGGGAGGTGTGTGAGAGCGTGTCTCTCACTCTCAGCCAGGCATTCGCTCAGCGGGGCCCCAGAGGCGCCCACCGTCCGGAGGGAGGAGGCAGCACGGAGCGGAGCATGCCAGCAGGAGGTGGGAGAGCCAGGGGCTCCAGAGCAGCAGGCCGCGGTGCTCCCCACGCGGGAGGCCGGGAGGCGGGGAGACCGCCCGGGGGAGGCCTTGGGGCAGGACTGGGCCATGATGCCAGAGGAACCTGCAGCGTGGAACTGTGTGCGAGGGCCTGGCTCTGCAGGGGAGGTCTGGGAGAGCTGGGCGGGTGTGGGGGGAAGTCTGGGAGAGCTGGGCGGGTGTGGGGGGAGGTCTGGAGAGCTGGTTGGGTGTGGGGGGAGGTCTGGAGAGCTGGGCGGGTGTGGGGCTTGGCCGTGGCGGGCTCACGGGGATGGAGCACTTTATATCAACGTAACTTCAGCCGAATTCCTCAGCCTCCCTGCTCCCCCATCCTACAGATGAGGAAGCTGAGGCTTAGAGGGGTCCCGCGGCTCCCCAAGGTCAAGCCGCTGGGGAGGAAGTCCAGGCCTCACTCCGGGCGTATGAACCCACAGCCAAGCCCCGAGCACACGTGTGAAGGGCAGCGCGGCAGGCTGGGAAGTGGGGCCCGCCCGCCCCACGGCCCTGAGCGGAAGGACGTGCTGGGCTCATTCTATTAGAGAAAAGGCGCCCTGTGACCAGCCGAGCTCAGAACACGGCAAACGTGTGTCCTGGATCCCAGTGGTCCCGCAGACGGAACCCGGCTGAGTCCTGTCCGTGCCTCCGTCCCCGGGCTTTCTCGTGACACAGACAGGAGGTGGGGGCTCTGTGGACGCCCAGCGGACACGTGTCCCTCCGTCACTGCCCGCGCCCGGCGGGGAGCCTGCTCCTCAGGGCATCGGGGGCGGGCGCCGCAGGGGTTAGGGGGACAGGTCCTACGTAAGGCACTCGCCTCGCCAGGGTCCGTGCTGGGCGCTGCGGACCCGCACCGGCTCCGGCGGCTGCCGGCCCGGCCACCAGCCCGCAGCGCCCTGGACAGCTGCTTCCCCACGGTCTGGCGTGGGCAGTTTGAAGGGTCTCCCGGGGCTGGAAGCAGGGTGGCCCTCCTTCGGACGCTCTCAGCGTTAGACATGCTCCTAGAATGGCCGCCGGGAGGGACCTTAGGGTGTCTGCCAGCCCCACTGGGGAAGCAGACAGACAGTGTGTGGCTTGCGTGGAGTCGCTTGGACATGGGGAGCCGGCTAGCCCGCTCCCTTCTCAAGAACGGGGGTGGGGGGAGAGAGAGAGCCATGGGCCACCTCCACGGAAGTCCCTTGTCCCCTTCTTCCCGGGAACCTCCAGCAAGCGGGCCGGCGGGAGGGGCTCCGTGAGGGCCACTCGCCCGCGGTGTGTGGTGACAGTGGCTTCCTCGTGCAGAGCGATGACTTGCCCCCGGTGCCCGCCGTGGAGTTGGTGATCCGGGAGCTGCCCCCATCCTATGAGGAGGTGACAGGAGGAGGCACACGGGAGGGGCGGAGCAGCCGTGAAGAGGCCTGGGCCCAGCAGCAGCAGCAGCAGCAGCAGAGTCACCGGGTCCTCCCCCAGGGCAACCCCCGGGGCCAACGTGCTGTTTGGAGAACTGGGTGGCCTGTCCTGGTGGCCGAGGTGATTGGTGGTCCCATCTCCTCGGGCACAGAAGGGCCTCCAGGCCCCCACCCCTCCCACACCCCAGCATCTGGTTGGTCAGGGCACAGCTAGGCCCTTCCCAGCCGCCTGCCAGCTCAGGAGCAGCCCCCCGGGGCCCAGCCACCCTGACGCCTTCCCCATCACCGTGCTGGCCCACGTGGGCTGCGAGGAGCCAGGGAGGGTGCCTGGCTTTGCTAGACTCAACCTGTGCGAGTGTGGGCTCTGGGTCCCTGGGTGCTGGGGGTGGAAGGGGGCCCAGCAGTGGTGCCCGGTCAGGCAGGGATGCTGTGGCGTCCTGGCCAGTGCGTCGCTGGGAGACAGCACCCTCCCCCCCATTCCACAGCAGCTGGTGCTGAGCAGCAGACAGGGGGACGCCTTCCTTCCGTCCCCCCCCCCCCCCACCTCCCTCCGCCTTGTTCTGGGCTTAAACACTGCACAGTTCCTCCGCTGCCTGGAGGCAGGGTGACCTGGTCAGAGGGAGATGGAGTGGGTCACTGAACAATGGGTCGGTCGGAGTTTGGAGGGGGATAGAGGTTCACGCTCCGGCCAAGCGTGCCCTGGCGTCGCACCTGTGCCCCGGGTTCCTTGGAAACGGCTGAAATAGCGTTTGTAGCCTCTGGGTTGTCCTGGTAACTGTCCTGACTCCCTCTTGTGGATTCTGAGTGTAAATCTGTGACACCTGAGGTCGGCACTGCAGTCGGCCTTGACCGTGGTCACTGGTCAGCTTATTAAAGGCTCATGAATTTTCATCTCTGTCTGGTGGTCGCCTCTTGCGGGTCGCCCCATAACAGCCATGCCTGTTTGTGGGCCCGTAACATGCCCTCGGCATGTCCTTGCATCAAGTTGTTCTCCTGTGATATCACATGAGAGGTACTTTGTATCAGCCACAAGCAGAGTCCGTGTCTCCCCACAGGAAGCTGACCACGGACAGTGTGAACGGGAGGCTGACCACAGGGCAGTGTGAACAGGAGGCTGACCTCAAGGCAGTGTGAACGGGAGGCTGACCACAGGACAGTGTGAACGGGAGTCTGACCTCAGGACAGTGTGAACGGGAGGCTGACCACAGACAGTGTGAACGGGAGGCTGACCACAGACAGTGTGAACGGGAGTCTGACCTCGGGACGTGTGAACGGGAGGCTGACCACAGACAGTGTGGACGGGAGGCTGACCTCAGGACAGTGTGGACGGGAGGCTGACCTCAGGGCAGTGTGAACGGGAGGCTGACCACAGGACAGTGTGAACGGGAGGCTGACCTCAGGACGTGTGAACGGGAGGCTGACCACAGACAGTGTGGACGGGAGGCTGACCACAGGCAGTGTGAACGGGAGGCTGACGACAGGGCAGTGTGAACGGGAGGCTGACCTCAGGACAGTGTGGACGGGAGGCTGACCTCAGGGCAGTGTGAACGGGAGGCTGACCACAGGACAGTGTGAACGGGAGGCTGACCTCAGGACGTGTGAACGGGAGGCTGACCACAGACAGTGTGGACGGGAGGCTGACCACAGGCAGTGTGAACGGGAGGCTGACCACAGGGCAGTGTGGACGGGAGGCTGACCACAGGTAGTGTGAACGGGAGGCTGACCTCAGGGCAGTGTGAACGGGAGGCTGACCACAGGACAGTGTGAATGGGAGCTGACCACAGGGCAGTGTGAACGGGAGGCTGACCACAGACAGTGTGAACGGGAGGCTGACCTCAGGGCAGTGTGAACGGGAGCTGACCACAGGGCAGTGTGAACGGGAGCTGACCACAGGGCAGTGTGAACGGGAGGCTGACCTCAGGGCAGTGTGAACGGGAGCTGACCACAGGGCAGTGTGAACGGGAGCTGACCACAGGGCAGTGTGAACGGGAGGCTGACCACAGACAGTGTGAACGGGAGGCTGACCTCAGGGCAGTGTGAACGGGAGCTGACCACAGACAGTGTGAACGGGAGGCTGACCTCAGGACGTGTGAACGGGAGCTGACCACAGGGCAGTGTGAACGGGAGCTGACCACAGGGCAGTGTGAACGGGAGGCTGACCTCAGGGCAGTGTGAACGGGAGCTGACCACAGGGCAGTGTGAACGGGAGCTGACCACAGGGCAGTGTGAACGGGAGCTGACCACAGGGCAGTGTGAACGGGAGGCTGACCACAGACAGTGTGAACGGGAGGCTGACCTCAGGGCAGTGTGAACGGGAGCTGACCACAGACAGTGTGAACGGGAGTCTGACCTCAGGACGTGTGAACGGGAGGCTGACCACAGGGCAGTGTGAACGGGAGGCTGACCACAGACCGTGTGAACGGGAGGCTGACCACAGGGCAGTGTGAACGGGAGCTGACCACAGGGCAGTGTGAACGGGAGCTGACCACAGGGCAGTGTGAACGGGAGCTGACCACAGGGCAGTGTGAACGGGAGGCTGACCACAGACAGTGTGAACGGAAGTCTGACCTCAGGACGTGTGAACGGGAGCTGACCACAGACAGTGTGAACGGAAGTCTGACCTCAGGGCAGTGTGAACGGGAGCTGACCACAGGGCAGTGTGAACGGGAGCTGACCACAGGGCAGTGTGAACGGGAGCTGACCACAGGGCAGTGTGAACGGGAGGCTGACCACAGGGCAGTGTGAACGGGAGGCTGACCACGGACAGTGTGAACGGGAGGCTGACCACGGACAGTGTGAACAAGATAGAAATAAAGCAAAGTGGACGCCTCCTCTGTGACTCGCCCGGTCCTCTGCCTCCCGCCCCGCTGTGCTGAGCTGCTGGCTTCCTCGTGGGGCCACGGGCACCGGACTCCTGCCCCTGAGCCGCCCTCCAGCCCCCTCACCGGATCCTCCACGTTTGGAAGGAGGAAACAGAGGCTCAGGATGTCCGCTGACTTGGTCTGATGTGGGCGTCGGGGTCCGTGCAGGGGCTCCCTGCCAGGAGGGGACCCCTTCCTGCCACCGAGTCAGCGGGGCCGGAGGGTAGGAGGGGCCGGCGGTCTGAGCAGGAGGCCAGCCAGCGGGCTCCGTGTCACCTGGGGTGGCCTGGAGGGTGGGGTGTGCTCTACAGAGACTTAGGGACCCTGTTCCTGCCCTAGGCCCTTGGGGGGGAAGTTAAGTCTGCAGAGCCGTTCTGAGCGGGAGGGGAAAGGGGCCCTCACCCCCGTGCTCACCAGGCAGAGGGGAGGCTGCGGGAGGGGGCTCAGCGCGGCTGGGCAGGAGCAGTGCCTGGGCAGGGCAGGAGGAAATAAAAACGCCCACCCAGCCGGTTCGGGGAGAGGAAGAAGGAAAGCGTCTCCCCACACGGTGGCACTCGAGTCCAGAAATGCAGCCACTGCCACAGAGCCCGTCCCTGTGCTCAGAGGCACAGGCTGGTGCCCAGCCAGACCGCCCCTCCCAGCCCCTCAGCCTCCGCTGCTCCCTCGCCGAGGCCAGGCCGGCCCCTCCTGTGTGCCCCCGGGACCAGCCTGGCATCACCGGGACCTGATAGAGACGCGGCCAGGCCCACGCTCAGCCCACAGGGTGCCCGGCGACGTGTCCCTCCGCGGTCCGGGAGGTGCCGGGCAGGCACCGGGGAGTCTCAGCGGTGTTTCTGGAATTCCGTCCGCACGCTCTGCAGAGTCCGGGGGAGACCTGGCCCCCCCAAGCCCTGCTGCCCCCGTCCTGCAGCCACACTGGGATGGACACAGATGCCCCCCAGGGGTACGTTCTTCCCACCCAGCAAAGGGCAGCACGAGGGTCATGGGGAGGCCGGCTGCCCCCTGGGCTCTGGGACCGGGACCCCTTGCCTCTCTGGGCAGTTCTTCCTGCGGGAGCCACCCCAAGGGTGGAGGGTCGAGGATCTCAACCAAAACACACATTTCCTGGGGTGAGTTTCTCAGCCATCACCTCTACCTCTGCCTCCAGCCAAGGCTGCCACCCAGGCCCACCCAGGCTCAGGGTGTGGGCGGGGAGAGGGTGTAGGCCCCACAACTGGAGGGACAGGCGCCGAGGCACGGGGACAGGAAAGGGTGTTGCAACCACATTTGGGAAATGCAGCCCCCACACCTGCCTCTCTCATAGCCTGGGCAGCCACCTCTGCCATCACTCCTCAGAGGGACGCCATCTGGGCGTGCGCAGCATTCATTCTGAGCGGAAAACGGACGCTGGATGCGCAGACGGAGCCTTTGGTGGACCTGCCCTCTGCCTGGAGGCGCTCCGATGGCCTGAAACGTTGCTGGGTGCCTCCAGCTCAGAGAACGTGGCTTCATCCTGACGGGGCAGGAGGGTGGGCAGGAGCCCCCACGGAGGCAGAGTCCTGGACTCGGGTCTCTCTCGGCCCCGACAAGCTCCTTCGTCCCTAAAAACCGGGCTGTGTGATGGTGAAATGACTCCCACGCCCTCCGTGCTCGCTGCCCCTCAGCTTCGACTTGTCTTTGGACGCACACGCAGGTCCCTTTAGGGCCGTGGTTGGCATACTGGGGCTCTTTGGCCCCTGGGGTGTGGCTCTTCCACAAAATACCACGGCCTGGGCGAGTCTGTTTTGAAGAAGTTGCATTGTAAGAAGTTTAAGTTTAGAAAATGTGGCTCTCAAAAGGAATTTCAATCCTGTTGACATTTGGCTCTGTGGACTAAAGAGTTTGCCGACCACTGGCTTAGGGGACACGGCCTGTCTGCTCTCTGGAGCAGCCTTGGGCATGGGGTCGGCAGGAAGGGCCTGCTGGTCTGGCCTGCAGCTGGGACTGAGGGTCCCGAGGCCCAACACGGAGAACCAAGAAGGAAGGCGTTGGATCAGAGGAAAACCCATCTCAGTGCTCAGTCGGATGTGGGGCCAGCCCCCCGCCTCCCCGGAGCATGAGGCGGAGAGAACAGGGCGCCCTGCCCCCAGGCAGCAGAGGCTACCCCGACCCGCGGCCTCCTCACCCCGCTGTGCTGCAGGCCAGCGGCTCCTCCTGGTTCCAGCTCTCAGAGGCCGTCTCCAGGGGCTGCCATGGAGAGGATGGTGCCCACCCTGCCCCTGGAGGGGCCCGGCGGTGAAGAGCCAGGTGCCAGGGCAGGGCAGGGCAGGGCGGAGGGGCCTGATGGTGAAGAGCCAGGTGCCAGGGCAGGGCAGGGCGGAGGGGCCGCAGAGGAAGGGAGAGGCCGTGACTCGCTGCACAACTGCCACCTTAGGAACTGAAAGTGGTGTGTGGACGTGGGTGGAGGGCGGTGCCTGCTGACCTGTCTGTCAAGAGCTGCTTCCAGGCCCAGGATGGAGCTCCAGCTGTCACCACGGACCTGTGTCCAGGGAGGTAGCTCTGCCACCTAAACCCACGCCCCGGAGCCAGCTGCGCACAGCCAGGGCTGGCGGCAGAGTTCACGGTGGGATGTCCTGAGTTCCCTTGGCCTTTGTGGGCCTGCAGCCGGGGAGCCGTTGAGTCCTGAGGCCCCGTGAGAAGACCCTCAGCAAGCCAGGCCGCCTCTCCACTCCTCTCCCGCCTGCAAGACAGAGGACATGATTCCCGCTCAGCTCAGCATCCTCCAGGGACAGTGTAGAGCCTCCGAGGCGGGGCCAGTACCGCCTGGTCCCTGCTGGGCTCCAGGGCCTCTAGGGACAAGCAGCCGATAAACATTCGGTGGATAAATGAGCGAGAGCGAGCTGGGCTGCTGCAGGCCGCCTGCAGGTGGGGGCTGGTCAACCTTGAAGCTGTAAAGCAGTGTTTCCCAAACTTCTCTCATGATGAGAATCACCTGGTGGAGTTGTTAAACATACAACTAGAATTTTTGGGAACATATAGGTAAAATTAACTAGTGCTCTAAGAGAAGTTGGGGAAACACTGCTAAAAGTCAGAGCCAACCACTCCTTATCTAATTGAGAAAATGGCATCAGAATCAACTTCCCCATCAAATAATCATGTAAATCCTTACTGATATGATAACCCGCCTATTACTTGCCTAAGGGCTATGGGCGTGTCCCAAACCTGCTTAAAGGTACTGGGTGGGTCTCATAGCAGCCTCAATAAAAGGGGTAGCCAGGCCAGAGCCTGGCGGTAGTCCTTTCCCTAGAGGTGGACTCCCACCTGGCTCCCCACTTTCCCAAATTAACTCTTTTCCAGTCTCTTTTAATTTGTGTGCGGCCTTCTCCAGAAACCGGACTCTGAACAGGAATCCTGAACCACATGGGATGTGATAAGGGATCCCACACCCAGGACCCTTCCTAGGAGGGCGGGGTGCTCGCGTGGACAGCAAAGGAGGGAAGGGAAGGGGGGTGGCCAGAGTTCCAGCAGCGACCGCCTAGCCAGCCTTCCTGAGGTGGTCAGCGGTCAGCGTCTCCCAGGCCTGCACACAGCTCGGGCCAGAGTTGAGCGTCCTGGGCCGGAGGTCACCGGTGCCTGGGTTGAAAGTGGGGCTCCACCAGATGCGAGGGACACCAAGGGCCCCCGCTGTGAGACACCTCCCCTCACAGCCCTGGAAGGCGCCCGGATTGACCTCTAAGGTGCTTGAGCAGGGCTGGGGCTGGGGCAGCGGAGGAGCCCAGCAGCAGGGCAGAGGTTGGGTGGGTGGATGGGGATGGTGTCCAGTCTGGTCACACATGCTGGGTGTGGCTGGCCTTTGGGGTCTCCGGCAGGTGCAGGACTGTAAGGAACTGAGAGCTGGGGCTGGAGGAGCTGGGCAAGGACCCACCAGGCTGTTCTGCAGCGGGCACGGGAGCGCCTGGCGGGGCGGGGGCCGAGGCAAAGCCTCCCAGCGGGGCCCGCCCCGCCCAGGATCCAGAGGACACGGAGTCCACAGAGGAGCCAGGGAGCCAGGGACTAGCAGACCAGCTCGGGGCGCAGTCACTCCGATGGTAGGGAGGGGCGTTGGAGAGACCTGCCCCCCTTACCCTTGGGAGGTGACTTCATGGGGTGCCCTGCTGGGGAGAGTGGGGGGAGGGGAGAGGGTGGTTTAAGGATTCCCACTCTACTTCCTCCTCCTCAGGACGGTAGTCCTCCCCCTAGAGGTGGACTCCCACCCTTCCCTGAGCCTCCTCATCTCCTTGACCAGCTGTCAGGACGGGCTGGGATCCCTCAGCCCCTGCAGATAACCCCGAAGGTGGGAGCTGTGCTGGGCCCTGCCCTTTGCCTCTGTGGGGAGGTGGGGAGATGGGGGGATGGGAGCGCATCCTTGGATAACTTCCCAGGCCCCCTCCCAGCTCTCCCGGGGAGAAACAATGGTTTCTGAAAGAAGCCACGGGCCGGGGCCAGGAGCCCTGGGTCCCAGAAGCCATGCCCAGGCGGCCAAGGACAGCCCTGGGAAGAGCTGGGATACCGTGGGCAACTTCCGAATGTTCTTCCTCAGCAAGACTTCGCTGCCAACGGGGAGGAGCAGGTCTGACCCTGGGCAAGGCCGCTGGCTGAGAGGAAGCTCAGCGGCCATCCACCCCGCGGCTGGAACGGGCAGAAGGGGCACCTGAGGGCGTGCAGCCTGGCTGAAGGCCTAGGCGAGCCAGAGCAAAGGGGTGCATCTTACCAGTGCCTCAACCCCACCCAGAGAAGTTGAAAATGCTGAAAAGGGAGAGCTATAAGTTTTATTTATTTTTAAAAATATATTTGTATTGATTTCAGAGAGGAAGGGAGAGGGAGAGAAACATTCATGATGAGAATCATGGGTGGGCTGCCTCTTGCACGTCCCCTACTGGGAATGCCACCCCACGGGGCACATGCCCTTTACTAGAATCAACCCAGGATCCTTCAGTCTGCAGGCGGATATTCTAACCACTTAGCCAGACCAGTCAGGGCGAGAGGCATACATTGTATACTTCAGCTCAGGGCGGGAGAAGAGGAGGCAAGGCATGCACATTTATTTATTTTTTATTTTTTAAAATATATTTTATTGATTTTTTACAGAGAGGAAGAGAGAGGAATAGAGTTAGAAACATCGATGAGAGAGAATCATCGATCAGCTGCCTTTTGCACACCCTCTAGTGGGGATGTGCCCGCAACCAAGGTACATGCCCTTGACCAGAATCGAACCCGGGACCTTTCAGTCCCCAGGCCGACGCTTTATACACTGAGCCAAACCAGTTTCGGCAAGGCACGCACATTTAACCCGTAACTCAAGACTAAGAGAGTTTAGCCGGTTTGGCTCAGTGGACAGAGCGTTGGCCTGCAAACTGAAAGGTCCCAGGTCAAGGGCACATGCCCGGGTTGTGGGCTTGATCCCCAGTGGGGGTTGTGCAGGAGGCAGCTGATCCATGATTCTCTTTCATCATTGATGTTTCTTTCTGTCCTTCCTTCCTCTCTGAAATCAATAAAAATATATTAAAAATAATTTTTTTTTAAAAGATTAAGATATCTCCCGCCTCCAGGACCTGCCAGGTCCCCGTCACTCGGGCGGGGAGGAGGGCTCCCACAGGGTCCATTTAGATTAAGATGACCAGACGTCCCTATTTTCAACAATCTGTCCCGCCAAAAGCAGACGTCTGGTCACCTTAGTTTAGATGCACTAAACCAGGGAAAGGCCACCCACACGAAAAACAGGCCCAGGGAGGGTGGGGACCCTGCCCAGTTGCCCAGGAGTGGGTGAGCAGCAACGTGTCCACCTAGCTGTGCCTACGGGCTCCCTGGATCCTTTCCGGTTCTCTTCTCTCCAGGAAAGGGGTCTCCCTGCCCGTCCCTGCCTGCGCTCTCCCTTCTCTTCTGGAGACAGCAGGTGACCTCAAGCTGGAGCTCCATCACAGCCAGGCGCACCCTACGCTCGGCGCATGCGCCTAGTAAGCCCCGCCCCCCGCCGACAACCAACATGGCCGCTCTGGCTACGGACGCTTCTGCCCAGCACGAACGTGGCGGCTCCTGACGTCATAGGACGGCGCCGGCCGCCCCGGAGCCCGCACGTGCGCCCCGGTTGGGGAGGTTTCCGGGCCGGGCCATGGACACCCCGCGGAGGCGCAGCCGGCGGCTGGGAGGCCTGAAGGCGGAGTCTCCCGGGAGCCCCACCGCGGTTCTGCGGGCGAGGCGAGCGCTTGCAGGATTCGAGTCGAACCCAGAGGAACCGAGGGAGCCCGCGTCTCCGCGGCCTGTGCGGCCGCCCGGCCTGGATTCCCCCGGACGCCAGCCGGAGACACGCCCGGGATCGCCCAGGCTGGGGCAGGGGGTAGGCCCGGGGTCCCCCCAGGGTCAGCAAGAGCCAGGCCTGGGGTCCCCCCGGAGGGAGCCGGGTCCGGACCCGGGGTCCCCTCAGGGTCAGCAAGAGCCAGGCCTGGAGTCTCCCCGAAGACAGCCAGCGTCGAGTCCGGAGCGCCCCCGACGTGAGCCCCGGCCAGGAGAGGGGTCCCCGCAGGCCGGCCAGAGCCGCGGAGAGCCGAGCGCGAAGTTGGCCCCGATTGCGGAGAATCTGGCCCAGCCGCCGGGCCCAGGGTCACCCGAACCCCACCCCGGACAGCCAGCGCCGGGCCCGGAGCCCTCGCCGCCGCTGCAGGAGCCCGCACCGCCGCCACCCGGCTCCGCCCCGGGCCCGCACCTGCGGAGCCAGCCGCCTCCGGCCCGGGAGCCGGCGAGAGGTGGCCTTTGCCCAAAGAAACGAAAAGGGTCTCCACCACGGGCCCCGGCGCCCAAGAAGCTGGAGGAGGAGGTGGCGGTTCCGTTAATCCCGAAGGGAAAGCCCAAGTCGGGGCGGGTATGGAAGGACCGCGCCAAGAAGAGGTAAAGGGGGAGGGGCGGCCGGGTTTGGCGGGGTCGGGCCCCTGCGCAGCCTGCAGGCAGCCTCCGGGTTGGACAGAGCTCACACTAACGGGTGATTATCATCCAGAGGTGGTAGGTGCCCTAGGACCCCAGGAGACTGACAGCTCGGCTGTTCCATGCTGCTTTCCCGGGTCCCTGTGGACCTCCCTACAGCACCCCACTGTGAGTGCATTTACTCCCCTCTGCCCGCCCCATGAGGAAGGGGAAGCAGGTCAGCAGCACTGCAGCTGGAGCGGTGAGGTCTGTGTTAACCCCGTTATCTGTGACATGATCTGTCTCTGTGAGACAGTGTTACCAACACAGGACATTGGACAGGCTAAGCGTAGGCCAGGGTGAGCCTTCAAACAGGGACCAGCATGCACCCGGGTTTGCTCTGCACAGGAGCCCTGGGAGGCAGCCAATTTAGCCTCATGTTGCAGGTGAGGAAACGGGGCTCTGCAGAGAAACCGGGGGTCTGCAGAGAAACCAGGGGTGCGCAGACCGCAGGCAGTCGGGGTGAAAGAGAACCCCGTCAGGAGGCTGTTGCTCCAGCGTTAAAACACCTTCAGGGGCCACAGGCAGGTCTGGGGGTGAGGGCCAAAGGTCACAAAGTTGATGTTGGGGCCTTGGAGGAAGCAGCTCAGGGGCTGGCCAGTGAGCCCAGGAACCAGACAGCACCGGCTCCAGGTGTCAGCGGTCAGGGTGTGGGGGCAGCAGTGGCTGCTGGAGGCCTGGCTCCCTGCTCTCGTGCCAAAGGCCGCCTTCTGCACAGTGCTCCATGGACAGGCCCTGTGTCTCCTCTGAAGGGTGGTGGTTATTGAGCACCTATTATGTGCAGAGCTCTGTGCTTAGGACTTTTTTTTTTTTTTTTTAATATAGTTTATTGATTTTCCACAGAGAGGGAGAGGAATAGAGAGCTAGAAATGTCGATGAGAGAGAAACATCAACCAGCTGCCTCCTGCACACCCCCTACCGGGGATATGCCCACAACCAGTGTACATGCTCTTGACCGGAATCGAACTTGGGACCTTTCAGTCCACAGACCGACGCTCTATCCACTGAGCCAAACCGGCTTCGGCTGTGCTGAGGACTTCTGCAGCTCTGTCTCAGGGAACCTCCCGCCAGCCTTCGGGATGGGAACAGTTCTTGTCTCCATTTACTGAAGCCCAGCTGCCTTGTGCGTTGTCACACAGGGCGGATTGAGGTCTCAAAACCCAGGCCGCCCTCCCATCTCCAGGCAGAGCGATGCTCTGGGACTGCACTGCCCAGGCCTTAGCCATTTAAATTTAAGTGGATTAAAGTTAAAGTTAAAAATTAATTCCCTCGGTCACACCAAGCACAGGTCAGCTGCTCGGCCACCAGTGTGAGTGCTGGTGTCGGGTTGAACAGCGTGAACGTGGAGCGTGGCTACCGCGGCGGGAAGTTCTGCTGGAGCGCCTCTGGCTGCGCCCCGGTCCCCTCCCGGCGGAGGGAGAAGGAGCAGTGGGGGGCGTGCTGGGGTCCGAGGCAGGCCTGGGGATGGGGTGGGGGAGAGCAGAACAACCAGGCGGAGGCGGCGGGTGTGGGTGAAGGTACAGACTGGGTGCCGGCTCCCGGGGAGCAAGGCGGGAGGAGATGGTCCAGAAGAGCTATGCTGACACCCCCCCCCCTCGGGACGGCTCTCAGCTCCGGGCAGACCCCGACCTGCGTGTCCTGGCACCTTGTGTGAGCCTTCTCCCCGAGGCCATCTCTCCTGTGTGCACCTCGAGCCACCGCGCTGTCATTTCTCCTGGGGAGGGTTCCGGATCCTGACAACGTGCCCTCCAGGCCGCCCCGGGAGGGAGCGTTCCTGCTGCCGCCGCTGTGCCCGGGGAGAGCAGCAGGGCTTCGTGGCGGAGGCTGGTGCCTGGACTCTGGGGCCACCAGCAGGGATTCGGGAATGGGGGGTGCTGGGCTTGCTCGCTGGAACGGACAGAACTGGAGCCCCACCTCAGAGGCTTAGGACACGGCAGGCAGCGGAGGGGAGCCCGGGTCTGTGACCTGGGGTGACTGCCCGCACGCAGGCAGTGGGAGGTGGTTCTGACCGGGATGGAGGAAAGAGCCGGAGCTGGGGGAGAAGCTGGGTGCAGCACAGGACCCCACAAGCCCCCTCCCCCACCCCACCCTCAGGTTCTCCCAGATGGTGCAGGACAAGCCCCTGCGCACCTCCTGGCAGCGGAAGATGAAGGAGCGGCAGGAGAGGAAGCTGGCCCGGGACTTCGCCAGGCACCTGGAGGAGGAAAAGGAGCGGCGCCGCCAGGTGAGGGCGGAGCCGGCGTCTGCTGGGAGGGTGTCTGCTGGGGGGGGGGGGTGTCTGCTGGGAGGGGGTGTCTGCTGGGAGGGGGGGTGTCTGCTGGGAGGGGGTGTCTGCTGGGAGGGGTGTCGCTGGGAGGGGGTGTCTGTTGGAGGGGGGGGTGTCTGCTGGAAGGAGGGGGGGCTGGCCGGGAGCAGTGCAGTCTGGGGCCATGGGGCAGGGAAGATGGAGGAGGTCCAGTGTAGCCCTGGCTCTGCGGCCCGGGGAGGGGAAGCCCCAGCGGCCACACAGAGAAAGTGAGGCCGTGGCGTGGGCCAGGCCAGGCTGCTCAGCGGACCCTGGCTGCCTGGGGACCCGCCACCTGGTGATCCCAGGTGATTCATTCCCGGAAGAATGAATGCCTGGCCCAGGCTCCGGACCCGCCTGCCTGGGGGGGGGGGGGGGGGCCCGTCGGTCGTCTGTCCCCGGATTCGGGCGCCCCAGTGCCGAGGTCCTTAGAAGAGGCGGCTGTTGCCTGCGTGGAGGCCTTATCTCACTTCCTAGCAGCTGCTCCTTGTTGGGCAAGAGGCCTCCTGCCTGGGAGCCCAGGTCTCACTTCTCATTTCTTACCAGGCCCAGGCCACGCCTGCCCGCTCAGTTCCCAAAGCCAGGTGGGCCCCTGGCTGTGCAGCAGCCTGGACCCCCCCCCCCCCCCCGCCCCCAGCAGGGACGGCACCCAGCAAAGCTGGAAGTGGGCTTCCGCTCCCAATAGGCCCCCTCCATCCCTCTGGGCATTCCCATGGCCAGGTAACACAGGCCACTCTGCCTCTCCTCGTTCCTCTGAACAAGCTTAGGGGGGCGTTCTCATTGTAAAGATGGGGTGAAGCACAGAGGTGAACTCCTTGGCCAAGGTCACCCCTTGAGAAGTAGCCGAGCCAGGATTCGAACCAGAGCCTCTTTGCTGTGGCCTCCATCCTTCCCAGCCCCGCACCTGGGCACCTGGACTTCCGGGCAGAGGGTGAGGGTGAGGAGACCACCCCGCCCCTCTGCTCCCAGGGGCCTCTCTCTACATGTGCCTGCGTCCCCGCAGCCCCGCCCAAGCCTCTGTCCTCAGCTGCCTCCCAGGTGCCCACCTTCTCAGGCGGAGCCAGGACCTTCCCCCATGGTGGTCCTCCACCTGCCCATGGGCCCTCCACCTGCCCCCCACCAGGGCCTGGGAGGCGAGGCTCTGCCCTCCTCCCCAGGAACTGCCAGCGCTCCCTTGGGGGCCTGAGAGACGGGGCTGCCTCACCCGGCCCCGTGTTCCCTCCCCCCTCCGTGCACCCAGGAGAGGAAGCAGCGCCGCGCCGAGAACCTGAAACGCCGCCTGGAGAACGAGCGCAAGGCCGAGGTCGTCCAAGTGGTGAGTGCCGGTCCCTGCCTCCTGCCCTCCCCTGCCGCCATCCCAGGCCTCCCTCTTCCTGGGAGCAGGGGAGACACCAGCCTCATCACTGCTCTGCCTTTTCACCCCCAGATCCGAAACCCCGCCAAGCTGAAGCGGGCGAAGAAGAAGCAGCTGCGCTCCATCCAGAAGCGGGACACGCTGGCCCTGCTGCAGCAGCTGCCCCGGCCGGCGGCCCAGGACTGAGCCGGACAGCGAGCCTGGAGCAAGCGAGCGCCGTCACACCCCCCGCCGGCCACACTCCTGCTCTGGCCCGGGAGAGGAAGCCGCTCCGGGGGCCCTGAGGGCCGGGCTCGGGCTTGTCTCTGGGAGACAGTCTGAGGGAGCCGGGCCCTGGCAGAGGTTGGGGGCTGGGCCGGGGGAGGATCAGCTTCCCAGCGGTCCCCCTTCTCCCCCCACCCCTGCTCCTCCCCAAGTGCCTTCAAGCTCAGGAGCCATTTTTCTGCCTCCTGAGGGAGCTGCAGGGTGACCCCCCAAATGCGCATGTTCTGTGTCAAGGTCCGGACCCTCCCAGACCAGAAGGCCGCAGGGAGAACCCAGCTCCCCATCCCTTCCCGAGCTGCTCTGGGCACCTCTGCACCCACTGAGCCCACTGAAGGGTGAAGATGGCAGGTGGCGGGTCCCCCTCCAGCCCCCTCTCCTGTACCAGCCTCTGCAGAAGCCCCAAAGATGTGCTGAACTCATGCCCATCCAGGCTACAAGCATATTTATTGAGCGCCTGCTGCATACAGGCAGAGACAGGTGCCGGGGGGTGCAGGGCCTCGCTGCCCGAGGAGCTCTCGCTCCGTGGAGGAGACAATAAACGAGTGGATCACGCGGCACTGGCAGCGTGCGGTGATTACAGGGGGGGCTTGGGCGAGGGGTTCTATGGCTGGCTGCTCCTCAGCTTCCAGCAGCTGCAGTTTGCTGGGCACCGGCTGTGGGCTGCCCTGCCTGGTCCTGGGCAGCACACCTGCCCGACTCCAGGGACCCGCCTGGTGGCCCAGGGAGCACTGGCCCTTCCATGAACCCTTCGCCCACCAAACACCGGCACCAGTTCTGCCAGGTGCAGAGCTGAACGCGCAGTCTCCCCTCAAGTCCTCGGCAGGCAGAGCAGGGAGACCTGCTATCCCCCCACCCCCCTGGGGCACACGAGCCCCTGAGTGGTCAGAGGTGGGCGCTGCCAGGATCTTGGGGTGACCAGCATTGCCATGCGGTGTGCCATGGGACATGGGCACCCAGAGGTGTCGCACTAGCTGGGAAATAACGGCTGTGACCCCGGCAGCTGCTGTCCCCATGGAAACACGGAAGACTGACACCCCCTGCACTATGGCTAGCTAGCCTGTTTCCCAAACACTTGACTATGGCACCCCTTTGCTCTCCCACCTGTAAATGCTCGGTGCTGGGCCAGCGCCGGGAGAGGGGCCCCAGTCAGCGTGTCCATTAGTGGGGTGCTGGCTGTGCTTTCACCACCACACAGTAACCGAGCGGTCAGCGGGCAGACCCTGCTCTGGGCATGTTGCTGACCTCCCTGCACCTCCATTTGTGCATCTTTAGCAACGGCCTAAAAGGACCTGTCCCTCCCGAATGTGGGCAGAGCGTCCGGCTCAATCACCATTGGCCTGGACTGGAACAGTGCTCCCCAACCTTCCTCACTACAAAAACACATCACTAGTTTGTGTAAAAAAAACATTTATCATCCCCAACCCCCCACCCCCCAATCTGGTAAAGTTGGGCCCCAAGGAGATGCGTCCTGTGTGCCTTACGGCGCCGCTGCCCCAGTATGAGGGCTTGGGTCACCTATGTGGTGGGTGGCCCAGCGGCATCCGGTGGACATGGCCTCGGGGGGGCAGGACTTAGCCATGCAGGTCCGGGTCCCCGCCCGCCGCTGGCAGACTGCACAGAGGCCCCCGGCGGCACGCCCAGGGAGGTGTGCGGTGGCTTTAACTTGCGGAAAGGGCTTCACTGGATTGGCGGGCACTTTAAAGTGCAGATCCCCGGGCCTGCCCCTGGGACCCGCTCTCCGAGGCCGCGCCCGGGATCTACATTCTAACACCGGTGCCTGCACTGGGGGGACGGCGGTGCCGGCCGCGCCCGGGATCTACATTCTAACACCGGTGCCTGCACTGGGGGGACGGCGGTGCCGGCCGCGCCTCTAGCCCGAGGTGTTGCTCAGCGCCCGGTTCAGGGGGCCCTCCTCCTCCCGGGACCCCCGGCCCTTGGCGGGCGGCGCGGCGCGGCCCCCCCGCAGCCAGCCCAGCAGGCGCGCGGGCCGGGGCGCGGGGGCGGCGGCGGAGGAGGAGCCGCGGCGCAGGCTGCCGGCCAGCTCGTCCTCCACCAGCACGCTCTCCAGCACGCTCCGCAGCGAGCGCCGCAGCTTGCGCAGCATGTCGGGGCAGGTGAGCACGTAGAGCAGCGGGTTGAGCACGCTGTTGAAGAAGGCCAGGCTGGTGACGAAGGGCAGCCCGCGCCACACGAGCGGCCGCAGCGCGGGCTGGCCGTGCGCGCGCACCTCCAGGAGGCTGAAGACGTGGTAGGGCCCCCAGCAGAGCGCGAAGGCCGCCACCACGGCCGCCACGAGGCGCACGAAGCGGCCGGAGCGCGGGCGGCCGCGGTGGCGCAGGCGCGCGCTCACGGCCAGGTGGCTGGCGGCGATGACGGCCAGCGGCGCCAGGAAGGCCAGCAGGAACTTGCTGACCGCCAGCCCCACCTGGCGCGCGTGGCACGTGGCGTCGCGGTCGGGCCCGGGGCTCAGCAGCAGCAGGTTGTAGTAGCACATGATGCGGCCGTCCCGCCGCGGGATGGTGTCCCGGAACACGTAGTAGGGCACCGTGTTGAGCGCCGCCAGCGCCCAGAGCGCCAGGCACACCCTGTGGGCGGCCGCCACGGTGCGGTGGTTCTGCGCCCACACGGGCCGCAGCGCCTGCAGGCAGCGGTCCAGGCTGATGGCGCTGAGCAGGAAGCCGCTGGCGAACATGTTGAGGAAGAAGACGGACGAGTGCAGCTTGCAGAAGGTGGTGCCCAGCTCCCACGAGTGGCCCACGGCCAGGAAGTAGGTGAAGAAGGGCAGGCTGGCGGCGGCCAGCAGGTCGGACAGCGCCAGGTGCAGCACCCAGGTGGTGACCACGGTCTGGCGCATGCGACAGCCCACCAGGAAGAGCACCAGCCCGTTCTCCGCCAGGCCCAGCAGCGCGGCCAGCCCGTGCAGCACCACGGACGCGTGGTCCATGTAGCGGATGCTGGAGTTGCTGTGGCCCTGCAGGTGGCTCATGTGCTCCAGGAGTGGGCACAGCGGCCTCGCCGTCATGTTGGCCGACATGCTGGGCACCGCCCTGGGGAGAAACAGGCACGGAGGTGGGCAGGGCTGGGCGACAGGGGGCCCCGGCCAGGAGACGGAGATCTGACTCAGAATGGGATTGGCGAGGCCCCTGGGAATCGGAAGTGACCAGTGACTTCCCAGCTCCCTACGCTGACCGCACAGCCTGGGGCGAGCCCTCCACCTCCCTCTGCGCAACATGCATGCCAGGCTTAACGTGACCTCGCTCAGGGGGTGGGAGTGAATGAGCTCACATACAGAAACGTGTGGAACGGGGCAGCTGGCCCAAGCTCACACGGAGACCTGGGAACAAGGTCCGGTCCGCAGGACCCCCTTTCCCTGACCCCGGAGAACCAGAGGCTGAGGCAGCCCCTCAGGGCAGGGGGTTCCTGGGGCCTGGGGGACCGAGCCTGTGCCTTTAAGGGATGCCGTCCCCCCACCCACAGCAGCCTCTGACCTTGCCTCTGCGGAGTCTCCTTGGGGCCCTCTGCTCCCACAGTGGCAGCAGGGTTGGGTGTGTTGACAGTAAATAAAGGAGCCAGCCCCTCCTCCGATGGCTGAAGAGGAACTAAGATAAGAGAGGGGAGGACTAAGCAGGAGGAACTGCCTGCCTGCTGGGCCTCCAGTAGAAGCTCCCCCACCTCATGGGTGCACGCCCCCCCTTATCCCCCTCCCCCCGCACGGTGGGAGCTGCCGCAGCTTGGCTGGCCCCAGGAAACCCCGCCTGCTCTCATTCATTCACCGGGCGGTGCGCTCAGGCCCCAGATGCTGGAGAAGCCAGCCTCCACTGACGATCTGAGGGCAGAGGAGGTGGGGCCAGTGGCAGGGGGGCGGGGGGACTCGGGCTGCCAGGGCCCCCAGGCACGCCAGGACTCTGGTAGGTTTCCTACACGGACGCTCTCTCGCTCCTCCCCGTCCCATTGTGCAGATGAGAAAACTGAGGCTGGAGTGTTTAACGTGCCCCAAAGCCACCCAAACAGTACAGCCGAGAAGAGAAGTGACAGGCTAGCGCTCAGCGCGATTTCTTCCCTCTCCCTCTGCTCCGGCTCCGGGTGAGAGGGGAGGGAGGAGGAAGTGGGGGGAGGGTATCCCTCTTCCCAGGGGAAACCCCGTTGGCTGGGAGGAGAATGTCCACCCTCTTCGCCAGGAACCACGTTCCTTTGCCGGGTGAGGTCCTGGGAGATCGATCTAGAATGTTCCTGGCCGGTGAGCCCCTGGCGCTGGGATGAGGAGGTGGTGGGGAGCTGTGGGCCGTGCTCCCTGCGAGAATTCACGCTTCCTGAGCGGCAGTGTGTGGAGCAATCACACAGCGACCTGTGTGGCCCACTTCTCAGAAGAGGAACTGAGGCTCGGAGAAGCAGCTTGCCCCGGGGCCAGTGCGGCGCCCGGCTCTCCCGCCGGCCGGCTGGCGGGCAGGCGGCGTGCCATCCCCTCTGTGCCGCGGCATCCCCCGCCGCCCAGCAGCTGCTGGCCCGGTCCGTGGGGTGCAGAGCCTTGGCCGGCCGGGAGCAGCCAGGTGGGCCCGCTGGCTGTGCCGTCAGCCCCGCCTCCGGCCCCGGAGGGAGCCCAGCACGGACCCTGCCTTGTTAGGGGCTGGAGCCCAGAACATGAGCTTTGGGGTCAGAGACCTGGGTCTCATCCCGACGCCCCAACATCCTGGCGGGTGAATGGGTCTGCTACCCCAAGACTGCTGTGCTCCCGGTTAATGCTGGAGAGACGCGGCCCCTCCTCTGAGCAGCAGGCCCCCTCCCGTCTTTGCAAACCCAGCCCTCTGCCTTCCTGGCGGGGACAGCCTCCCCCCCCCCCCCGGGGGGAAACTCCTCTCGGGGGCCCAGAGAGGGCACTCACTGCCCGGCCGGCCTCCGCCTCTTACCTGGCACAGAGGAGCGGGGAGGGGGCGCGGCCCCAGCCCTGAGGCAGGCAGTCCTGGAGGCAGCCAGCCGAGCGCTGTTAGGAGGCGGCAGCGAGTGAAGCTGAGGGAGGAAATCCTCTCAGCCCGAGTGTGTGTGTGCGCGTGTGCGTGTGTATGTGTGTGTGTGTGTGTGTGTGTGTGTTTAGGGGTGGGGTCGGGGAAGGCGGGGATCTCGGAGAGCGGTTGTCACAGGTGTTCCAGCAACGTTCATCTGCTCAGTGGGGAAGGGACCTGACTGCTGGCAGCCCCGCTCCCCGCCCGCCCCCGTCCCCCCCCCCTCCCCCCCCCCCCCCGTCCCCAGACAAAGGAGATGCTACAGAAGCCAGTGCAGGTGGCCGTGGAGACAGGTGTGTGGCTGGGCTGAGCCCATGTGCAGAGGCAGGTGCTTGTTAAACAGCTTTTACTGATGGATTTCAGAGAGGGAGAGACTGTTGTTCCACTCATCGGTGCGGTCACTGTTTGCTGCTCGGATGTGCCCTGGCCCGAGATCGAACCTGAAACCTTGGCGCATCGGGACGAAGCTCTAACCTCCTGAGCTGCCCGGCGGGGCCCAGGGGGCGCTGTGGAGAGTGGCCGGCATGGAGGAGGGCAGGAGGAAGGAGTGTCTTGTCCACCTCACCGCCCTGGGCAGCCCTCTCGGATCCGGGCATCCTCGGAGAGCCCCTGCTCCTCCTAGGGGTCCGGCAGCTCCAGTGCCGGCTCTGGAGGGGCCCCCAGGGCTCCGGGGCCAGGAAGGCAGGGCGGGGCAGTGGGAAGCGCAGGGCCTGGCTGCCTGCCCCACCCCTGCAGCCTGCTTCGAGGTGAGCGCGCCCCTTTTTGGCATTTGTGAACAGAGCGACAGTGTCTGCCTCCGAGGCTGTGCCAGGAGGTGCCCTCACTAAGCGCTGGCACACAGTAGGCGCTTATACATGTCCTTCATTTCCCTCTGGAGGAGCAGTGGGCACAGGCGTAGGACGAGGACAAGATAGCTTTTATTTAGCATGCCCTCGGATTGATTTTTAAAAAAAATATATTTTATTGATTTTACACAGAGAGGAATTGAGAGGGATAGAGAGTTAGAAACGTCGATGAGAGAGATACATCGACCAGCTGCCTCTTGCACACCCCCCACTGGAGATGTGCCCGCAACCAAGGTACGTGCCCCTGACTGGAATCGAACCTGGGACCTTTCAGTCCGCAGGCCGACGCCCTATCCACTGAGCCAAACCGGTCTTGGCTTGGATTGATTTTAAAAAAATAAAGTAACATGCCCTAGGATGTGAGGGCTGGACTATGACGTGTGCATTGAAGGGTCCTCGGTCTTTACTCCCCGGGGCTGACGAAGCTTCAGGGCCACGGACCCTACTTTCAGTGCCCGGAGATACAGGCGCACAGGCGAAGCCCTGGCCGGCGGCCCAGTGGTTAGAGCCCTGGCCCGGGCACCAAGGAGTCGTGGGTTCCATTCCCCGTCAGGGCACGTACCTGGGTTGCAAGGTCGATCCCCGGCCCCAGAGGGGACCTGAGGGGGAGGCAACCAATCAATGTGTCTCTCTTTCCCCCTCTCCCCTCCCACTCTCTAAGAAAACCACCACCAACAGCAGAAACATGTTGAGAACTCAGCACCCCCACATCAGAGCTAAGGGTGCGCCCCTGTGGGCCCGACTCAGCAAGCTGAGCCCACGGTCCCGAAGGGAACGTGAGTGACAGGACCTGTGGTGGGGCCTCCTCGTGGGAGCCGCGAGGGCCGACGGGGAAGAGGCTGATGGTCCCAGTCCTCGGCCGGGACTGTCCTCCTCCATCAAGGGGCTCTGCCTCCCACAGGCCTGCCTGTAGCCCCTCCCTCCCCCCGCCTGCCGACCCCGGGCATCCCCTGCGGCCAGGGCAGTGGGGGGGCTGCCAGCACCGATCCGGTACTGCCCACCCGGCCAGGAGACCTCGGCAACTCCCTCCCCGGCCCCGAAGCACGGTTCCTCCCTCGGCAGCCCCCGCCCAAGTGCGAGGTGCTGTGCAGACTGCCCTCTGGACTAAGAAGGACCCCCTTCCCATGGAGAACCAGCCAGGGCGAGTCCTGGCTGGGCAGGCACAGCCTCCATCCTCCCCGACACCCTCCCCACCAGGGCCCTCTGGCTCTGAGCCCCCTCCTCTGCCCCTCCCACAGCTCTCCCAGTGGCACCCCTTTTGGTGGGGAGACCCTCACTCCTGGCCCTCCTCCAGCCCGTTTCCCGTCCTCCCATCGCTGGTGAACGTGACTGAACGGGAGCGCGCACTCCAGATGTGAGGCCCCGGGGGTTTTCTAAGAAGCAGCGCGGTGTTTATTTTTGTGGGCTCCCACCGTAGGAACCGGCCGCCCCAGCATGCACCGCAGCCAGCGGGACCCCACTGTCGCCACGTGGAGGACGGACGGATGGACGGACGCCAGGAGGGCCGGACCCAGAGTGGGGTGGGGGTGGTGGGGTGAGGGGGCCTTCCCTCCGGAGCAGTGAGCAGCGTGGACTCCAGGTCCCTCAGCTCCCCTGGCCACCGGCCTCCCTGCCCCCCACAGCCCCCCCCCTACCCCCCAACAACGCCCATCTGGGTCCGGGGAAGCCCTGGTCCCGGGAGAGAGGGACACACACAGGAAGAAAGACAGCTGTGGAGAGTGGCAATGCCCCCCACCAAGTCCTGTGTTCACAGAGAGAAACGGGGCTCCCACCGCACCCCAGGCCCCACTCCCTCGGCGGCCGCAGGACAGCCCCGAGGGAAGTGCGGGGACCAACATGTCCCCACCCCCAACACCCACCCCCTGCAGCCCGCCTGTGCAGGTCTGATCAGTGCCCCCACCCCCACCCCGGCCCCCCATGCACATGCGGAAGCCCTGAGCCCGGCCTCAGACTGCAGCCTCCAGGAGACAGGCGCTCAGTGGCCTCAGACCAGCCTCCTGGAGACGGGCGCTCAGCGGTGATGGAGCTCACACGAGGCCGTGAGGGTGGCGGGAACCCTCCGACCCGACGGGGGTCCCGGTAAGAAGCGGAAATTTGGACGCTCGAAGACGTGCCTCTCAGCGTCCAGAACTCAGGCAACGGCATCCGTTCCAGCCCCCGTTTCCGCCCGGCGTCCTGTCGTGGCAGCCCGGCAGGGCCGCGGCCGCCCAGGCCCCACCTGCCTCTCACCAGGAGGAAGCGGCAGAGAAGCCCAGCACGCCCGGCCTGCACGCCCCCGAGGTGTCTGTCCAGGGGGTGCCTGAGGGGGAGTGACGGGGACCCTCCCAGGTCGGAGGCGGCCAAGGCGATGAGTCCCTGACCTTGGACGGGACCTGGTCTAGGAAACAGACCCGCAGGAGAACATGCCCTCCTCATTCCCGCAGTGGACCAACCGAGGGCGTAAGGTTTGCAGATTACACAACTGGGTACAGCAGTGCTGATCCCCTGATTTTTATCGCTGACTGTGGTTGCTTGTTTTTAAGAAATAGGCATTAGAGGTCTTACGGGGCAGGAGGGATCAGCTGTGACTACGGACGAGCTCTCTGATGGCACGTGAGTGAGTGAGTGAGTGTGTGTGTGTGTGTGTGTGTGTGTGTGTGGACCGAGAGCACGAACACCAGCTCCAGCTGAGGAATCTGGGCGGAGGGTATATGGCAGTGGTTGGCAAACTCTTAGTCAGCAGAGCCAAACGTCAAGAGGACGACGATTGAAATTTCTTTTGAAAGCCACATTTTTTAAACGTAAACTTCTAACGCCACTTCTTCAACACAGACTCGCCCAGGCCGTGGTATTTTGTGGAAGAGCCACACTCAAAGGGCCAAGGAACCGTATGTGGCTCGAGAGCCGCGGTTTGCTGACCACGGGATAAGGGAATTCTGTGCCCTGACCGGGGGGGGGGATCAAACCACTCTGCCTCCTGGTTCACAGGCCAATGCTCAGTCACTGAGCCACACGGCTGGATAAAGAAAAATTTATTTTTGATTGGGGTTCGGGGGTGAGAGCGAGAAACGTCTATGTGAGAGAGAAAAACATCGACCGGTTGCCTCCACCACACACCCTGGACCCCACCTCTGGGTGCACCAATGACATCCCAACCACAAGGATTTAAAAAAAAAAAACAGGCAACCCCGATTCCGGACTGTTCAGTCAGGGGCTCTGGCCTCTTTTCCCTTCATTCGCAAAATAGACAACAGCTGACACAACAGTAGCTGCCCGGCGTGAATAAATCAAAATGATACTTTTAATTTTTTTTGTCAGATCAGCCAAAAATCTGTGTTTGGGGTGTGCCACGCGGTGACAGAGGTTGAAAATCACTGCATCGTCACAGATGCCACCCAGCGAGCATTATCAGCCCCGGCTCGCACACAGGAAACCAAAGCTCAGGCGAGCGAGGGCCTCACCGCCTGCAGGGGCCAGGGCGGACCCAGCCCCACCCACCCCTGAGCACTGGCACCTGCTGGGCGGGACTCTGCCAGGCCTTGGGCCACGGGTGGCAGGAAGCCGGGGGTGACATCCTCCGAGGATGACCGTCAGGAGCGGCCCCCCGCCCTGGGCTGGGCCCCGCCTGCAGGCGGCCGGGCGCCGGGCTGTTCTGAAGGGACTGGTTCTTAGGATGGCGCCGGACGGACAGCACACGGGGCGGCACAGGGCTCCCAGCCGCCGCGGCCAGGCTGCGGGGTGAGGCACGGTGTTGGGCTAAGGAGCCGAGGCCGTCTATCGTGAGCCACGGGAGTCGATGCCCTGCTTTCCCCGATGTCCCTCTCCTGCCCAGGACCACCGGGAGGCGGTGCCACCAAGTCCCTCCTTCCCGTTGGCTTTTGTGAGCAGGAGCTGTGGTCAGAGTGGCCTCAGCTCTCGGAGAATGCTGCAAGCCGCTCCTTGCTCACCTGGGCCCGTCCAGCTGCAAGCTTTTAGGGCTTCCCCCGCGGCTGCAAGCTTTTAGGGCCGGGCCAGGACTTGGGCTGGTCTTGGGGCCTGAGGAATGGGGTGTAAACTAACCCAGCTGCTGCCCGCCACCCCCTGCAGCTCAGCCCGAGGCCTGAGAGTCTGGCTGGGCAGGGAGGGGACCTGAGGGCAGTGGGTGATCCCACAGGGCCTCTGCCTGCTCCCCCCTCCCCCATCTAGCCATAGACCCGCCCCATGGCCCACCTGCAGCTCATCTGCCCTCAGTGCCCCTCCCCAGCGGGCTCACCCACCTGAGCTGCATGAGCCCAGCTGCCGGGCAGAAAGTGAGGGGCCTCTCGCTGACAGGGCCCGGCTGGCAGGCACCGCCCCGGCTTCAGGGCAGGAGTTTCACCAGAGCCCCAGCCGGCCGGCGCCCCAGGTGGGCCCCTTTGCCTTGAGAGCGCCCACTTGCCACGGCCCCCATATAAGTCCCGGCCTCCGCGGCCTCAGCTGGGAGGCTTCCTGGGATCGCGGCTCTGATGGCGGGAGCCTTGGCCATGGGCTGGGCCCGCGGGCTGGCGCTGCTGCTGCTGCTGGTGCCGGCGGCCACGCCGGGCGCCCCGGGCCTGCGGCACAGCTACGACTGCGGGGTGGAGGGCATGCAGCTGCTGGTGCTGCCCCCGGAGGGCCGCACCGTCCGGTTCAAGGTGATGGGTGAGTGCCAGCCGACTGGGGTCCCCACGCCCTGGCGGCAGGGGGCTGGGGCCCTCCCCTTTCGCAGGGATGGGAAGAGGAGGGCCCCCCGCCGCCTGAGGGTGGCAGCTCCCACCCTGCACCCCCACCCTCACCCCACAGGGAGGCTGGGGGGAAGGCTGGTTCCCCAGGCAGTGTCTCCGTGTCCGTCAGTGCACGAGCCAGCCGGCCCCTGTGAGAGAGCGGCAGGGCCAGGCTCAGGCCAGCGGGCCGCCCGCTGCTCTCAGAAGCCAGGCACGGCTTTCGAACGCAGGCTGCAGCCTGCGGAACAACAGGGGTGGGTTTCCATAGTTTCCACCTCTGCGAGTGCCGGGCTTCGGCTCCTCCTGGCTCCTAAGCCGTGACCTTAAGCCTCCCCCTGGCCCTCAGCCCCGTTCCTCACCCTCACCCCCTCCCCCGATGGGAGAGGTGTGCCCTGTGGTCTGAACATGGGGGCATCCCCCCCCCCCCAGTCGGTGGGCGCGGAGCAGGCGGCCCAGGAAAAGTGGCTGCAGACCCGGTGAACCTGCAAACCCTCAGCACTCCCTTCGGTGCTGCCCAGGTGCCCGTCGTGGCGAGGCTCCGAGCCTGCTCCGGCTCCAGCTGCCCCCGCCCGGCACGGGAGGAGCGGACACACAGCCTGGGCCCTGCTCATTTCTCCGCACTTCCACCCCCACCTGCTGCTGTCAGGGGACCCGGGCCAGACAGGGCCTAAGACCAGAGAGGCCGAGGGGCCTGCCCAAGGCCACACAGCAAGCGACTAGCAAAGCTGAGGCTGGAACCTGGCCTGCTCCTGAACCGAGGGAGTCTTCTCAGCAGACTGTCTCCCCCCCACCCCCCCACTCTGGCTTCACCTTCAGCCTCCCCTCCCCCTGGCCCCCAGCCTCCCCCACCCCAGCCTCTGCCCCTCCTCAGCCTCTCCCCCTCGTTCCCTCTCCCGCTGCAGACGAATTTGGGAACCAATTTGAGGTGAACAACTGCTCCAGCTGCTACCACTGGGTTACGGCCAAGCCCCAGGGGCAAGCCGTCTTCTCTGCGGATTACAAAGGCTGCCACGTGCTGGCGAAGGTGGGCCCCCTCCCTCCCTCCCTCTCGGGGATCCCCGGGCTGTGGGCCAGCGTGGCCTCACACGGTGCCAGGCTGGGAGGCCCCTCATGGACCAGGGAGGCATGGGCACCCCCATCACTCAGTGAGCTGGCGGACGAGGGGACTGAGTCCTGGGCTGCCGCTCACAAACCGCCCCCCCTGCCACCCAGCTGGGTGCTTCCCCCTCCTGCCCACCCCCCCCCCCCGCCTGCCACCCAGCCGGGCGCTCCCTGGCCATCAGCCTGCAGGGAGTGGCCCCCGGCTGCTCCCACTCGCCTTCTCACCTGCAGGCCGGGCGCTCCCACCTGAGCGTGTTCATCGAGGCTCTGCTGCCCGACGGCCGTGTGGACGCAGCTCGGAACCTCACCCTGGTCTGTCCCAAACCCGCCCACCGCCCGACAACGCCGGACCGGCTGGTCCCATCCACCAGCTCCTCACTCTCCACCCGGACGCCGCCGGACCGGCTGGTCCCATCCACCAGCTCCTCACTCTCCACCCGGACGCCACCGGACCGGCTGGTCCCATCCACCAGCTCCTCACTCTCCACCCCGCACACTCCCACACTCCGACCCACCGCAGAGCCCAGCGTCGACCCCCCGGCCCCGGCCTCCTCCCCGGCCCCGGCCTCCTCCCCGGCCCCGGCCTCCTCCCCGACCCCGGCCTCCTCCCCGACCCCGGCCTCCTCCTCGGCCTTTGGGCCAGGCCCTACCCACCCCACGTGGGCTGGCACCCAGGGGGGCACCATGGAGACCTGGGGAGCTGATGAGCAGGAGGACACCGGTGTGTAGGACCCCCTGTGCTTACCCGGGACCTATGGTGGGAGGGGGAAGGGTGAGGGCGGGGAGGGCTGGCCACCCTTTACTGGGCGCAGGAAGCCGCTCCCTCCACTTCCTGCTGGTGGCTGCCCCGGCTCCTCACGTCCTCGCTCTGCCCAGCCCTAGGCACCCTTCCGAGCCCGGAGCAGTGCCGGGGGGACTCGGGCCGCATCCCCTGCGTGGCGAGAGGAAGCTCAAAGGAAGCCTGTCAGCAGGCTGGCTGCTGCTATGACAACGCCAGGGAGGTTCCCTGTTACTATGGCAACACAGGTACCAGTCCCATGCCCAGCCGGGTCCCATCCTCCGAATCCTGAAGCCATAGGGGGGCCTTCTCCTCCCCGTTCCTCGGAGAGCTGGACCCGTGGAGACTGCAGAGCAGACTCCCCCCGACGGGGCCACGTGGTGCAGGAACCGCCCGCACTAACAGCTCCACTGTGCATGCTCCCTCCCTCCATTTGTTAAATTATCTTTTATTTTTAACTGATTTCAGAGAGGAAAGGGAAGGGAGAAGGAGAGAAGGAGAGGGAGATAGAAACATCCACGACGAGAGAGAATCACTGACCGGCTGCCTCCTGCACGCCCCACACTGGGGATGGAGCCCGCCATCCCGGGCCTGTGCCCTGACCGGGAATCGAACCGTGACCTCCTGGTTCAGAGGTCCACGCTCCGCCCCGAGCCGGCCGGCTGCTCCCCAGCTCCAGGTCTAGAGCCTCCCGGTGGGGGAGGAGTGAGATGGCGCTCTGGCTCAGACGGTGGGGTGACTGTCCACGCGTGAGACCTGATGTGGGGAGGCTGGCTTGGCGGGCACGGCCCCAGGAGCGAGGAACCCGGGCCCTGGCTCCTCGCCAGCACCGCCGGGCAGCGCCACCCTGTCCGAGGCCCTGACCAGCCTGACCCCTCTGTCCAGCGACAGTGCAGTGCTTCAGGGACGGCCACTTCGTCCTGGCGGTGTCCCGGGAGGCGGCCCTGGCGCACAGGGTCACGCTGGCCAGCATCCACCTGGCCTACGCCCCCCGCTGCAAACCCGCCCGGGAGACGGCGTCCTTCGTGGTCTTCCGCTTCCCATTCACCCACTGCGGCACCACCGTCCAGGCAGGCCGGGGGCGGGGCAGGGGCAGGGGGCGGGGCCCGGGCGGGCTGTGGGGCTCACCCGCTGTCTCCCCACAGGTGGTTGGCAACCAGCTCATCTATGAGAACCAGCTGGAGTCGGAGATCGATGTCCAAGTAGGACCACAGGGTGCCATCACCCGGGATGGCAGCTTCCGGTGAGCGAGCCTTCCATCGGGGGCTGGACGTGGGCTCGGGGTGAGGGAGCATGGGGGAATGTAGAACAGGATTGGGGGGGTGCTCTCGGGGTTCAGCCCCCCTCGAGGCCCTCGGAGCCCCACCTTTACCCCTCCCAGGACCCAGCGTAGGGACTGGGCACCCCAGCGGCTGTGGCCGCTCCTGGCTGAGTCTGTGCCGGAGGAGGCGGGGCCTGGGGCCGGGCTCTTGGGGTGATGGGGAGAGAAGCGGAGGGCGAGGGACCCTAGATCTAGCACGGACCAGTGACACGATGGGGCCGGGACTACACTGGGCGTCCCGTCACCTCCCTGCCCCTGCCCCAGCCCTCGGGGGGAGCGGCTACTGCCATCTTAACAAATTTGGAAACTGAGGCTTAGGGTAAGCCATTTGCTTGGTGTCCCATGGCCAGTGCATGCTAAGTACATGGCTAAGATTCCAACCCAGGTCTGCCCGCCAGGCTTGACTGGCAGGCAATGAGGGAGCTTCCAATGGCAGAATGAGGTGAGCGCCTCGGCCCTGAGCCCCAGGCCCCGGCTCCCATCCGGCTGACCCTGCACTGAGAGGGCAGCCAGGCGTGCAGGCCTGAGCTGTCCTCGGAGGGCGAGGAGGGCGAGGAGGGCAGAGGCAAAGTGGGGTGCACGTCACCCCAGCGTCCCCAGGTGCCCACCCGCCGGGGCCCTGTGTGTCACGTCCACGGCGTGGACCTGGGTGCTGACCCGGGCCTCCTCTCGCCCCCCTTCAGGCTGCAGGCTCGCTGCGTCTTCAATGGCAGCGACTTCCTGCCCCTCCAGGCGGCTGTCTTCCCGCTCGCGGCGCCCGCCTCCGTGGCCCAGCCTGGCCCCCTGCGGCTCCAGCTGCGGATCGCCAAGGGTACGGCGTCCCCGAGGGGCCCCCCTTTCTCCTCCACACCCCCCTCTCCCCCCAGACTCGCAGCCCGAGGCTCACGCGCCCTCTGCCCGCAGACGAGACTTTCGGCTCCTACTACGAGGAAGGGGACTACCCGCTGGTGCGGCTGCTCCTGGAGCCCGTGCCCGTGGAGGTCCGGCTGCTGCAGAGGGCGGACCCCCGCCTGGCGCTGGTGCTGCACCGCTGCTGGGCCGCCCCCGGCGCCAGCCCCTTCCAGCAGCCGCAGTGGCCCCTCCTGTCCGACGGGTGAGAGGCGGCGGCGGCCGGCTCCCCAGGCTCCCCCGGCTCCCCCACAGCCTCCCCCGCTCAGCAGAGCCTCCTGCCTCCCCTCCCAGGTGTCCGTTCGAGGGCGACAGCTATAGGACCCGCCTGGTGGCCCTGGACGGGGCTGCGCTGCCGTTCCGGGCACATTACCAGCGCTTCACCGTGGCCACCTTCGCCTTCCTGAACGCCAGCTCCGGCAGCGCCCTCAGGGGACCGGTGAGCAGCCTGAGCCCCCGTTCTGAGCACCCCGTGCCCCATGCCTGTCACCACCTCCCCCAGTGCCCGGCCCTCCGATGCCGACACAGGCCCCCAGACGGCTCGCCTCACCTGGTGTCCTGGAGGCCCGGCCTCAGGGCGCCGCGGTGAACGGTAAACAACTGGGGAAGGGGGGACGCCACCCACCGGGCCTGAGCCCCTCACGCCTGACGCTGCAGCGGGTCCGCCCTGCCCCGCGGGGCGTCTGCCTGCCCAGCAGCTTCTCCCGAAGGTGACCGGTGACCGCGGTGTCCTTGGGGGTCCCGCACGCCATGCAGACGGCACGGTGGCTGCACCCCGATGTGTAGCTTCTGTTCTCTGAGCAACACGTACCTTCCATATCACACACAGACCTCCATCTTATTTTTTAAAATGTCTTTATTGATCTTGGGCAGGGAGAGGGGGAGATAGAGTCATCAGTGATGAGAATCATCCACCCGTAGAGGCTGCAGTCTCTGTCCTGGGTCCGGGTCCCTGCTTGGGGCTTCTTCCAGGGCTCGAACCAGCCCCGCCTGGCCTTTCCCCTTTCCTCTCACAGGTCTACTTCTTCTGCAGCGCCTCCGCCTGCGCCCCGACGGGGCTGGAGCCCTGCTCCCCGCCCTGCGACTCCGGGACTGCCCGTGCGTCTGGGCGGGGGTGGGTGGGGGCTGGGGTGTCTGCATTCTTGCATCCGTCTGTCCTGGCTTCTGGGCTGCTAGGGCCCAGACACCAGCCCAGATGCGGCTCCTCCCCCGCAGGACGGCGCCGGGCGGCCAGGGGCCTCGGGGACCCCGTCGCGTCGCAGGACGTGGTCAGCTCTCCGGGGCCCGTGGGCTTTGTGGATTCCTCCAGGCAGGAGCCCGCGCCGGGGTCCGCAGGTACCGGCCTGTGGGCGCCCCTCGGCCTCGGCTGCCGGGGCTGTGGACGAGGCGGGACGCTCTGCAGCGAGGGCAGGATGTGTCCATCTTGTGGAGCCCAGGGAGGCCGCCAGGCCCGGAGGGAGGGCCACCCCCTGACGGCCTCCCCCTCTCTCCACAGGCGCCGCCGGGAACTCGGACCCGAGACTTCTCCTGGGGGTGGCCCTGCTGGTGGCGGCTACGGCCCTGGTCCTGGGGGTCGGGGTCTTCGTGGGCCTGAGCCGAGCCCCCGCCCCGGGCAGCAGGGGCTGAACGCTCAATAAACCGTGCTCTGGAGCTCCTGGTGCAGAGCTTTCTTCCCGTCCTGGGACCTGGTCCTCAGGTGGCGCCGCCCTCTGGCCGTCGCCCCTCAGCACGCCGGGCCGGTGGGGTTCCCCATGACTGGGCTCAGGAGGCTCAGCCTCTCGGGAGGAAAGGTGGCTTTCTGGGCGGGTGGTGGTGGGGGACACAGTGGGGAAGAGGAAGCTGAGGTTATGGCAGTCGGGGGCCACAGGAGCTGGGAGCGGGAGCCGCAGGGCCCACGGCCTGGGAGGGCCTGCCACCTCCGCACCGGCGCCTGCAAAGCGCACTGCTTGGCTGCCCGCGCAGATGGGGCATCCATCCCCTGGAGCCAAAGGAACTGAACCCGCGTTGAACAAGCTGCTCCGTCTGCTCCGAGCCCCCAGCCTCCCCCTCAAGGATGCGGGCGGCTTCTGGGCGCCAGCCTCCTCCCAGCCCCTCGGCTCCAGGACCAGTCACACAGGAACAGAGAAGGGGGCAGAGGGGTCGTGCTGGCCCCACTGGTGCGGAGGAGCCCGGCTGGCTGCCCTCAGAGGCCAGGCTTCTGGCTCCAGCCAGCGTCGCCGCTTCCTCTCCCTCTCTCGGCGCGCCCTGAGCCTCGAACGCATGGCAGGAAGGGGCTGCTATCAATGGCATCGGCCTGTGAACCAAGAGCGACTCTAGATCAGAATCACGTAACCAGCCCAGCCTGTTCACACAGGCCGTGTCATCTTATTCTGCACGTAGCTTCCTCCGTGGTGTGGTTAGCCGGTGTATCTGATGGAGACCGAACCTATTGTTGAGGAGAGCAAGTGCTGCACACAATCAGCATGTGACTCTCTGTACCCCGCTTTCCTGGAATTGCTTAGAAGTGCTGGGCCCAGGGCCGCGCCTTCTGATGCCCGGGCTCTGGGGGTTCGGGAGAGGGGGGGGCACAGCCTGGGGTCCCAAACCTTCGCCTGGAGATGCAAATGGCGTTGCTGATTGAAAGGGGCCTCTGACCAGTAGCCCAGCATCTCCTGGCCACATGAGGCGCCTCTTCCTGTCTTCTGCCTGCACCACTGAGCGCCTCTCCTCTATAGAGAGCGTCTCTCGTCACTCATTGAGGTGGACATCCTCATCGGACACGCCCCCGGGGCTGGCCACTGGGTTACCTCGGGGGAGGGGTCGTCTGCATGGAGGAGAGCTACGTAATGACTCTCTCCTCTCGCACTGTTATCCTGGAACACGGCAGAGCTCCCCTGCCCTGCACTCGTGCAAGTGCCCGCTTCTCTCACAACATTCCTGTGACAGTAGGCGTGTTTCCCTCCTGTCCAGTGTATTGATGTGCAAGATTTTTTTTTATTGATTTTTTTGTTTTCAGAGAGAAAGGGACAGATAGTTAGAAACATCGATGAGAAACATCTTATCAGTTGCATCCTACACACTCCCCACTGGGGATGTGCCTGCAACCAAGGTACATGCCCTTGATCAGAATCGAACCTGGGACCCTTGAGTCCACAGGCCGACACCCTATCCACTGAGCCAAACTGGTTAGGGCGAGGTGCAAGATTTTTAAGAACCATGTTTTTATTGGGGAGGGGAGAGGAGGGAGAGAAATATCAGTGATGAGAGAATCATGGATCGGCTGCCTCCTGCACGCCCCACACTGGGGATGGGTGTGTGCCCCGACCGGGAATCAAACCGTAACCTTCTGGTCCCTAGGTGGCCCCTGAGCCACGCCGGCCGGGCAGGTAACTGTGCATGGGTTTCTCGGTCCTTCCATCGAAGGGTTCTGTTTGCACCGTGAGCAGTGGAGGTTCCCGGCTTCGCCCAGAGGCAGGGCAAGCTCCGCGCTCCTGACATGGAGACCTCGCCCCGTCCTGCCACCTTCCATCTCCCCTCCCCCAGCCGCCTCCCAGTGCAGCAAGCACCTGAGCCTGAGAACCTGAGAACCTGAGTCAGACGGATGGGGCGATAACAAACCACTGCTGACCTGTGGCAGGAAGCAGAGCCAGGCGCCTGTCAGGCCTCTCTTCCTGCCCCTTTCGGGGTGGGGCATGGGCAGCGGCTGCAGGAGGCGAGACCACAGGCTCCCGCCTGCTCCCCAGGCCGCTGGCTGAGCAAAGGGATGCGGTGCCCCAGGACACAGGCGGGAGACGGCTCCGGCTCCAGCAAACGCAGCTCCCATCACGGGCTCCGCGCAGGCATGTCTGGGGGCACGTGTCACACACAGGTGCCACGGCTGGGCCCGCAGCGGGACAGGCAGACACGGTCAGCCTGTGTGAGGAAGGGGGCAGGCTGCGGTACCTTTAAAACACGCGTTGCCATCATCGCTGAGACATGGGAAAGGAAAAGGCTTACACTGAGGACCGGAATGAGAGCACAGACTGGGAGTACAAGCAGCTTTGGCTGCAGCCTATTTGGTTCAGCGGACTCCAGGGTCCGGGTGCGATTCTGGCGGAGGGCACATGCCCAGGTTGCAGGCTCAGCCTGGCGGTGTCCCGGATGCGGGATGGACAGAAGCGGGGGAGATGGTGCCTGCTCACGGTCCGGATCAGCCTGAAGCAGGCGCCTCGATGTGGTTTCAGATGGTGACAGCTGGCGGAGTCTGCGGGGCGGGGACCCCGGCTGGGCTGCCTCCCAGAGCCCCCAGCTGGCCACGCGTCCTGGAAACCCAGCGGCTCCTCAGCTTCCGTCCCGTCCCAGAGAACAGGGGTGGTTCGTGGGGTCTCCAGTCAGACGCTTAAAATCTCAGCCTCACTCCTCTGATGCCTCCTGTGGCAGATCGGGCCCTGGCAGGGCTGAGCTCAGCCTGGGGCGGAGTGGGGCGACGGGCAGGCTGTGTAACTAGTGCCCCCAGGTGGCAGCCCTGGGCAGTGCACCAAGGCGACAGCAATGTGGCCAGGCCCTCCTTTCAACAGTGGGGACTCACGCAGGGCTGGGGGCTGGGGGCTGATGCTGGGGCGCTCAGATTCACGTGGGATGCAATGAGCACCGATCACACCCCCAATTCCCCGTCACGTGCTGGGACCAAGGCTGCTCCTGGGCCCGGAATACAGTCTCATGGCCGACCACCGGGCCCAGAGCAGGTTCTGAGGCAGCGGAGTTCCAGCCCGGAGCCCTGACAGGCACGGCTCCAGGCGCCCGGGCTGAGGCCCACCACCTGCCGCCTCCTTGCTCCAGGCACGGAGAAGGGCTGCAGCGCCGATGTTTGAGGACCTGACTGGAAGGGCAGGGCTGCTGACCTGGCAGGTCCAGGCTTTCCCAGCTGGTAAGCGTGCCGCCTGCAGGGGCCAGGCACCCTTGCTGTGTGACCGGCAGCACTGGCCGGTGACAGACACGGGCTGCTGCATCACATGACCGCTGTGGCCGGCAGCCCTCTGAGCTCCCTTCCCGCACCACCCCTCACCCACAGCACCCACTCCCCTTTTCTCATTCTCTCCCCTTTCCACTCCAGGGGTTTCTCCCATGCTGCCCTGGGCCTGCTGGTTAAGTACTAACGACCACCCTGCCAGGCCCCCTTCCTGCCCCTCCACACCCCACTCCCAGGCGTCCCCTGCCCAGCACTCTGGCTTCAGCATGACCATCGGCACCTCGGCAAGGCCCTTCCCGTACTCCAGCTCAGGCAGCCCCAGGCCTGCATGCTCGTCTCCTGGTGTTTTTCTTTTTTAAAATATATCTTATTGATTTTGTACAGAGAGGAAGGGAGATAGTTAGAAACATCGATGAGAGAGAGTCATCGATCAGCTGCCTCTTGCACACCCCCCACTGGGGATATGCCTGCAATCAAGGTACATGCCCCCGACCGGAATCGAACCTGGGACCCCTAAGTCCCCAAGCTGACACTCTATCCATTGAGCCAAACCAATTTCGGCTCATCTCCTGGTCTTTACTGTTTACTGCAATCTCCCCTGGAACTGGCCCTACTTGGGATTTTAACTGCCAGTTACAAGACTTTCTGCCTAAGCCAGCGGGGACAGGTCTCCATCACAAGGGAAGGCCCTTACTCACTGCTCAGATCCTCGCCAGCAAAAGGCCACCTTCTTAAAAAACCTATTCTTATTGATCTGAGAGAGGAAGGGGGGTGGGAGAGAGAAACATCAACGATGCCTCCTGCACAATCTGGGCATGTGCTCTGACTGGGAATCGCACTGTGACCTTCTGGTTCATAGGTTGATGCTCAACCAATGGACCACACCAGCTGGGCAGGAAAAGGCCACTTGCCCACACTGCTCCCTGCCAGGCTGGGGCAGGTGGAGCATGAGCGACATGAGACCAAGGAGACAAGGCCAGGCCTGCGGGGACCTGGACACATCCTGGCAGATGGCCCGTAGGTTTGTGTTTCCTTTGATTTCTTTAAAGGATGGGTGTGTGTAAGAGTGATGAAAGCAAAGAGGAGCCAGCTTCCTGAGGGGCCCCACCCCCAGTTCCCACCCACTCCCACTCCACGTGCTCGGCACACACCACTCCAGGTACCTGCCCCCCCCCCCCACGCATACACACACACACACACACACACACACACACACACGCACACACCAGGAGATGGCGGCTTTATTGTTTCCTTTTTTAATGAAATCAGGTCGCTGCTTACAAAATCCTGCGCCAGCCCTTGTACCTATCCCTTCCGCTGCCCGGGCTCAGCCTGTGCATCCGACTGAAGCCTGGGCGCTCCGAGGTGACAGCGCCCTCCCGTCTGCTCCGGGCCTGGGAGCTGCGCTGAGGCTAGTGCAGGCCGCCAGGGTTCTCAGCCACCGCCCAGACCAGTGAATGATGAGAATGTCCCCCCCGGGTCCCCCGCCCCCCAGTAGTCTCTCCCCGGCCTCCCCCCTCCCCCCTAGCTCTACCCCGTCAGGAGGGACAGGGCCTACACGCTGTAGAACTTGAGGCTCCTGTCCATGCCGGTGGAAGCGATGAACTTGGCGTGCTGCCCGAAGGCCACCCCGGTGGTCAGGCCACTGTGCTCTGAAAGAGACGAGGTACCGTGAGGCTCTCCCCAGGCCCGAGCGCTGACCCGGCGACCCCGTGACTGCTCGTCTGGTCCCCCCGACTTTACATTCTGAGGGCAGGGCAGGGCCGGGCTCTCACGGGACCTGCATTTCCGACTACCAGCCCCCACCCCGGCCGAGCTTTGGTCCCGCTCCCATCTCGATCCCGGACGCCGAGAAGCTCCTAACCCACCGAGACCCCCACTTGGCCCGGCCAGCCCAGCCCCGGCCCCGAGGCCTCGGGCCCCACCCACCTGTGAAGTGCAGGATCTCCGTCCACTGCTTGCAGATGTAGATCTGGACGTCGGTGCCCCCCAGCGCCAGGTAGGTGCCGCTCTGGTCAAAGATCAGGGACTTCACCTGCAGAGCCAGACAGAGTCACACGAGGGAGGATCGGCCATCGGGCGGGCGAAGCTGTTCAGTGTTTCGGTGAATAACTGACAGAGGAGGAGGAGAGTGAGATTGGGGGGGGGGGTGCGCACCTCGAAGTTGTTATCCAGCTGCAGCGTCTTGAAGTTCTTGAGCTTGCGCAGGTCCCAGAGCTTGACGGAGGAGTCGTCGGCCGCCGTGGCCAAGTAGTAACCGTTCTCGGAGAAGGCGATGCTGGTGATGGGGCCCGAGTGGCCAGGGAAGTTGGCCACGTTGGTGCGCTCCTGCAGGTGGGCGGGGGGGGGGTGGGGGTGGGGCCACCAGGGTCAGGAGGAGGAACAGAGCTCGCGAACCCTCCCTCTGGGAGGTCCTGTCTCAGGGAAGGACTGGAGCGGGAAGAACAGGGGTGGGGCCCAGCCAAGGGACCCCGACCCTGACCACCTGCTCTGTCACAGACAGCCCTCTGCACCCTGGGCCCCGGGCACCCAGCACCCGAGCAGCACGGCTCCGGCCCCGGCTCTCACCTTCAGGTCCCAGATCTTGATCTGCGAGTCCATGGTTCCCGTCCCAAAGATGAGCCCGTCGGGATGGAACTGCGCACAGGTGAGAGCTGGGGGAGGGAGGGGGAGGTCAGAGCCCCGGGAGACAAGCACAGCAGGAGGCGCCCCCCTGCCCGGCACTCAGCACCTTGATAACAAGTGAGCAAATGAATCAGCGAATATAAAGATGCACAGCGAATGCAGGCAGACCACTCACCGCAGCCGGAGGTCTCGTCCGTCACCTTGGTGAGCACGCGCCCGGTCTGGATGTCAGAGAAGGCCCAGTACTGCCACGGACACAGGCAGTCAGAAAGGGGCGTCCCTCAGGGAGCGGGGACCACCCTGGTGAAGCCAGCCTCCCCCTCCCCCAGCTGCCCCCCCCTCCGCGCTGCTCGGGGCCCTCGGGCGGCGGCCGCACCTGGTCGTCCGAGGAGCTCAGAAGATAGTCGCCGGTGGCGTGGAGGCTAAGGCCCGTCACGGAGCTCTCGTGGGCACGCACCACCTGCACGCAGGAGGAGCTCGGGACCGACCAGATCCTGATGGTGGCGTCAGGGGAGGCAGAGAACACCAGCTCCTAGGAGAGGGGGGCATTCAGGGAGAGGTGCATCCTCTAACGGCTCCCAGGCTGTGGATGCCCCCCACCCCCTCCTGGCTTCTCCCTGGGCCCTGCCCGCCTGGAACCTCCCGCCCACCCAGGATGCCTACAGGGCCGGGGGAACACTCAGAGGCTAAATCAGCCAGCATTTGGCCGTGGAGGCCCCGCCACCTAGTGGTGATTGGAGAACTGCGCAGAGGCAGCACCCAGGACCCAGAAGCTGGTTGGGTGCCGGGGACGCATGGCTGGCATGGCTGCTCTCATAGCCGGGCCAGTGCCTCCAGGGGGATGGCAGGTGAGCCTCAGCACTGGCCCTGAAGGGCTGTGAGGGCATGCCCCTGCATCTCAGGCTCCTAGGAAAATCTGGGGCCGGGAGAGAGCTTCCGTAACGCCACCAACCAACCACTGTGGTTAGAACATTAAAAACCAACCCCCACCTTTGTCAATGTGATTGCATAGAAAAATGTTAACCCCAGTAAGAAAGGAGGGCTTTCATTCTCCACCCCCCACCTCCGCCCCAGCCTCCAGCCCCAGACCTGAGCTGCCACACCCCCAATGCCAGGACTCTGCCTGGAGCGGCTCTCCTGGCCCCACGGCCCGTCTCTCCACCCCACCCGCCTGGACAGGCCACCATGTTCCCCTGAGGACGGGTCCTGACTGCTGGGACCCTCGATCCAGGTTCTGCTGGGCTTTGCTTCCTGCGTCTGTGCTGTAAACACAGGAGGCCTGGCCCTCCTCCTAGTGACATGGTGCCAACGAAGGCGCCTAGTGGGCCCCACAGAGGAGAGCAGAGCCCTGACTGTCCCCTCGGAGACCTGAGCGTGACCTCAGGAGGCAGCAGGCAGGATTCTGGGCCCCGAGCGCGGACATGGGGCTCGGAGATGGGGGGCTGGGATGAGGGGGGGAGCGTACCTGGGAGGGGTGGAACACCACACTGGTGACCTTCTTGGTATGGCCCTTGAGGGTGGCCAGGATCTGCTCGGAACTCTTGTCGAAGACGACGACGTTCTTATCCGCCCCGCCTGGAAGGACGCGCGTGAGACCCGGGAGCCGCGGCCCACCCACCGGACAGACAGCACCGCAGCCCCCGCCCCTGCACCCCCTCCCGCGCCCGGGCTGGGCCAGCACTCACCGGTGAGGACCTTGTTGGTGTCGGCAGGACAGAGGTCCAGGGCGAGGATCCCAGGGATGCTGGCGCTGTGCAGGCCCTGTCACAGGATCTCGTCAGGCCCAGCTCGGCGGCCAGAGCCCCTCACTCCCCCGCTCCCCACTCTCTCCTGTAATCCCCCCACATGCCCAGCCAACAGCGGCTGGTGCTCCGCCCTCTGCACTGGCCTCTGCCTGGACTCCCACCTCCCTCACCACATCACTGGAAGCCAGAGGGGCAGGAAGCGCTAGAGACGGGCCAGAGGTGGCCTGTCCCACCCAGGAACAGCCCTGAGACCCAGGCCCGGCCACTCACCACGTGGGAAGCCACCTGCCGGTACTTGCTGAGCTCCTCCGGCTTCACCAGCTCCTCAGGCACCGTCTTCCCTCTCTGAGGAAGGAAAGGGCCGAGAAGGGCTGTGAGCCCAGGACCCAGCCGCCCCGGCCACCCGGCCCCCGCCACCCGCCCGGCCCGGGGCGAGCTCGCACCTTCTTACGCTCCGTGGTCAGCACGGTGGCCTTGTCTTGCAGCTGGGGGCGAGAGGGAACAGACTCCGTGTGAGACGACGGGGTGCTGAGCGCGGGCACGGCCCTGTCTCACAGGCGTCAGCGGAAAGCGTATCTGCCCGGGTCTGTGCCCAGGACCGGGTGCTGAGGACTTGGCTTCAGAGGAAACGGCCTCGGAGAAGTGCAGTCACTTGCCCGAGGCCGCAGAGGACATGCAGAGCGAGGGGACCAGGTGCGAGCTGCCGCCCTGGCCTGCTTGTTAGACACAACCCAACACGTCGGGGGAGGCCCAGGCTCAGCCCGCCCGGACCTGCCAGCTCTGCGTCTGTGTGAGCTGTGTCCTCGGTCCTGTCCCCATCTAGCCCCTCCCTGCCCTCTCCCTCTCCACAGGTGAAGGCTGTAACCAAGTGTTTAATCTCTGCCAAGCCCCTGGCGAGAGGCGGGAGGTCCAGTCTGTGGAGGCGCTGTTGTCTTTAGGAGGAGGGACACGACCGGAGCGTGGATGAGCTGTCCACGGTCATAAAGCTCGGAAGGGAACACACAGCCGGGCGCCTGCGAGTCTGTGCTCTACCTCACGGCCGGGTCCCACGCCTGTTGGCCTCCAGGGAGAACCCAGGCCCCCCCCCCCCGAGAGCACTTACCTTCTGGATAATCTCGGGGGTCATTCCCACCAGCTCGCCCAGCTCCATCGGCTCACCTGCCCCCTGTGGGAAGACGTGAAGATGAGGGAGGCAGGCGCATGTGGGGGGCAGGGGGCCTCCACACCAAAGGGCTGGGCAGGGGGGCAGGGGGCAGGGCGGCGACACTCACCACAACGCTGGGCTGGGAGCTGGGCACGGCCTGTGGCACAATGAGGCCGGCCTGCGGTTTCAGCGTCGCCAGAGCTGAGGGGGAGAGAGAGAGAGAGAGAGAGAGAGAGAGGGAGATGCATTAGAAACGGGCATGATGGAGCGAGACCAGTTGGGGTGGGGGTGGGGCGGGGGGCGAGGCTGTACCTTCTCGGGCAGCGGTGACCTCCTTGGTGAGGCGGGCGATGACCCGGCAGGCGGCGTCGTGCTGGTACAGCGCGTGGGACAGCTCCTGGCGGGTGGTCTGCAGCTGCTGGCGCAGAGTGAAGCTGTGCAGCATGACCGCGTCCTGGGGGGGCCACAGCGTGAGCCGGGCGCCTCGGCCCGTGTTGGCGGCCCAGGAGCTATGTGTGTGGCCCCCCCAGGGCCTGGGCTGCCGGACCTGGACCCACAGGAGCGGGAGCCACTTTCTCCCTCCCAGTCCCCCCCCCCATCACCTCCCCGAGAGGGACCAGGATTGGCACATACCGACCCCCAGCGCCAGGCGCACCGAGCCTTCGCTCGCATCTGAGAGCACCCAGCTCAGGCCGCTGGCTCCTGGTGCTGGTGGTGCACCGACAGGTGAAACCAGCCCCGAAGCCATGGATTCGGACTCTAGTTCTCCCCGCCGCCCGGAGCGGAAGGCGAGGAAAATTGGCTTGAAGGCAAGCGGCTCACATGGAGTGAAGGTGGAGCCCAGACTGCGGGACTCCAGCACCTGCCCGCCACCCCTAGGCCATCCTGCCCTCCAATGAGACTCGCCCCGGTCTAGGCCAGTGAGGCCTTCCAGGGGAGCACCCTTCTCCCCAGGGACTCACCCATTCATCCTGCAGGGCTTTCAGAATGGCTGGGATGCTGGTGGCCGAGGGAGGCTTGGGCCGGATTGGGTGAGCCACTGCCAAGAGTGGGGAATCGGCATTAAGAACCGCCCCGGGACCCCCCCTTCCCTCCCCCTTCTGCTCGGCTCCTCCCGCTCGCTCCACCCTTGCGCTCTGAGCAGGGACAGCCCAGCCAGTGGCCTCCGCACCTTTGATGTCCACCAGCTGCTCCTCGGACAGCGGCTGGTTGTTGATGGGGTCAGTGCCGTTCTCGGCGATGTACTTCTCAATGAGGCGCCGCTCGTAGATGTGGTTGGAGACGGGGGACACGCACGGGTGCTCCGGCACCTCATTGGAGACTGCGGAGAGAGCGGCAGGGGCCTTGGTGAGGGGGGACCTCTGGGCAAGGGGATGCCCCCTATGTTGCTGGCCCCAACACGACCACATCCCCCTAACAAACAGGAGTAAAAACATGACACCACGCCAGCGTCCTGGCCCCTGAATGCTTCCCTGCAACATAACCAGCTTCTCCACCTCCTCCTGACGGTCAGAAGCCCACACACACACACACACACACACACACACACACACACAAACACACACGGCCTGGGCAGGCACCTGAGAGCACCCCCCTGCCGCAGCCCCCCCCCCCCCCCCCCCGAACAGACAGATGCCAGGACTCCGAGGCACGCCAGGACACGCAGGCGCACACAAGACCACTGGAGCCTCAGTCCAGAGCAGCGCCTGTCACCCTCACCTCCCGGCACTGACTCATTGCTGCCACCCGGCGGCACACCGATGTACCTTCCGCTGGTCTGACACAAAAAGGTACCCATCACCGATTCCCTCACCGAGGCCAGCATCGCGCTGGCGCGCGGCCATTTTTCTATTTGACAACCTAAGGGGAAGGGCCAGTGCCCCTGGCCGAATAGCCAGGTATTGCTTGTTTTTAAAATTCCTGCAAGACAAAGCTCCAAATTGCCCGCCCAGAGCCTGGATGGAGTAGCAGACAAAGAAACGCCACAGCAATGTGACAGGTGCTGCAATGATATAAAACGGCCACATTTGCTTCCTAGTTGCCAAGCTAGACCATCCATTAATTCATCCGCACGACCAGCCTCGACAGGGGCGTCATTCCCGAGCTGCTGCAGCCTGCGCATCCCTTGGGGACAAGCCCGCAGCTGGACCCGCAGCCCAGCGGGCGCTCGGTAAACACGCCGCAGAGGAGGGGAGGGGTGGGGGAGGGAAGGGGCGGGAGGATGCTGGGGATGCGGGAACGCGCTTCCTCCAGACGGAAAGGGAACAATAAAGGTGAAATTGCCTGCAAAGGGCGACTTCTTCAAGGCAAAGGCTGCCTTTTGCAAATCACCATTGCCCTTTATCTTTGCGGGGGGGGGGGGGTGTAATGGGAAGATTCTAAGAGCCAAGAGCTTGAGAGTCAGGCAGCAAATAGAGAAAGGGATCAGAAAGCCGTAACCTGTTGACATAAGCGATGCACGATAAATACCAAGGGGGAAGGCGGCGCATGCATGAGGAAAGCACGGGTTCGGGGTCGGACAGCCTCGCTGCAGCATCCAGCTCTGCCGCCGCCGGGCTGCGCAGCACCAGAAAAGCCATCATCTCCCCGGACCTGCTCTCTCATCGGAAAAACCAACAACGGGTCTTTATTCCCGCTCCGGAGGGTTCTTGCGAGGGTGCAACCAGACCCCCGAGCGCCAATGAAGGCGACGTCAACGCCCGCGGCCTTTGCACCGGGTGAGGCGGGGAGCTACCCACCCGGCCTCCAGCCCCGCCGCCGCCGCCGCCGCCGCCCTGCGTGACCCGCGCGCACTGCAGCTCTGCCCACCCGAGCGCGACCCCAGCGACAACCAGCGCAATACTTGCCTTCCGCAGGGGAAACGGAGGCCCGGGGCCGCGCACCAGCTCCCCAGGCGGACCGTGCACACGCCCTCGGGACCCTGCAGCCTACGCCGCGCCGGCTCCTGCACCAGCCCCCTCCCTCCGCTCAGACCCCGACGATGCGTGCGACAACCAACGCGCGGCGTTACGTAAACGGCGAGGCGCTGCGCAAATGCATCCCACGCAGAGGGGGAGGACCCCCGCGCTGACAGGCGGCCCCCCTGCCTCCCCCGCGCCCCGCTGTCACCCCCGCCCAGCCCCCGCGCCGCAGCGGCCGCGGACCCTCCCGCTCGGCTCTCCCGCCTCCTCCTGCGACCCGCGATCGGCCGCAGCGTGTACTCACTAGAGCAGATCAAGGACATGGCGCCGCCGCTGTGCTCCCAGGCGCCACACGCCGGGGTCCGGGCTTAGCTTCGGAGCGGCCGCGGGACAGTTCCTGCTCCCCGCTGCTTTCGGGACGCTCCGCGGCGAGCGGAGAGCCACCTGCCCGGGCGGCGATTGCGCAGCCCTTCACGTGCGACTGCGGCGGATCGCGCGCCTCTGCCTGTACTTAACGGAAACTGCCCTTTCCCAGGATGCAACGGGGCAGGAAAGGGCGCGCCAGGGAATAGTCGGCTATTTCCGGGAGCAACTCGGCTCCTTCCGTAAAATGCTCCCTGCGGCAGGGAGAGGAGAGATCCGGGACTACATTTCCCATGATGCAGCGGGAATTTTAAAACCAACGCATTTTCCCAACCTATTTAAAAAAACAAAAACAAACAAACAAACAAAAAAAACAAGTTAATCCGACGGTTGTGGGTTATTGTTAAACTGTTAAGATTATTAAAAATCCAAACCATATTATTATTGATTTCATAGAGGAAGGGAGAGGAAGAGAGGGATAAAAACGTCAATGACGAGAAGGAATCATTGATTGGCTGCTTCCAGCACGCCCCTCACTCCCCACCCCGCCACTGGGCTGGGAACGGGACCCGCAGTCCAGGCTTGTGCCCTTGATCTGAATCAAACTCAGTATCCTTGAGTCCGCAGCTCCACGCTCAATCCACTGAACCAAACAGGCCAGGGCTTTTTGCACCGTTTTTGAGACCCGTGCGTGCTGGGCTGTGGGGCCACCATCTTGCAAACTCTTAAGTGTACATGAGAATTTCCTAACCAGCTTGGTAAAATGCATATTCCTGAGGTGTGCCTTAGAGTCACCATTTTCAGTGTGTGCCCCATGGGATCCTGAGGTTTGAGAGACACGTCTAGATGACCCGCTGAAGAAAGCAGCCACCAGCCGAGAGAGAACCCTCGTGGGTCCTGCCTCGACTCCCAATTTGCTTTGCGATCTTGGCAAGTCATCAGCTTCTCCGCCCCTTCCCTACTGATTTCTGTTTCCCTTCCAACTCAGATCGTGTAGGACCTTGGTGGATACCTATAAAATGTGAGACTCCCAGAAATCATGTACAGAACATGTGGTGTGAGCTGTGAGGGTCCAGACCAAGCAGCAGGACAGACAAGGGTGTCTCCTTCCCCCAAGAGGTGTGACTGATGCTGACAGGTGGGCAAGATGCAGAGGGAAGAGAAGCAGCACAGAGGGCACCCCAAAGGAGGGGCAGCACAAACAAGGGCAGGGAGAAGAACAGATGCTGCAGGAATGAAGGGTCAGTATGACATGGTGCCCTGGAGCGAGGACTTTGACGTTGGGTTGTGTGTGCTCGATCCCAGCTCCACCAGCTGGTAAACCGAGTCACTGTCTCTGCCTTAATCCCCTCGTCTGTGAAATAGGGCGGTGACAACAAGGGTTGACCTAACGCAGAGGGTTGTGGTGAGGACCTAATATTCAAATAGCGCTTTGAATAAACGACACAATTGTTAGAAAGGCTTCTGGAAGGCGAGGCCCAGGATGCCACAGAGCCTGTTGGGAAGAGAGACCCTTGGCTGAGGGTCCAGAGCACGATGGATGCTCCGGCCAACAGCCGAGGGAAAGAAACATCTGGACGAGGTGACAGGCTGGTTAACTCAGTGGTCAGGGCAGAAGACGGAATCAGAAGGCTGAGTCCGGTAGGGGAAGGGAGCGCTGAGCTTGGGGAAATGCTTTAAGGTCAGAGGCGAGCTCTCCCAGGGCCGCCAATGAGATCTACACATTAAAATGGCAACTGGGATATTTTTAAAAATGAGATCAACATTGTGTGACTTTACTGTTTTTGGTTTGTTTTAATCCTCACCCGAGGGTATTTTCCCATTGATTTTCAGAGAGTGGAAGAGGGAGGGAAAGACGGAGAAACACACTGATTGGTTGCTTCCTGCACGTGTCACCACCGAGGTACAGGCCCCAAGTATGTGCCCTTGACAGACTGGAACCCGGGGCGCAGGCCAATGCTCTATCCACCGAGGCAAACTGGCTAAGGCAGTGGTCGGCAAACTCAGTCAACAGAGCCAAGTATCAACAGTCCAATGATTGAAATTTCTTTTGAGAGCCACATTTAAAAAAAAATATACTGTATATTTTATTGATTTTTTACAGAGAGGAAGAGAGAGGGATAGAGAGTTAGAAACATCGATGAGAGAGAATCATCAATCAACTGCCTCTTGCACACCCCCTACTGGGGATGTGCCCGCAACCAAGGTACATGCCCTTGACCGGAATCGAACCCGGGACCTTTTAGTCCGCAGGCTGACGCTCTATCTATCCTATCCACTGAGCCAAACCGGTCTGAGAGCCACATTTTTTAAACTTACATATATAGGTAGGTCCATTGTTATTAACTTAATTCGGGTACTCCTAAGCTGGCCTTTGCTAAAAACTCAAGGGGCCAAAGAGCCGCATGTGGCTCGAGAGTCACAGTTTGCCGACCACTGGGCTAAGGCAACTGGGATGCTCAGTGTTTAGTTCCCTCATTGAATTCCCACACCTACTGCGCGGTCCTTTTACAGTCAAGTGGAAACAACTGAGACTCATAGAGATGAAACTGGCAAGGGGTCACCTCCTTCCAAATCCGCCCTCCCATCTTCCCCCCATGTTGCCTGTGTTTAGCAGAGCTGGGGGGCCTGAGAGTTGGCGCCCCTCCTTCTCTGCAACGGAACGGCTGGGCGCCCCCTGCAGCCTGGGCGTGGGACTGCTCCTGGAGGGAACGGGCGCATTGCCCGGCGCCGGGCGGCTGTAACTGCTCCAACCCTCTTCCCTCTGCGCCTTCTTAGCGAGAAAAGGTCCTCAAAACACCAAGGGCTCCGGAGCGCCCCTTCCTCAGAACGCGGCCCAGCAGGCACCGCGGCTCAGGCACCACATCGCCCCAAATGCCGGGGCGCTGGCGGGCGGGGGGTGGTCGGACCCCGAGCTCAGAGATGCAGTTACCCACCCTGCAGCCCAGATGGGGTCACGCCTTTCCCCTTTCCCGCCACACTTCCGCTCCCAGCTCCAGCCGCCCACCCCGCAGCGCCCCGGTGGGAAAAGCTCGGGGAAAACAACGCCGGGCGGGGGCGCATGCGCACAGCGGGGCGGGCGGGAGCGGCGGGGCCCGGGAGCGTCGGCCTCGCGCGTGCGCAGACGATAAACCAACGCCCGGGGATCGAGGCGCGGGTTCGGTGGCGCGTTTAGCCAAGTCGCACGTGAAGGGCAGCCTTGGCCGGAGGCGGGTGAGTGTGAGCTGAAACCGGGGCTCGAGGGCCGGTCGGCCGGCAGGGCCAGGGAGGCGGCGGCCACGCAGGCGGGGCCGGGGCGGAGCCGCGAGGCTGGGAGAGCTAGACTGGGGAGGGGTCCGACTGGGGACCCGGATCCTTGTTGCTATGCAACAGGGGCGTCGTTACTAGGCAACGGGAGACACGCGTTTCCTGGGAGCCAAGGGTTCCGAAGCTGCTAGGAGATCGGCCGAGGCGAGGCGCGGTCAAGCTGGGGGACAAGGCCAGTGCCGAGCGCCTCGCCGCAGACCCCCGCCCCCTGCCCCCCTGGCCCAGCCTCGGGCGGCCTCGCTCCGAGCCCTTTGGGGTACCCTGAACCCATGGGCCGTGCCGGGTCCCTTGCCAGAGACGCCACCCAGCAAGGGCTTGGCAGGGGACACGCTGTTGGAAATAGCACATGCCGCTGACACCCTGTCTCGGGTAGGCTGGGCCCTGGGGTGAGCTCCGTTGGGCTGGGAAGCTGCCCCTTTGCCTATCGCCCTGCCCCCCAACAGGGGCTGGGAAGCAGCTGTCGGGGTTGGCGGGGGCTGCCCCCACCTGCCGGGACGCTGACTTCATTCCCTTCCGACTAGGAGCCTCCTTCCCACACCGGCTGTCCTTGGGCAGCCGCTGCCTGTTTGGATCAACTTTAAAATAAGCATCCCCCACCCCCCACCTGTCTGCATGGCTCCCGCGGCTGCCCTCACGGCACCCTCCCAGCTTCTGGCCGGGCTTCTAACAGTCCCAACAAGCTCGGATGAGCCATGCTGTGCCGGGCGCTGGGGAGTCCAGGAAAAGTTAGTTGTGGGGTCTGGACCAGGGGGTGCTCAGAGCCTAAAGGGGAGGCAGTACAGTGGTCAGTATAAGGCCACCCACAGGGTTTGGGCACTGCACATCCCTTTGTGTTCTTTTTCCTATTTCTTGTCTTTTTGTGCTGCGCCTGCCGTGTCTCTCGGTGCGTGCAGTGCGCCGGGTTCTAGCAGAGCCAGGCCAGCTTACCCTCGTTGTCCATTGGAGGAGACTGGACCTCAATAAAGTCACAGGCAGGAGCTAGCGGCTTCCAGTTTGTGGTAGAATTGAGCCTGGGATCAAAATGGAGGTACACGTTCAGGGCTTTGCCTCACCTGCCGACCCAGCCGTGGTTCTGCATCAGAAGTTCTGAGGAGCTCTGAAAATACACGTTGGATCCCTCTCGGGGAGAGCCAGAGAGAGTCGGCCCCGGGGGACAGACCCCCTTGCTGTGACAGGGTCCACCGGCCACGCTGACGGGCGAACAGAGCTGAGAATCAGTGCTGCCCCCAGGATGAGGAAGAGGCACCAAGTCGGCCGCCCTCCTGCCCGTGGTGATTCATAGCGGGAAAGCCAGCCAGCAGAGGAAGCCTGCCGCTCAGCAAGCCACACCTCACACTGAGCTTCCCGCTGCCACGGCTAGAGGAAGCCGTTCCCCTCAGGGGGCTCCCCCGGCCCTGCCCTAGCCAGAGTGCCCCCCCCCCGGCCCTGCCCGAGCCAGAGTGCCCCCTCCTGGCCCTGCCCGAGCCAGAGTGCCTCGGCCTGAGCGGCAGGGGCAGATCTGGTCCCCGGTTTCTGCTGTCCTCATCCCTTGCTTGTATACACACCAGGACCTGTGAGCCCAGCAGGCGGGACCCTGTGGGTGGCTTGTCCTGGGGTCTGGGTGTCCACTCACTTGGGACTTGTTGATATTGGGGAGAACGTTCAGTGCCTCGAGGTCAGGGACCAGGTCTCACGGGTGCCGAGAGAGGGTGTGGAATGAGCGAAAGGGCAAGATATAGGTTTTGGATTCTGGATCAAGTCCCAGTTCTGCTTTGTGGACGTGAGCAAGTGGCCAGATCGCAATACCTCGTAACACAGCTTTAAGCGCTGAGTGAAGAGGTGGAACAGCAAGCACCGTGTGAACCATAAAGCGACACACACAGTAGAGCCACACACACAGCTGTGACAGTGGCTGCCAGAGGCCGCCGCTGCAGGGGGTGAATCCGCTGCGGGAGGTGAAGCCGCGTAGACATGCTTCCCCTCGGCGCCGAGGCTGCTCCTGCCGTGACCTCCGCGGCTCCTTAGTGAGAAAGTGTGCGGCAGAGCGGCGAGGAGTCAGGCTCTTGCTGGCTGGGACTCACTCGGAAGAACAGAGATTCCTGTTCAAGAAAACAGGAGGCCCTGACCAATTTGGTTCAGTGGATAGAGCGTTGGTCTGTGGACTGAAGGATCCCGGGTTCGATTCTGGTCAAGGGCATGTACCTTGGTTGCGGGCACATCCCCAGAAAGGGGTATGCAGGAGGCAGCTGGTCGATGTTTCTCTCTCATCGATGTTTCTGACTCTCTATCCTTCCTCCTTCTTCTCTGTAAAAAAAGAATAAAATATATATTAAAAGAAAACAGGGGAGATGCAGCCGCCAGCCACCTGCACTGTTCTCTGCTCAGGACACCTCCAGAATGCCGTTCAGGCTCCCAGCGCCCCCGGAGGCCAGCCGCAGGGCCACGGCCTCGCTGCGGAGGGCAGATATAAGGGTCCCCGGCTCCCCTCAGCTGGGGCAGGTGGCCGCCTCACAGTGGAGGCCAGTGCAGACCTCAGCAGGCTGCGTGGGGGGAGCAGCTCATGTCATGCTGACTTAGGATGGAGGAGGTGACATGTGACTCCTGCTGGGGGAGTTCCTTGGACATAGGATCGCACCGAGAGAGCAGGCCTGCCTGCCCTGTCAGTCCCGGGCGCCTGTGACCCAGATGGCCCAGGAGCTCCGGCTTCCCTCGCCTCGGACTGGGGCTGGCAGGAGCCATCTGCTGCTTGATTTATGCCAAGAAGAGTGGAAGGCGGTCCAGCCCGGGTGGTCCCTCGGGAATTGCCTGCTGCTCGGCCCTGCTTGGTCCCACAGGCCTCAGGGGAGACTCCAGCAGCTGTTTCAGGGCCAGGAAGTGCCCGAATTCGATATTTTAAAAGATAACCCTTTCTTAAACCCTTCTCTTTCCCACAAAACAAGACAGGGAACACCCTCTCTCCCCTCTCCTCCATCCTGAGGGCTCTAGTTTCTGGCCAGCTCTCTGCCTGCCCTGGTAGGGGGAAACTTCACGCCCCTGGCTGTTCCTCCCTCCCTGGCTTAGCCTCTGAGTCCGGGAATGCCCTGGAGCTGCAGGTTCATCTGGGGGCGGGGCCTGGAAGGGCTGATTGACGTCTCTGAAGCATGGAGGCCCTGAGCTGTTGGTACTGAAAATGGTTCTTGGCTGATCCCCCCACTTCACTGAGTCAGCGCCAGCTGGGTCCTGACTTGCCTGTCGCTTCACGGAACACGACCACGATATCGAGCACAGAACCCGAAGGGGTGGAGTGAATTGTCACCGCTAAGTCATTGATAGGTGCCTACTTCCTTCTCGCTTCCGGATAATCTGTGCGGCTTTCCGTGCCACCTCGGAAACGCACATTGGCGGCCGTATGGCTGGAGCTGTGTGCAAGGGGTCTGCTGTCCAATGCACCTGGGTTCAAGTCCTGGTTTTTCTATTGATTTCAGGGAGGAAGGGTGAGGGAGAGAGAGAGAGAAAAACATCAATGATGAGAGAGAATCATGGATCGGTTGCCTCCTGCACGCCCCCTATCGGGGATTGAGCCAGAAAGCCAGGCTTGTGCCCTGACTGGGATTGAAACCAGGACCCTTCAGTCCATAGGCCAACACTCTATCCACTGAGCCACACCGGCGAGGGCAGCTTTAAAAAAAAAAAAAAAAAAAAAAAAAATATATATATATATATATATATATATATATATATATATATAAAATTGATTTTTTACAGAGAGGAAGGGAGAGGGATAGAGAATCAGAAACATCGATGAGAGAGAAACACCGATCAGCTGCCTCCCGAACACCCCCCACTGGGGATGTGCTCGCAACCAAGGTACATGCCTCTTGCCTGGAAACGAACCTGGGATCCGTCAGTCCGTAGGCCGACTCTCTATCCACTGAGCCAAACCGGTTTCGGCAAGGGCAGCTTTTTATTAAGAATAATATCCTTCGCCAAAACCTGTTTGGCTCAGTGGATAGAGCATCAGCCTGAAAGGTCCCAGGTTCGATTCCGGTCAAGGGCATGTACCATGGCTGTGGGCACATCCCCAGTGAGGGGTGTGCAGGAGGCAGCTGATCGGTGTTTTTCTCTCATCGATGTTTCTAGCTTTTTATCCCTCTCCCTTCCTCTCTGTAAGAAATCAATAAAATATATTAAAAGAGAAGAAGAAGAATATCCTTTCTAAAAGGTGATGCTCTCAACTTTTGCCTCCATTGGTGGTGGGGAGCAAAGGGCCTTCTGAGAATGTGGGTCTCGCCTCCACACAGTGGAGCCCCCCAAACCTGGGCACCTCTGGGCAGTGCCAGCACCCCTGGGTGTGGGGCGCAGCACCAGCCCTGGCGAAGCTCCCGGGAGCAGGCGCATCGGAATCCGCTGCGGCCCTGCACCCCGTGCGCCTGTGCCTGAGAGCAGAGGCTTAGGCTCCGTCCGCCTCTGCTCCGCAGGGACGGGGCTGGCGCGCCCTCCGGTCTTCCTGCACCAGCCCGGCACTGCACGTGTTCCTGCTGGAGCAGTGGCCGGGCGCTTCTGGATGACGTTATACTCCGACAATCCCATTTGGGTGCTATTTTTAAGTTAAAAAAAAATATTATTAGCTTTATCTTAAGTAGATTATAATCTCCTTGGGAACCAAGCCTTATAGACTTATTATTTCTTATGCCCAAAGCACCTAAGACACAGACAGGCTTTCGGTGTTTAGAGTGAAACACCGAAACAGCCAGGCCCAGCCAGCCCACAGGACTGGCTCCCCCACTTCTCAGCCAGCGCTGGCCCGGCAAGGCCTGGCTTAATAAATAAGTCTATAAGTCTATAAATAAGTCTATAAGGCTTATTATTTCTTTGGGCATAAGAAATAATAAGCCTTATAGACTTATTATTTCTTATGCCCAAAGCACCTAAGACACAGACAGGCTTTCGGTGTTTAGAGTTAGACCGCTCTCGCCCGCTGAGGCGCTGAGCAGGGCTCCTGGCTGGCTGGCATGCGGGGTGAAGTATAAGAGAGGAGCCTGGGAGTGAACGGCTGTGCCCACCTGGAGCGGGAAGTGCCAGTCCCGCCTCCTTGCCTGCGGGCGGTTAAAGGGGAGCCGTGGCGGAGGCATCCCGTTTCCCTGCTCACCCTGTGCCTCTCTCCCTGCAGACCAGTCATGGCCGGTTCAGGCAGCACGTGGCCATCGCGCAGCCATCTGTCCCAAGTCGTCCTGCTGGTCCTCGTGGCCCTCCTCCTCCACTCAGCATCGTCCGAGCCCTCCCGAGACTTCGTGCCGCCCAGCAGGCAGAAGAGGGAGGTGCCCGTTGACTTCCTGAGCCAGATGGGCCGGTCTGTGCGGGGGACCCTGGATGACTGGATGGGGCCGGAGACCATGCACCTGGTCTCCGAGGTGAGGGCGTGGTGCCTGCTGGGACCGCACACTGAGGATAGAGGAGGAGGCTCTGCATCCTCTGTGTGTCACAACCTCCGGTGGCCCCCAGGTCCACACGATGAAGCAGGCACACCTGCCTCTCGCGCTCCCATTGGTTGAATTCCACCTGCAGGCCCTGAGCTCCAACCCCCCCCCCCCCCCCCCCAATTCCTGCCCTTCTGGCCAGAAAGGCTGGGGAAGGAGCCATCTGTACAAACCACGTCACTGGCCCCTGTAGAGTCAGGCTTTGTCTGCATGTGACCTAATGTGACCTAATAGCCAGCCCTGCCCCATTTCTTTGCCTGTAGAGGTGGGGGCGGGGCTCTCTCCCCCACCTAATGGGATCTGGTGATTCCCACCCACATACACCCACTGCCACCCGCACAGTGTGCCAGCAGGTCCTCTGAGTTAGGGCCCAGGTGTCCTGGGTTCTGCCCAGGAAGGAGGAGCGGTCTGGAGCAGCCTGCTGTCCGTGCCCGTGCACTGGCGGGGGTTGGGGAGGGGCCCTCCGAGGCCTGGGCGGGCCAGCGCTGGCTGAGAAGTGGGGGAGCCGGTCCTGTGGGCTGGCTGGGCCTGGCTGGAGGCTTGGTGAGGAGCCTCACTGACATGGGTGCATCTCTCCGCAGACCACGTCCCAGGTGCTGGGGGCCGTCTCCTCCTGCATCTCCGTGGGCTGCTTCGCTCTGTCGGGCATCGCCGCCCAGCTGCTGAACGCCTTGGGGCTGGATGGTGAGTGGCAGGGAGTTGGTGGGGCGGCTGGGGCTTAGCCCGTCACTTCCTGTTTGTGGGAGCCTGCCTTTCTAGGATCTAAACTTCCCCCAGCCTCCTGCCCCCGCCCAGGGCTCCCCAGAGGCCAGCTCAATAGCAGGCCAGAAACGCCGGGCTGCCAGTCAGCTTCCCGTCGTCGTCGGAGCATCACGCTCAGCCGTAGCCTCGCGTGGAGCTCCCACAGCCGGGAATTATTCCCTTTTGTAGATGAAACTGGCTCAGCCAAGGCAGGGACCTAACCAGGCTCACATCCCTACAGCTGTGTGACCCCGTGGAAGGGGGTTTCTTTCCCTTTGCAGGGGGTGTAAGTCCTCCCTCGCGTTGGGTTTGAAGGACCCCATGACACCTCCCCACCCCACCCCCGCTGGCCCATCACCTCTGCAGACTGGCTGATTCTGACTCTTCCCCCGCAGGAGACCACCTCACCCAGGTCCTGCAGCTGAGCCCCGGGCAGGTGCAGACCTTCCTGCTGTGGGGCGCGGGGGCCCTGGTCGCCTACTGGCTGCTGTCCCTGCTCCTCGGCCTGGTCCTGGCCTTGCTGGGCCGCATCCTGTGGGGCCTGAAGCTCGTCTTCTTCCTGGTCGGCTTCGTGGCCCTGGTTCGCTCGGTGCCCGACCCTTCCACCCGGGCTTTGCTCCTCCTGGGCTTGCTGACCCTCTACGCTCTGCTGAGCCGGCTCACGGGCAGCCGGGCCTCGGGGGTGCAGCTGGAGGCCAAGGTCCGAGCGCTGGAGCGCCAGGTGGAGGAGATGCGCTGGCGGCAGAGGCGTGCGGCCAAGGGCGCCCGGGGCCTGGACGAGGAGTGAGGCCGCCCGCACCTCCGTTGTCTCCGAACCAAAAATCTGAGCTGCTTCCGGGGCGCTGGCCCTCCTTCCAGCCCTGCCCCTCGCTTGCCCCCTCTGGACCCTCAGGATTCTTACCTCTGACCCAGTCCTCCAGCTGAGAGGGCGGGAGACCCGTCCCTGCTCGTCCTTGGACCCCTTTCTCTGCCCCCAGCTCATGCCTCTGCTCTCTGAGCATCACTGCCATCGGCCTGCGACCCTGCGGCCACCGCCTTCCTGCTGCTGCTCTTCTGTCCTTTTCGCCTTTGCCGAGTCCCAGCTCCATGCCCTGTGTCCCCTCCCTGCCCTGCGCTCCAACCCAACCACTGTCCCTCCAGGCCCGCTCCTTCCCTTCCTGCCCGGGTGGGAGAGCAGGGCCGGCGGGATCTGAGGGGAAGGGAGGGGGACATTGCCCTGTAGGGCTGCGAGCGGGAGGGACATTGAGTCTGTTACAAGTGCCTTAACCCGAGCCAGCGGGCCCTGCGCTCACCTGCTGCCCTGTGTGTGCCGTGGCCCTGTGTGTGCCCTGGGCCCTGTCCGTGCCCTGGGCCCTGTGTGTGCCCTGGGCTTGCCGGCTGTCCTACTGTGTGTAGGAAAGTGTGCTGTGGCTGCTTTGTGTCGTGATTTCCCTTCAACCGAAGCAGAGGCTGGCTGCTCCAGAGGGTGCTTGCGAGCAGGCCCCGCAGTGGCTCGGTCCCGTGGGGGTTCAGGGACCGAGGACGAAGGATTCATCCTGTCTGCGGAGCTGCAGGCGGCCTCCATATCTCCACTCCCTCCGCCGAGGAGCTGCTGACCAGGCCACCCCCATGGCCTGGGGGGATGTCACGGAGCAGATACACCGAGATGGCACCCCCTTCCCTTCACATGCTCTGTGGGGAGCAGGGGGAGTCTGCAGACCCCTCTCCACTCGGCGCTCCCTCTCCCCTGGAGGCTCCAGTGGGCTGGCACCCTCTGCCCGCCGGCATGTGACACGTGAGGTGGAGAGTGACTAGTGCCCAGTTCTCACTGTCAAGGTTGATGCGGAGTCAGCTGGCGTGATGTGTGTTTTACTAGCGCCTGGTGGTGTTAAATAAAGTGCACGCTGTTCCATTGTCTGTGCTGCGTACGTCACTCCGCAGAGTTCACCTCTAGCCCACCTGTCCCCCAGGGCCGAGCCAGGCTGGTGGGAAGGGAAGGCGGGAGGGGAGGGGAAGAAAGAAAGACTGGTACCAGGTACCCTTCCCTCCAGGAGCTGAGGAATGAGGGAGGCCTGCCCTGTTATTAGCCTTCTAGGAGCTGACTGCACCCCACGCCTTCCCCTCCCCCTCATCATGGAGGGTCAAAGGCTGGCCCTAAGCCAGGAGACTAGCGCCTCCTCCTTGCCCACAGAGGGTGTCCTGCCCTGGGGTTCCTGACCCAGCCCGCAGGCTGGGCTGCTGGTGGAGGGCCGGGGTGGTTCTTTTGTCAGCTTCCCTGGAGACCTTACTGTTAGTGTCAGCTCTGGACCCTCCCAACGGCCTAGCAGGCTGCCTGGCCCGGAGGCTGCTGGGACCTGGGAGGCAAGAACCTGGAAGGCGGCCTTCACGGGGAGCAGAGACAAGTCCTCACACTTCCCACGCCCACGGGCCTGTCCCAGGAATGGGGCTGGGCGTGAAACCAGCTGCCTGCGCTGGAGTCCTCCCTTCCCGCCTGAGTCCTCCCTTCCGGGCAGGGGCCGAGGCCTTAGGGCGGGCCACGTACTTGTCACCGGCCATGTGGACCCCTTTCTCCCTTTTTTGCCCGGTGCTACAGGGTCCCCCCTTGTCCTTGAATTCCGATTGGATTCCAGGGTCACACGCCTTTACAGGGGAGCTACCTGTAAAGGGGGAGGGGAGGCCGAGGGGGTGGCCGCTTCCTCAGTCCGGAGCATCTGAGACGGAGCGCACGGCGCCCTGTCCCTCTGGGCAGCGGCGGGTCCGGCCCTGCGGGCCGCCTCCAGGGCGGGGGCCTCGGTCCCCGCTTGGCGTCGGGACGCGGAGGGCACTAGGACCCGGCGGGCGGGCGGAGGGACAGCCCGCGTGCCCCGCGCTCCCGCCCACGGCCCCTCCGCTCCGCGCGCTCCGCTCCATTGTCTGGAGCTGCCGCCGCGGCCGGGCTGTGCGGCCGGGACTCCGCGCGGGGCCGGGGCCGGGGCCGGGGTCGGGGTCGGGGTCGGGATCGGATCGGCGGGCGCGGAGATGCCGGGCGGCCCGCGGCCTGGACCGCCCGCCTAGGTCCGCCTTCTGCGGAGGACGCGCCCGGATGGAGGGGCGCGCGGCGGCGGCCCCCCGGGGACCCCGCGCCCCCGCGCTCTGCCTCCTGGCGGCCCTCGCCCTGCGCTTCGTGAGAGGTCAGCGGAGGGGGTGGGGGGCGGCCGGCCCGGGCCGAGCCCAAGCTCCAGGGATGCCCGGGCGCCGGAGCCTGCGGTGCCCGGACTGAGCCCAGGGCGCCGGGACGCTGGGGAGCCCTCACCCCGGGGACCTGCCCCGTGGCTGCCTTCGCCCGCACCACCCGGCACCCCTATCCGACCAGCACAGCGGGCAGGCCACACCCCACAGCCTCCCTACAGCCCGGCTCTGCCCCCGCTGCCCGGGCCCGGCTCCCTGCTCTGCCTCCGAGCTGCACCCCGGTGGCTGCTAGCCTGTCCCCCCACATCAACCCGTCCCGGGGCGGGGAGCTGCCCCTCTGCAGGGACCTCGGAGGTGGATAGGCAACCGCTCTCCCTGCCCCAGGGAGTTCCTGACCTTGGAGTCCCAAGAGATCGCCCCATCCGTGCCTTCCTGGCACTCAGGGAACCCCATCCCTGGAGGGGGCAGAGGCCCCCTTGGCATGGGCTGTAGGTGGATGGTGCCACGGAAGAATGGGGCACAGAGAGGCGTTCTCCACCCCTCTCCCCCGAAAAGCTGAGATCTAGATGTGGGAAGTCCGTGGGAGTCAGGCCTCCCAGCATGTTGTCATTACCCAGGAGGAGGAGGGGGCCAGGGGCTGCCCCCAGGAGCCATCACCTGTTACCCTGGGGGGGGGGGGTTAAGTGTCTCAGACACATGATCAATGATGGGGAGCATCATGAAGGAGGTTGAAACCATCAAGACCCCAGCCCAGCAGTGGGGCTGGGAGGGAGCGGCTCTGGGTTGCTTTCAGCCACCTGCCCCCTCCCCGGGGACCCGCGCCCGGAACCCTCTCCCAGGGAGGAGCGCCTGTCACGTCCATTAGCAGCGGCAGCCACCCCGCTCCACACACCACAGCCCTCTCCCGCCTCTGGGTCACAGCGCCCGTCCTACAGGTGCCGGGGCAGAGGCTCCCAGAGTTAAAGGGCTGGCCCAGCCTTCCCCCAGGCCGAGCTAGGGCGTAAATGCCCATCTCCAGGCTCCTAGGACTTCCGTTCCAGGGAGAGCCGCCCAGTGTGTGATCCGGGATCAGTCACACAGGCCCCAGGTGATAAACAGGAAGATAACCAATTCGGTGGAGGCAGCCAGAGCTGCACATAGCGGAGGGGATGGGTGAGAGTGCAAGCAATCAAGGAGGGCTTCCTGAAGGAGGCGGCATTCTCTGTTGGCCCTGAAGGAGGAGGGAGAGACCCAGAGTCTAAGAGCACAAGGTGGGGAGAGAGGCAGAGCGTGGAGGCAGGGTGGCCTGATGGTTGATGCCACCATGCACCAACTGTGGGACCCCAGCAAGCACTTAGCCTGTCAGCCTCACTGTCTCCAGCCGTAAAATGGGATGAGCCTGGCCTGGCGTAGCTCAGTGGTTGAGCGTCACCTGTGAATCGAGAGGTCACAGTTCATTCCGGGTCAGGGCACATGCCCAGCTTGTGGGCTCGATCCCCAGTGGAGGGTGTGCAGGAGGCAGCCAATCCATGATTCTTTCTCATCGATGTTTCTATCTCTCCCTCTCCCTTCCTCTCTGAAATCAATAAAAAGGATTTAAAAAAGAAGTGAACATAAAATGAGATTAATAGACATAGAACCTAGTTCTCAGTTGTTTCAAAAACGGAAAGTTAGCACATGCACGTAACGTGTTTTAAATGGTAGCCTGCGCATAGCTAGTGTTCTAAAATGTGAATTTTTATTGTTAGGCCTGACCGATAGTCAGTGGGGTACATCCCGAGTGTTCCCACCCACACCCCCTGCACTCGGTACCTGATTGGGATGGGGTAGAAGGGAGCACATTTGGAAACGGGTGCAGAGTTGCCATGGTGATGATGGAGGAGGAGGGGTCGCCCAGCCACGTCTGGCTAGGGCCTGAGGGCAGAGGAAGGGTCTCTGCTTCTGCAAACTCACCTGTTACCTGCTGGGCCATGTCCAGAGAGTGCTGCCCCACAGATGCCTTCGTGCCAGGGGCAGTTACGTAAGGCTCCGCTGGAGGGAGAAGGGCAGGAAGAGGGATGGCATGGGGCTGGCATCGGTCCTGGGCTCTGATCCTCATCCCGGCCGTCACCTGCTACCTGCGATCTCTCCGGGCCTCAGTTTCCTCGTCTGTGTGTGGTGGGGCCCCCATGCCGCGGGCTGGGCCTGTGTACCCTCCCTTCCCCCTGCCCAGGCACGGCCCGCCGGCTCTGCAGCTCGCCCTCTCTCTCCCCCGCTGCGCAGTGGGCTGTGAGCAGGGCCCTCCGGGCCCCGTGTACCTGCCAGCGGCCCTGGAGCTCCTGGACGCCCCCGAGCACTTCTGCGTGCAGCAGCTGGGCCGCTACCCGCCCGCCAACGCCTCCCTGGCCGCCCGCTCCGAGACCTTCCTGCTGCTGCAGCCCTGGCCCCGGGCCCAGCCGCTGCTCCGCGCCTCCTACCCGCCCTTTGCCACCCAGCAGGTGAGGGGCCGGGGCTCCCGGGACCGGGGCCGCCGTCTGCCGGGGGCGGCTCGGGTCTGCCCAGCCCCGTTTCCAGAGCGGGAGGCTGAGGCCCACGAGGCTCTCTCCTGCCGGGCTGGACCTGGAGCCTGGCATCCCATCTCCCCACACCTCACTGACCCCCCCTCCTTCCCCCCGCCATGCT